CAAGCCAGCTACCCCAAGTCCATTCACGGCATCGTTGGAAAACATTCGTTACTCACCGTCTCTGGCAACCTTCGTAGAAAGTTAAGAAGCATTGCTGTCAGCTTCATCTCTGTGTCCAAGTCGTCCCCCGATTTCCTTGACTTGGTTCAGAAGCTGTCAATCTCAATGATGGGGTCATGGAATGGCTGCAAACAAGTCTCCTTCTTCGAACAAGCTAAAGCTGTATGTGCGAGTAACCACAAGAAAACATTATTAATAGTCACTGACATCAGTGGCACACGATGAGGTGTCTCACTGATAATCATGTACCGGTGTATGTTGATTATTAGGCATTGATAATACTTGTAATTAGCCGCCTCATCTTGTGCCACCAAAAGTCCATGGCTATTGGTGATTTTTTCTTGCAACACGCTCTCATTCCCTCTTTAGATAATATACATTTCAAGTTTGATATCTCTGCCTGCCTGCCTTTTGTGTTTCGACAAACAGTTTTCGCTCCGTCTTATGGTGAAGAACCTTATGAGTGTTAAACCAGAAGAGCCTTTAGCCTGAAGGATTTTAGAAGACTTTGAAACCTTCATGACAGGCTTTGTTTCTCTCCCATTTAATATTCCTGGAACCGCTTATGCCAAGGCTGTCAAGGTAATTACAAAACGTGTGTGTGTGTGTGTATTACATATTTTGTATATACATATATAGGATGTTCTTTTGTCAAAATTTACATTGCATACTTATTTTGTCATACTGTGAATTTAAATCATGAATTCAAAAGAGAACAAAAATGAACGAGGGTTTAGATTCGTAAATTGACAACATAAACATCTCATGCTGTGTTCTCTAGTTAATTAATTAAAGGTGGATGGCTCTCCGATCTTCATATCATGCACCTCTTCTATTCAGGCTAGAGCAAGGCTTTCTTCCACTGTTAGAAAGATCATGGAAGAGAGAAGAAAAGGGAACATCAGTAGCAATGGAGGGCTGCTTAGAGAAAGAGAAGAAGAAGACTTCTTAGACGTTATACTGTCGAAACAAAACCTAACCAACGAAGAAATAGTGAGCATTGTATTGGATATCATGCTAGGAGGCTACGAGACTACCGCTACTCTTAATGTCGTTGATTGTCTACTTTCTTGGCCATGCGCCACTTGCTTTCCACAAATTAAAGGTAACTGTAATCCTATCTCTAATTCTCTACCTCTCTACTTGCTTGCATATATACCTTTCTCAGCCATGCGCCTTAACATTTCTTGTCCGAAATCTCTGCAGGAAGAACACCAAACGATAAGGGAAAAACAAAAGGGATGGAGATTTCTTAACTTGGGAAGATTACAAGAAAATGAATTTTACCAACCATGTAAGTACATCATATATATTTTTTTCAAGTGATAATATATTCTGCCGTCAGCTGGTTATGATTAATTACTTAATTAAATGTCTACATGTGAACAAATCAAGGGTTTATGATGTGCAGGTTATATATGAAGCTATGAGATGTGGGAATGTAGTCAAACTTGTGCACAGGAAAGCTCTCGTAGACATCAAATTTGAAGGTTATTTAGGCTTCCTACTGCTTCATTAATCCCATATAACATCATAATTAACGTATTGTGTTAATTAACAGATTGTGGCGCAGAATTCGTCATACCATCAGGATGGAAGGCATCAGGATGGAAGGTTCTTCCAATCTTCACTGGGGCGCATTTGGATCCCCGATCTTCATGAGAATGCAACAGAGTTTGATCCTTGGAGATGGAATGTATGTTTTGTGTATAGATTCTTCTGATATATAATGAACATATATAATGTATATGGCATGCACATAATATGCAGGACAATTATAAAGAAATGAACAAAAAGATTATAGCGTTTGGTGGTGGAGTAAAGCTTTGTCCGGGATCTGAAGTTGCAAAAGTAGTGATTGCATTCTTCCTTCATCATCTTGTCCTTAGTTATAGGTAATTACTTACTTATTAATTACTCAAGTTAATTAATTGTGTTAATATAATTTCCTAATCAATCCATATATTTTTAACTAATTCCAATTAATATTTGAGATTCAATTTCTCTACTGCATGAATTACCAGATGGAAAACAAAACCAGATGAATGCCTACTTGCTTACCCTTATGTGCAATTCAGGAGAGATTTGCTGTTAGAGCAGTTCCACCGTAGGAAAGGTCCCCCGGGCTATCCACTATTTAATCCACCTAGTGAACAGTAATTGCCCTTAATGAGCAGTAATTACCTTTTACATCTCCACCCCTACACTTGAATAACCCTGGCAACAGTTAAATAAAATAATAATATTTTTTTGCAATTGCTTGGAATTTCCCATGCACCTCTCCACTCCCTCACGTCACTCCCTCTCTTTCCACTCATCTTTCTCACTTCTCTCCATTTTTCTCTGAAGTTCCTCTCTCTCTCTCTCTCTCTCTCTCTCTCTCTCTCTCTCTCTCTCTCTCTCTCTCTCTCTCTCTCTCTCTCTCTCTAGAGCTCCAAGAGCTATCACTCACTTTCCACTTCGAAAATTAAACAAATCAAACTCCAAAACCATGAAACCTTAATCTCTTGGAGTAAAGGATCTTTGCTATACTGTTGCATGTGTCATCGGACGATCACGGTGTAATCCACCATTGAAGATGAGAGCTTCAAGATCTGAAACTCGAACCCAGGTGAGGTTCTCTATGCAAATCTTGTTTCATTATGTCTTAATTTTGCTTGGGACAAGATTTGTGGTGTTTTTCCAGTTCGAAACCAGAGGTTTAACCCCCTGCAATTTCTTTGAAACCTTGCCCAGTTTTTGGTCACGTCCTTGAAGCAAACTCCGGCAAGTTTGTGGGTTGAGATCCAATGGACGCCGAGGCAAAACAGAAGAAAAAACGTGGTTGATGTTAGGGCGACGTCAGCCTTGCATCAAACCCACTCCGGGCTCTCAGGCTAGCAACTCTCCACCAACCTCTCGCTCGAGCCTGCTCGGGCTCCCTTGCCAGCACACGTTGAACTTGATTGCTCGGACTCTCTCAGCCCTGTTCACTTGCCTGTCCCTCAGACTCCAGCACACGCTGGAACTGTCACATCCCGGGCCCGATCCACCACTGTAGCACGATATTGTCCGCTTTGGGCTTACCATTCCCTCACGGTTTTGTTTTTGGGAACTCACGAGCAACTTCCCAGTGGGTCACCCATCATGGGATTGCTCTAGTCCCCTTCTCGCTTAACTTCGGAGTTCCTACGAAACCCGAAGCCAGTGAGCTCCCAAAAGGCCTCGTGCTAGGTAGAAATGGGAATATACATTTAAGGATCACTCCCCTGAGCGATGTGGGATGTCACAGGAACTGCTCTTAGAGATTGAACCAGCTACTGCAGCTTATCAAATCCACTAGGGTTTCATTGACTTTGAGAAGAAAATGATCATATGGTATAAAATGATCATTTTCTTTTGAAGGATATAATTATGTAATTTCATTTGATATTCAATAAGAATTAAAGTTTCTTTTTTCCTTTGGATACAAATATAATATACATTACACAAGTGATTACACATTTTGCCTAATTTTTTCATATATATATATAAAGGAAGCACACCAAATCACTATTCTCAAAATATCCCTTCCAAATTAGGATTATAAAATAAAACAATTTAATTTAAAAAATTCCAAATAAAGAATAAGATGTAAAAGATCAAATTACCACACACTGCAATTTTAACATAGTACTAAAGGAGGACGGTGGTAACTGCTTTAGTACTATGTATATTGACCAAAATATAATGTCAATGTATGGCCAGTAAATATTGTACGATAGGTCTTAGTTTAGTGGTATTTTCTTTCCAATGTGGAAATGACATCCAAATTCTCTTCCCTTAATGGAAAAGTTATCTAAAGGATCGTTATGAAGTTACTGAATATTCAAGGAGAAGAACACTATGACGCTAGAGGTACGACTAGGTGAGGATCGATAGCGTGGTACTAATCTTTCTCTATTTTAATTTATTTATTATTTATTGCTTTTTTATTTTATTTTTTCTTTGGGTTTTTTCTTCATATGTTACTTTATTTGAGTAATTACTGGTAAATTCAAATATCTTCAAATTTAGATTTTATATTGTTGATTTCAAGTTTTTAAATATGAATTATAAAAGATTTTGCACAAAAAATATATTTGAAGAACATAAAGATGATAGTTTGTTGTTACAACGTCTATGTATATTGACCAAAGTATAATGTCTATGCATAGCCAGTAAATATTTTACGTTAGATCTTAATTTAGTGGTATTTTTCTTTCCAATGTGGAAAAGATATCCGAGTTCCACTCCATTAATAGTAAATTGAAGCAAAGAGCATGAAGTATTTTCATGGGCGTTATATATGTTATTTTAGAAATACTTTCCAAAAATTAAAAACGCTTTTAGAGAAACATGGTCATGATTTTGTTATGTATTCTCTATTCTGGAAACTGCATTTTCTTTGCCTTGCCAAATGCCATTTCAAAATGTAGAGTAGTATCTCACACAAGGCAGTGTCATGGTAATCATTATCATTTTTTTGGTTGTTAGATTCATTCATCTTTTGGTTCATCGTTCATCAATCAAAATTACAATACAAATGCCTTTTTAAACTAATATAAACTACAAAAGAAAGAATTCCAACAGGAATGGATAGGTACACAATTGGTTGAAATATTATTTATCAAATTTCAATAAATTATATTATTACACTTATTATACTGAGATGTATTTCTAGCACATGTAGGTAATTATAAGAACTGGATCTCCTCCGTACCCAAAAAAACTGAGCCTACTTATCAAATGATCTGAACCATTGAAATTTGATCTAACGGCTACAAACAGAGAGGTCCTCTAAAAATTATAATAATTATAGTCGTTTGATTAAATTTCAATGGTGTGAATCATTTGATTATTGGACTCAGTTCCTTTGCGTTCGAAGAATCCGGTTCGTAATTATGCACTATGGACTGGCTAACGACATGTCGGTTTCTTCTCATTCAAGTCTACCCCCACCTCACTTTCTCTCTCGTTTTGTGCCAATTCACAGTCCCAGTTCTTCTCCCACATAAACCCTTTGGATTCGAACGCCCAATTTTCTTCCCCAAATCGATTTGCTTCTCTGCAGATCAAGCATTCAGCACCCAAGCGCATACAAGTAAGCAAAATTTTAAATTTGGGTTTTTTATTTTTGGTAAATTGTTGCCCTTTTGTTTTTCTATATATCGTAGAAGATTAGAGCTTTTTTAAAAATTCGTGTGTTATTTAATCGAACGAAGAAGATCTGATTCTGTGAGGTATGTTTTGATGTGGGTGTGATGCTTGAAGGGGAGGTTTTTTGAAAAAGTTTAGGGATTGTGTTTGTAAGGTTGCCTGCAATCTGTTTGATTAAATCCGCGAGAGAAAGTATTATGATTTGATTAGTTTGTGAATCGTAAAGGCTTTTTTTGGGTTTGATTCTGGATTTGGGTAGGATTTGATTCTGAAAATTATGGGCTTTTTGTTATTTTATGAGTTGTTTGTTGGTCATTATCTTATGGTGCTGCTCCATGTACTACATAGATTTGGTTCTCAATAGTTCACAAAGTTAGGTATTGGGTTGTTCTAGAATCCTAACATTGTATTAGACGCGTTTCTGGTAATGCGTTCTATGTATATACTTTTTTCCATGAAATAGTTTGTGACTGGCTTTAGGGTTTGGAAGAACAATTCTTTACTAAATTATATGGGTAAATACATAAATTATGTGGCTAAATACATGTTAAGGAGAATTATAGAAACCAAAAGTGTAGGGTGGTTTTAGAGTGAATTTTGATGTGATATTGATTTTGCAGGTTTGATTGAAACTAAAAAAGAAAACAAAAGATGTCTCAGGTAGCGGCAGATGTTCCCAAGGGTGGTTTCAGTTTTGATCTTTGTCGAAGAAACGACATGCTTGCAAAGAAGGGAGTTCAGCAGCCATCTTATAGGAAGACGGGAACCACCATTGTTGGTTTGATTTTTAAGGTACAACTGCGTTCCACTGTTTAATTAGAAATTGTGCCACTCAAATATAGGTTAAATTTTTATGATTCCTTTCTAATTCATTCTTCAGGATGGTGTCATTCTTGGAGCTGATACAAGGGCAACTGAAGGACCCATTGTGTGTGATAAGAACTGTGAAAAGATCCATTATATGGCACCTAATATCTATTGCTGCGGAGCTGGAACTGCTGCTGATACAGAGGCTGTAACAGGTAAGTCAGGATTGTTGTTTACATTGGTAATGCTTGTGGCTGTCTGTGTAGTAGCAGCTCATTTTTGTGCTCTGTTGAATGTGCGTCTCTAGATATGGTGAGCTCACAGCTGCAACTGCATCGCTACCATACTGGTCGTGAATCTCGGGTTGTGACAGCCTTGACCTTGCTCAAGAAACACCTTTTCAAGTACAGTGTTATCACTTATCAGTTTAGAAATTGCAGGACTAACTTATATTCCTTAAATTTAAGCACAGTTTGATTTTAACTCCCATCTTTATTATCCAGTTACCAAGGTCATGTGTCAGCTGCTTTGGTGCTCGGGGGTGTTGATGTCACTGGACCCCATCTGCATACTGTAAGTTATTTCTTGATTTAGATTTTTAGATGTGACAATGGTTCTCTTTTTGGGATTGCACAATAATATGATGCCAACTCCAATGCTTCAAATTGCAGATATATCCCCATGGATCAACCGACACACTGCCATTTGCTACAATGGGTTCTGGTTCTCTTGCCGCAATGGCCATGTTTGAGTCCAAGTACAAAGAAGGCATGACTGTAAGTTAGCATCATACGAATTGAAAATTTATCTTCATTGAATGGTACTATCCGTGGATACAGATACTTGACTACCTTCATTAGTATTCTATTATGCGATTAGTAGTGAGTCGGTGACATCCCCACTTGAATTTCTGATTAATATTTTTACTTTGATGCAGAGGGATGAAGGCATAAAGCTTGTAACTGAAGCAATATGCTCTGGAATTTTCAATGACTTGGGAAGTGGAAGCAATGTTGATGTTTGTGTAATAACTAAGGTTTGTTGTTTCTCATCGTTATTTACAGTTTTCAATGGGAAAAGAAGAGGGTATTAATTTCGTTTTATTTTGTGCATTTTTGTTGGCTCAGGGACACAAGGAATACTTGAGGAACCACTTGGTGCCCACCCCTCGTACCTATGTCAGTGCAGAAGGCTATAAGTTTACCAAGAAGACTGGTAAACAACACACTTCTTTCACTTGGCTTTCTAATCATTCAACGACAAATTGTCGCTCACCTTTACGCCATTCTTGTCTTGCACATCATAAACTTAAGCATCATTCATCTTCCTGTCATATATGAGAAATTTCGTGCCTTTCCATAAGCAGTGCATTGTGAAAGTTCTGGTTTACAGCTGTTATGTGATGTGAGCGCCCCCGCACACACATGTTCAGATAACTAGGTTTAGTCAAAACTGCATATGAAGGGAGTGAAACGTTTTCTGAATCAGTTGTGTTTTCTTTTGTTGCAGAGGTTCTCTTCACAAAGATCACTCCGTTGACTAAGAAGGCGGAGGTGATTGAAGGAGGCGATGCAATGGAAGAGTGAAACCACCACTTCACAAGGATCATGTGATTGTTCATGTCGTAATTCAGTTTCCAGTGGAAAACCTCAGCTACTTCATCCCAACTTGTTATGTCTTTCTCCATCCATCGCGGATTGATCTCGAAATACATCGCAATCACTTTGTGAATTTGTTAAGAATTATTAGCGTTATCCAGACTTTTAGGTTGGTCTTTAACAGATGTTATAACTTTCCGTATTTTGCAAATTATTAGATAACGTGCTTTTGGCTGAATCTTTGAGGATAAGAATGCGAGCAATCTTTTCGTTTGGATCTTAATTGTTCTACATTTTTATCTCTTTTTACGACCCTACCAGGCTTCTTGATAATCCGAACTGATCAAAAAGCCGGTATGGGAGGGTAGCACTGGTCATATAGTTAGGACTCATAATGTCTCTTTTAACTCGACATGAAACGACACGAAAATAACAGATTTTATATTAAACCATCGATGAGTTGGATTTTTTATTGAGTTATTAGTGAAAAATTCGCTAATGGGTTATGTGGTTATCGAGTTATTTGTTAACAACCTAGTAATATATCATTTGCCAGAGTTAGATATTAGGTACGATAATTTCTTGCATGACCGTTGCAATTTAAGAATCAGGTCATTATAACATCAACTGGTAAGAAATTGTTAAGATAACAAGTTTGATACGAATAATTAGTATGACACAAAAGCAACACGAATACGATGAATACGATCTAGTCGGACTGAAGAATACTACAATAAGTCAACTTATTAATTAAGAATCTAGTCATTTGAGGTATATCCAAATTCTTACGACTCCAGATGTCGGTGATTTAGTAGAAACTTAATTAATAAAAATAATAAATAACAAATAAAAATAATAATAGAGAAGAGAACAAAACAGTAATCAGGCGGGCAAAAACCAGAAAATACAGAACCAGCAAAAAGGCAAAGACAGCGAAGGAGAAGAGAACTGTCCCCTCCTTCTTCCCCGTTCTCCCTCCGATACGACGTCGCACTGAACCATGTCTTACGACTACCTCTTCAAGTACATCATCATCGGCGACACAGGTCTCAGTTCCTCCAATCCATAGCTTTCTGATTTTTGTTGATTTTTTTTGTTTGTTTGGTTTGAGAATTGAGGTTTAAAAGCAATTGGGTTTTGGGTTTTTGGTTTGGATTTGTAGGTGTCGGAAAATCTTGCTTGCTGTTGCAATTCACGGATAAGAGGTTCCAGCCTGTGCATGATCTTACCATCGGTGTCGAGTTCGGAGCTCGAATGGTCACCATCGATGGTCGTCCTATCAAGCTCCAGATTTGGGACACCGTAAGTTACATGTACTTCCCTTCTTGTTTTCTGTTTGGCTACTGAGAAAATAGAATTTTCGTGGTGAATTGGGTTTATGGTTTTGTACCAATCTGAATTTGCCGTTCTGTAGATTTTACTTGTATGTGCCTGTAACTTGACGACAACGTATCGAAGTTTTAGAATTTTCGATTGGCCCGGTCTTATTCGGGTTTGCAATGATGAAAAAGTTTCATCTTCTTACTGCTAACGGTAGACATGGTGCAAAACCGAACGTTCAAGGATTCATACGGCCAACCCCACTTAGTGGGATAAAGATTGGTTGTTGTTGTTGTTGTTTGTGGCTTGTTGGGTAGGGATAAGGCTGATTATTTATGTATGCTATTGGTATTTAGTTTTCTTTTGCGCATTGTGTTGGTTTTAGTCTCTTATGAAATTGTATTTGCTAAGACGTGTTCGAGAAGTTGCGCCTTACGTATTTAATTCTGCTGTTTCTTAGGAGTACTGTGAATATTCTTAACTTCTTAAGCAAAGGATCCTCGGTTTTGCATTTCAGGCTGGGCAAGAATCTTTCAGATCGATCACTAGGTCTTACTACAGAGGAGCAGCTGGAGCGCTTCTGGTCTATGACGTAACCAGGTGGGTGGGTGTGCGTTTTGTCTGTTTTACAACTTTGTGTAGCTCTGTGTGTGTCTGGTCCTAGTGGATATTACGTCAGAGATGCATATGAATCACATACTGAACTTACGATTCTTCTGAGATATATGCCTAATATGTTGCATTGCATCTTTCTCTATTTAACATTCTGCGTAAATCTCCGCGGTTTTCAGTTTATTTTAGGCTTCATGTTGCGAAAATTAAAAAGGGGCTACTGTACACGTCTTGTGGTATATATTTGCAAGTTTTTCCAATTGACAAATCCTTTTAAATGCTCTTTTGGCCCCAGTATTCCTCCTTTTTATGGAAGGGAGTGGCATTTTTATAGCCGTTGTATCCGGTTCTGATTAACGGAGCCCTACTGAGGCATGTCTGTTTTCCCCAATTCAACCAGAGATAGGAAGTGATTAAAGTTGTTTTGTTTCCCAGGAGGGAGACATTTAATCATCTTTCGAGCTGGCTGGAGGATGCCCGGCAACATGCAAATCCTAACATGACGATCATGCTCATAGGGAACAAGTGTGATCTGTCGCACCGAAGAGCTGTCAGCAAAGAGGAAGGAGAGCAATTTGCAAAGGAGAATGGGCTTTTATTCTTGGAGGCATCTGCAAGGACAGCACAAAACGTCGAGGAGGTGATGTAACTCAACCAGTTCAAACCCGTACTCTATTTCAATTTACAATGTTTAAACTCATTGAGTAACATACTGTTCAGGCCTTCATAAAGACTGCTGCAAAGATTCTTCAGAATATTCAGGAAGGCGTATTCGATGTATCTAATGAGGTAAATGTCGAGTCATTTATTGTGGGAAACGGTAGCATAACTTTCCTTTTGAGTCTGCTTGCATTACGTGATCTCGTTAACCATAACTAGCTTACCGGATTATCCGATCGTATAAACTTCGGCCTTGTAGCTTCTATCTGAAGAATGAAAATGAATGTTTTTGTGATATTTGCAGTCATCCGGCATCAAGGTTGGATATGGCCGGCCCCAGGGTCAATCAGGCTCGGGCGGAACGGTTGCTCAGAGAGGCGGATGTTGCAGCTGATTAGAACAGAAATAGACTCTGTATTCACTCCGTTTGTGCAATTCATCAGTGCTTTGGACATACTCTCTCAACTGTGATGCTGCTACTTTGTGAAAAACATTGAATGTATAGAGTTCTTGGATAGTTTTCATTTTCTTTTCGGTTTCGCCGTTTTAAATGCTGAAATATTTCTCAACAGTGTGATTTGTTTGACCAGTTAACAAAGCTCAACTGAAAAGTAATGAATCAGATAAGTAAATACAGATACAAGTATTTTTCGCACGGTTTCTATGACGCGATCTTGTGATCCGATCGAAACCAAATGGAGATGGCAGTTTGCCCTAATCACTGAAAACTGGAACAATACAACTCAAAGCACAGACACAAGATTCAACTCCAAATGATGTCCTGCGCCTTTACAGCTCTTCCGGTTGAGGTATGCCAATCCATGAGAATTTTGAGCACTAAGAACCACCAAATACCTGCAAACGGATCGCGAAATAACATACAGTAGTCAACCAACAGATAACTTATACGGGCAACAGCAGGGAGTAAATAACGGATCAAGAAATAACACACGGTAGCCAACCAATAAAACGATGCTTACCGCTGATAGTACATCTCCAGAAAGCCGAGGTTTGGTTTTTGCAGCATTATTTGCAACAGGTTTCTTCTGTCGGAACCGGCGAATTACCTGATGTTCTGGCTGGCTATCAGAGAGATCCGGATTGCTACCTGAATCTTCTTCGACCCTTTGCCTCTGTTAGAGAAGATGAAACAGGTTCTGTAAAGGGCAAAACGACGTCAATAGAAATTCGAGACAGCTGCACTAAAACATTTTCCTCGCCTACTTTTTCTGTCAAGTGAACACTCTTCATAGAATACACGAAAACTACCTTCTTCAATCTTTCATCTATGGCATTCAAAGCACGGGACTTCTCAACTTTAGTGAGATAGAAATCACGCTCCTTCTTAGCAGCAGAGATTTCTAAAGCTAGTTTTTGCTCCCGGGTGGCTTTCTTGTAAGCTGCAACCAAACATTAATGAATCAAGAAAAAAGTAACAATAATGAAGCACAATGACAAGAAGCAACAACAACCCAATCGTTAAGAGTCTGCACCAATCTCTTCGGTAAGATTATCCCACTTGAATTTCTCAAGTACTTGATATTCCAAAGATCATAGTAGAAAGACGACCTCTTCTTCCCACCTAAACACAACCGAACAAGCAGGCGGTATAAATTTTGTATCGAAGAAAGCATCCGTATAATCAAGCTGCAACAAGTAAAATCCTGTAAGCAAAATACTTTTAACTTCACATGATTACCTATCTGTTCACCATTTAACATATTAGCAACTCTCTTAGCAACCCTTTTGTCAGAAAATTCAACCCACCTGCATTTGCGATAATTAGCGATTTTCCGACATACCCTTCCGGAAAACCAAACTCTTTCGATAAAGATTAACGATTTAATGCTTTTTAAGACATACCCTTCTGAAAAATTTTGCCTCTGAAATTTACCAGCTTTGATTTGAACATGACCGGAAGAATCTTGAGGTGCAAGATAAAGCCTCTGTATCTCTCCGTGCTGAGAGAGCATCTGACGAAGCGTCGACGGATCATTGCGTGGCGGAATCCGACCCAAATAGCAAACCCCTCGCTGCTTCTCATCCTTCCCACCTTCCTTCGTCGATTTCTTCCTTTTCTTCTTTCTCTCGATTTCCATTCCCAATCTCCAGCCCCAATTCTATTCCCTTAAACCCTAAAACGCTGAATTCAAAGCTGAAAAAAAACCCAAAACATGGAAAATTAATAAGAAAATCAGAAGATATTGAACTGAGATTTTCTGGATTAATAATTATGTATTAAAAATGAAGGTTAAATATCTGTGATTATTGAGTTATGGAATTAGGGTTCATAGATTACCAGAAGCAGAGTGCGGCGGTTCGACGGCGGTGGAGCTCTTGCTCTGCTGCTCGGTGAGTCTCACACTGTGTTCCTACAAAGATGGCTTACACGCACCGTTTCGCTTCTCTCTATATTTGATGGGCTTTTTTCTGCTGCTCAAACATTAGGTTCAGGCTTTGCTCAAGGAGCCCAAAATATAAGGTTCGGGCTTTGCTCAAGGGATGAAATTGTTTGCTTCCTAAAAAGAATGTTACTTAGTGATACTAGTAATTCACGTGTTAATATATTACGAAGTTAAAGTGCAGATAATATTAACACACGGATACATGTGTTGTAACATATATCACTACATGGTCGCCGCTCCAGCAAATAGCTCAAATTTGTCGTTTTTAGGGTAAGAGAATTGAGTTAAGACACAAAATAAGTTAATCATAATAATTTGACATCAAATTCGTCAGTTATGAAAATCGAACTTGATAATTCCGATTTACAAGTAAAGAGGAATAAATCTAAACTGGGAATACCTTTAAATTCTAGTGCTAAATGAGTTTTCAGCTCAATTATTACTAGTCAATTTCCCATTCACGGGCAATAAGTAAACTTGCAGGAAGAAAAAAACATTCGTTATTCACATCCTTAACGCATCCAGAAAAAATTAACAACTAAACTTAGATCACCGTTTTGGTAAACAAACTTCAAAAATATATGCCCGATGTAACCCAGCGTATGCCGTATGGTATCCCAAGCCTCCGATACCAGGATAAAACGATGTCTCATTTCCTTTGAAGCAGCAATAATGTCACTACAAGTAGAAGTCCATGAAATAGCTCCTCCTCGGAGCAACTTTCGTCATTGTTTATCTAATAGCTTGTCCAGGGCCCCTTCTGGCGCGAAGGTCATTGTATGTCCTCGTAACATGTTGCAGTCGTGGATCATCTTCAGGAATCTCACGTTTCTGCCATTTCAGACACAGAAATGAAGGAAACAACTGTCAAAAACCACAAAGATGACGCACTGAGTCCGATTATTAGGACTTATATTAATACATCGTAAGGCCAGAGACTCACTTTTAATCCCTTGTAATATGCTTCCACCGAAAGGAATTGAGGAACTATTTTACGCGCTTCCATCAGGTCCCAGATAAAGTTGGCAACACTATAACCTCCAGTCTGCAAAAAAGAGCACAAAATATTTATAGTAAGACAATCGAAACTAATACAAAATGCATAGACCCAGGACAGGTGAAGCAATATGGCAACTCGTGATAACTCTTTAAGTTGCGCACCTCGTCACCAGCAGCTTGAAGGAGAAGATCACTCCCCATTTTTGGACTTAAGAAGAAGCTCCGGGAATTCATATTCACCTGCATTGGAACATGAAACCTTAAAATGATTTTGACTAAGGCCGTGATTTGAAATATCAAAAACTTGATTTAAGAATTAGAAGCTACAATAGAACAACCATACCAGTGTTTCTTCGGCAATTTTCATTCCCTTGGGAGTATATCCAATCATGGCTCCCTCCACAAGCGTCTACAGAAACATAGTTCAGCGTAAATTAGGGTATGCATCTGAATGATAAAAAGACTAATAACACATTAAGTGAAAAAAAAAAAAAAAATATTATCGTTTTGTTTGGCAGAGATGCTAAAACAAAGCATCAGGATACAATACGTTATAATAAGAAAAGATTAAGAACAAACAACTAGCCAGCCACATATTTCAACGTTACATATTAAATAGGACAAACTGAACCAATTATACTTGTTCCTGGCACAATTATGTTTTGGATTTTAAACAAAAACATGAGAAAAACTGATAAAAATGGTTTCTAAGTAAGCTAGTCAATGAAGCAATAAATCAGATTCTCTTAAACCAAGAACATTATTCTCACTTTTGAGTTTTTTCCACAACAGATAATCAAAGGACCAGTGTCCATATATGAAAAGAAAGTGATGTTTCATGACAAAAGAATTGTGTTTGTTGCCTAACTCACCGTATATAGTTCTACTACAGGAGGCTTTCCTGACTTCATATAGTCTTCAAAAGTTTGAACACCATGGTCAATGTCCCCTGAGTGTAGATAACACCTGAATAAAAAAATTAGCAGTGAAGACAAACGGACACAACAGAACGAATTGAGGTTACATTAACGCACAAGCAAGACAATACCATCTTAACATGTAGTGCATTTAATAAAATTTTGTAATAAAAGGTTACTTAACCTCATTATTTGCAACACAATAAACAGATCGGGACTTTTTCCTTCCTTCGCTAGCATCTCCTGAAGAGTTTCCATCACCTAGCATAATTAACAGACGTGAAGACATAAGAATCAAACTTTTATGGCAAAGGGAAAAGGGAAGGGAATCTTATTAGGCAACTTAATTTATGGTTGTATTGTTCAAACCATACAGCATTTCTTCATAGTTTGATTCATAACATAATGAAAGAAAAAACTAAATAATGGTAGGGAGTATGAATCATGACAGCCTCTCATGGTCATAAAACTTATGAACCATGTAGTGCCACATCCATGCATAGAGTGGTAAATTGTTAGGTAGATATGGATATTGCCCAATAACAAAAGATTGAAAGTACAATATCAACAAACCAAGAAAAAGACCCTGCAAGCAAACAAGATACAATGGTTTGTTTAGTGGCGTTGAGATGAGATAATAGAGATGTGAGACATTACCTCTACATTCCTGAGGTCTGCGCAAGCATGGAACGCAGCATGATAAACGGTTAGTTGCCTATTCAGAAACCCACCCCTATGAGAATATTCAGCAGTTGGCATATTATACAACTCTTCTTCCGTCACACCCATCATCACATTTTCAGCAGTCATACTTGATCCTTCAACGGATGACCACTCTTTTGATCGCTCAACAAACTCTATAATCTTAGTGCAAATGGAGAATATAAGAGCTTTGAACAGAAACAAAATAAAAGCTTACTTCAAACCAGAGGAGAAAACGATTAAATAATTACTTTGGTGCCGAAATCATCTGGTAAAGGGGTTTTGTTCCTAAGTGCAGTTACAAGTCCAGCGTAGCAGAACCTGTTTAGCCCAAGACCAGCAGCAGTCATGTCACGGACAATTGCATACCTGCATCAACAATGTAACGCAGAATTAACCGCATGAGGTACAAAATCAACATTTGGAATAACGAAACAAGCACAGAAAACCAGAGCATAAAGAAGAAACATACACTCGATCTAATCGGCCAGTAGCTGCGCACGCATTGAGCAGACACATGTAGGTCTGTACCTTGGGTGACACTTCATAGTTCTTCATGTCTTCCAAAATCTGTTAAAATGTATCACATCAAGACATAGTGACATACCCACATTCCCTTGTTAATGATTGGACTGGGCTATAAACAGCAAAAAACCTAGAGTACATCACTTTACGGCATACATTTGCTATGTTTAACAGCCAGATGTTCGGTGAACAATCCAACAGAATTCAGCCGGTATCCGCTTAAAATGCAATGTATACTATACATCCATGTACATTGTACAATATAGAAGGAATCTTACAAGTGGCAGTAAAAACCCGCACCTGAATCGCTTGATCAGAGTGCTTGCACTTCCCACACAATGTGATCAATATGTTGTACATATTAACCTACAACAACGCAATCGATTCAACACCCACACACACACACTCGCATTTTCCGAAATAACGAAACAAAAATGCCGATACAAATTTAAACAAATGACATACATCAGGGGCCAAGCCCATGGATTTCATCTGGTCAGCGAAGAAGAAAGCGTCCTGCAAGCTCGAGCCTTTGAGGGTGCCCAGTATGAGCGACCGGAAGCTGTCCTGGTCAGGCTGGACGCCGTCGAGCATCATATCCTCATACGCATCCCTCAGCAGGAAATGCTTCCTCTGAGCAGTGAGGGAATTGAACACGCTGTTGTACTCCGACACGTTGTTGGCGTAGTTCCTCTTCGCGTATTCCTCCGTCGTCGCCGCCGCCGCAAAGTACCGCCGTCCCAGAGCTCGCAGCGCCGGCCGACACTGACCTGCAGCGGCATGATTCAGCATAAACATTTTGTCCCCAAAATTTCAAAAATTAATGGAAAATCAGAGCTCTGAAGCTTTGGATTACCAGTAATGGATTGGAGGATTCTCATGGTTTGCTCTGTGGTTGACTCGCTGTGCGACTCAGTGAGTGAGAGTGGCGAGTTTATCTGTTTCTAAACCCCCAAAACTCTCCCAAACCCTCTTTCCTTTCTGCTTCCTTCGTTTTTGCCTGCGTTTCTCTCGTTCGCTGGCTTGAACAGATGAAACGCACCGTTTTCATGCGATTTTACCATGTGGGCTTTTTAAGGACTACATTTAAATGGGCCCATGTATTAAAGCCTGTAATATTGTCGTGGTCTATGAAGCCCAAACACTGATCAAGAGGTCCATTTGGTGGCTGAGGACCCCACAAGATTAGGGTTTTTGATTCGGTTTCGAGCTTAATACCGTCGGTAATGATTTGATCAGGCACTGACCACTTAGTTTGCATACCAAGACTTCCAATTCGGATCGGATTTCAAAACCAAACCATTAGTTTATTTTGATCTAGATTTATTTTTTCTGGACTTCACTGTCCGTAGTTTAAGAACCTAGAAATTCAAATGGTTCAAGAGAAAGAGATTAGGGCATTTGGTTTGTCTGAGGTAGGCGAGTGAAATGAGCTAACAGAGATAGTCGGATTCAATTTGAGTGTTTCTGATTCTTAGACTCTAGACAATGAAATCCAAAGAGAATTTCAACTCAGTCCACTCCTATTGATTCCATTGCTTCTATATAAAGAAACTTGTAATTAAGTCACTTCATGTTAAAACATTGTCCAAATTAAGTCTACTCTGAGTATGTTAATTCACTAAACATATGGTTTAACTTTGACAAAAACAATTGTTAGTAATATGAGATTCGAACTTGATGCAAATGAACGAATATACTCTACGGACCAAATAACTCAGCAAACCTCTAAATAATATAAAACATATCTAATTAGTCATATCACGTCTCAGCCAACGAAGCTATGATCTTAATCCTGATATTGCACAATTAACTGATGTGAGATTATGATAGAATTGTTTCGTTTTTGGAGATTTGATACGTTTATGAATTGATGGATTAAGTTGAACATCGTCATTACTGATAACCCTAGGGGCCTACACTGATAAGTGATGGCAAAGGATAATATTTATATGTGACTTGCAACTCCCAGCTGCCAACTCCCTTTCATATTTATTTCTGTTTGGTCAAAAGCATGTTACCAGTTATTTCCATTCATTTAATTGAGTTGTTGTTTGTGATTAAGTCCCAATTGTAAATTGCAACGTGCCAATGTCCCGTTTTGTCCGTATTGGGAATACAGCTCGATGCACCAAATATCATAATATTAGTGGTTATAATGTTTTTCAAGTATCCAACAATTTGTATTATGACACTTGGTACGGCCCAAAATTTTTATATAATAATCTTTATATTTTATTGTTAATAATTAGTTTATGGAAAATTTATGAGTTGGGTGTGGTGACTGGGGAAAGTAAGATCAAAGTGATCAGAAGCGATATTGTAAATTTCTTGGGCAAGATTCAACCTTAAATAAGCGTAAATGATCGATCACACTCTTTAATTTAGTAGTGCACTGTCTTAATTAATTAGCATAACTCAAATTTGCATAATACATACGAATTTGATTATATTATTATACTATTATATTATTATATTATTATGTGCTTATGAGCATTACACATAAAATACAAGCGATATTTGTGAACAAAAAAAGCTAGAAAACTCGTTAACATTAAAAATAAAGCCGGTCCTGAGGAGATGCAGGTGGTGCCATTATCGGTCCTGAAAGGATGCAGGTGGTGTCATCGCCGACCCTGAGAGGGCATATGTGGTGCCATTGTCGGCCTTGAGGGGCGTATGACCGAATGGATTAAGCAATGTTTTTGCTTGGGAGGGCATAGGGTTTGCTGAACTGAAGGGAATGCTGAGTCGTAGTGCCCTTGTTGTGAAGGGCCTTCAACGAGGAAGGGTTGACCTGCAAGAACAAATAGTTGCCAGCAAAGAGATCACCAAAGTGCGACTGCCCTTCCTTGAACCTCCTCACCACCTTTGCACACAGAGCAGAAATCACCTTCACCCTCCTCCTCAAGAACAACAACCTCCTCAGGCTCGGAACTCTGAGCTTGAACGATCTCCTCCGAAAGTGAACCCTTCTGAACGGTCTAAACCTGCACCAACTAGTAGTAGAATTGTTTGCCCTTGACCTCACCACCACTCTGTTCTTTTCGAAATCGAACTCGTCATCATCGAGATCCTCGTCGTGTGTGAGTCTTTGGTATGCAGGGAGCCTGGAGGAAGAAGAGGTCATTGGAGATAACTTCAAATGTTGTTTGGAGTTGGATGGAAACTGTGAGGGATATGAGATAATGGTGTTTGGGTTGAGTAGTTGGGTTTTATTTTCGTTGGGTTAGGGTTGGTTAATAATGTGATGGACAAGGAAATATGTGGTTCGAGGAAGTGCATTCAATGAAACAAACAAGGTGGGTCAGTAATTTTCTTGTAGCAAACAAGCAAAGCAGATGAGGTGGTGAGGTGAAGTTAATGCTTTAGCCAATATCAACCGTTTCATGTATTCGGCCTGACAAACAGGTCGTGTCTATCGTGTTTATGTCGTATTATGTTATATTTGTTATCTTAATAAGTCGTGTTGTGTCATATCATATTTATTATCTTAACTGTTTCTTAACATATGCTCTAATAGTGACTTGATTTGTTAATGGGTCATGCCGTTTCATGTTGAGTTAATGAGTCATGCAAAAAATTATTATGCCTAATGTCTAGATCTAGAAAGCGATATCTTATCAGGTTCTTAACAAATGACCCAATAACGATATGACTTGTTAATGGACGACCCGATAACAAATTGACTCGTTACACAAAACCTATTATTTTCATGTACTTCATGTTAGGTTAACAAGTCATGCATGAAATTAATAGGCTAGCATTGTCACCCTGGAATATTGAGTTTAGTTGAAGATATGTACTGTTACTAATTTGCTTTCGAATTATAACATATGTTAAGCATAACAAAATTTCCTTTGGGGATATTCAGAAGGTGTAAAACTAGGCAACGAAAAAGCTTAGTACTTCAACTAGAGGAGCAACCAGTTAGTTCACCAAACCTCGATCTAAGATCACACATTCTACATGTTCGAAGAATTCCGTGCCGAAAAACCGACTCCGCTCATAAACTACGTTCTTAGAATGATCATTGTTGTACTCTAATAGATGACATAACTAATATGTCGTCCATTTTATTGTAAAATTATAACACATAAATTAATAGTACAGAAAACACCATGCATGATGCATCACACTCTTTTAGACAAAAACAACATATTGATATAGAGATAAAGACATCCAACTTTAACACGCTTGTCACCGATTTGAAGAATCGAGTGAAAAGAAACGTGACACCTCTCCACTCTTTCAAGCTTCAATCCAACACCGATGGAGAAAGAAAATGACCACACACAACACATGAATCCCTTGATTCCACAACTAAGTCATACGTGTCTACTACCAACATTATTAATTTTTTCCCTTTTCTTTTTATGAAAAAGTAATAAAATTGCCTCAAATAATTGTATAAATTCTTAAGGCTTCGTTTAGTAAGTCGATCTGGATAAAACTAGACTAGACATCGAGAACTAGGGCAAGATTTTGAGTCATATACCCTGTGACCCCATGTTTAAAACAATTTGTACTACCCATGCCGATTTCGTGGACCTAATAATGATAAAATTTTAATGTTAAGAATTTTGTTTGTCAGTGTGTTAGAGGTCAAAATGTATTTAAATCATTGTACTTTAATTTAGCCAATTTGACCGTTATTTTACTGGAGGTTAATATTTTTTAATTGCACGTTGAGGAAAGTGATCAAAATTGTTAATTGCGAACAAATAAATTTTGACTTATAACAGCGACCAAAAATCTTTAACAAAAACTTTAGGTAGAGATACCCAATAAGCTTGTACTTCTAACCTAAAAATTTAGATAAAGATGCCGAACGAGCCTATATTTTAGTCCTACTCAACCCGACATTAGACCAATGCAACTTTCCCAAGGTTTATCTCCCTAATTACATCCAATCGACACATGAAGCTTTGAAAGCAAGCCATGCTCAATTATTTGAACTTTTGCTTAAGCTTTTGCCATAAGCAATGGAAAGGGATCCGGAGAGGATCCCTTTCAATAAGCAATCATCTAATCACTTGGACGATGGGACCACCATCCACAAGAAGTCAACCTCCCTAGAAATAGCAGACCACCATCTCCTATTTTAGGAATCGAGATCCTTACTGTATTTCTGTGTTCGGAACCGCCAGATTTAAACTTATTGCAAATCTTACGATCACATTAGTCAATTTTACTGATTCACCTCGAGGGTCAAAATCTCTCTGCCTCTTTAGAACCGTCCGATTTCTCGGTCTAACGAGACTATGAAATCCGAAGAGGATCTGAATTCCTACTTTACCCCAAAGAAAGAAAAGAAGAGGACCACTGGATCGGCATCTATAAAGCAAAAGCAACAATGAAATTACAAATATGTACAAAGGGCAGCACTTCATTTCTTTTTCTTTTTAAACAACCCAAAAAAATACCAGACACTCGGATCATTATCATCATATGCTGATCATCCAAAGCAATGGACTACAAAGAATGTGATTAAAAATATAAAAATAAAATAAAATAAAAAACCCAATACAAACAATGTCAGCACTCTGGCACGAAAGAGGGTCGTCCTTAATACAGTTTTATCCGGGTTTGGATTGCCGTTCTGCATATTGGGCACGTTTGAAGATTCTGTCCACAGTCGCAACATGTCTGCGCCGGAAACATAAACACTGAGAAGTAAGAACACGGTGCTAACAATATGATCGTCTCAACTCATCTTGAAACTATAACTCAAAAATGTACCTGATGCCCGCAACCAAAGGCCATGTCTTTTGGATTCGTAAGGCAAATGGGGCAAACCTGTTCAACACCATATAAAAGGTTAACCCACGAGTGCTACAAACGCATCAAAACAGGTTTAAAGGTGGCTGCTGAGAAGTTCGCATACCTGATTATCATAGGTAGAACTGGGAGCAGATGGAGCTGTACCGACGGAACTGCTGTCTCCATAATAAGGGGGAACACTACGCTCATAACTGGTAGTTTGAGAAGGTTTCGTGAAAGATGGTGTACTGAAACTGGTACCACGGGAAGGTTTTGAGCTGCTGAAAGATGACGCACCATACACTGGTGGGGGAAGAGGAACCCTCTCAGGAATATTGCCCTTCCGACTGCTGCCCATTTTCAAGAACAGAATTGTGTATTAACATTAAGTACACAGTGGTATTCAAAAAGCTTTTAGAGATGAGAAATATGGACAGCATTGTTACCCCAGTATACTAAGTTCTAATGTCGCTTTATACTGAGAAGGAATTTCCATCAAGGCTGCTAGAGCAAATTCCGTCTCCTTTCTTGATGGTGGCACGTTCTTTGACATAATTTGCGTAAAATTCACGAACTACAAACAACAACAAAAATTTGCTTTCCAGTTATGTACTTTCCAATAATCATAAACGAGCGATCATGAGTAACATAAAGAAACTCGTATTAAAATGCTGAGAACTTACTTGGAAATTATCAAATGCCCGAGTAGGAATATTGTCATCAAATTCTTTCATCATGTCCCAGGGCCCATCTCCAACACCAACTAATATAATTGATAGAGGGAGCTTGCTGTGATAAAATAAGTGTACAAGATAAATAACGGTTGGTAAAAAAACGACGACGCATGGTTAGGAAAAAAAAAAAAAAACTACCACACTCACCTTGCTGCAACAATGGCATTAACTGTGTTCTGCTCCTGAGGGCTCAGCCTGCCATGTTCAGTATCAACACTTCTAGTTACCTAAGGCAAAAAATCACATTATGTCAGAAAAAAATATTGGGAAAACTTGTGATTACAATACAACATTACCACTTGCAACCATCATAAAACAGGAGAGCAAGAATCAGCAGAGCTCGTTAAGAATAGCTATCATACAAGATTACGCCTATGGACTATCCAAGAACCTAACTTATCACACAACTTAAGAAGGAGATAGGGCAGGCACCACTCAGATATCCGCAAGCGGATATCCTGAACTGGGATAGACTTTAAAACCAAACAGACAATTCCCATAAGAAAAGGCAGGAATTTCCTTCATAGATAAAACAAGATTATAGAACGGCCAGCGTATACTCTACTAAATAAAACAAGATTAAAGCAAGATACCTGGCCATCTGCAATAATCAACAGTACATGGTACTGGCCGCGACTCTCCTCAACAATAGTCATGGCCTGTTCAATTACAGGTGCAAATGAAGTCGGTCCTGCCAAACATAATGAGATAATGTAAGACGACTGGTTAGCTGATACCATGACCATGTCAAGAAACAAGTATATATAGGAAGCATCAGTCAAACCTGCAAGCCGTAGCTTAGGAACAATTTCCCTGTAGCGAGTCAATACTTCCTCAAAACCATTGCAATATCTATCATCATAGAAACTAAAGACATCTTGATCATGGGTTGACGCTGCAAAGTAACAAAGTGACGATTATTATCCCAGGTTTGAAAGAACAAACCCTTAGACAAACAAATCGACAATACATAAATAAAACCTTACCATCACCAAAGCCGAAACAGGGAATTAGGTTATCCTCATCAAAAACAGCCAAGGTTTTTCCAATTATGGATATCGCATGTTCATAGGGATTTGGCACATTCCCAATGTGATGCAAGCTTTTTCGGTTAAATGACCTCGAACCTACTCACACAACCAATTTCAGTATCTTCCACAGCAACACATACACAGATTACACTATATTGTTACATGAGATAAGATACTAATGAGCTTGACCTGTCCATTCATTGCTCTTTGTGAAATCAATACCGACGATAAGATTCGAAGACTCGAGACCAGCACGCGCAAGAGCCTCCGTCACCTGAAAACAAGTAAAGTTGGTCAACATAATTAACCATCGCAGGCAGTTAACAAAACTTTAACCCAAAAACAGGGAAGCTTGCAGAAGATACCGCCGCGCTAATCTTACCTCCTCCAGGGAATTGTAATTATCAGCAATTCTAGAATATCTCCTATCGAACTTCTTCTCCTGAGGCCGATGGGCTGCAGGAGCAGCCGGCCGAGGGGCTGCAGGAGCAGCCGGCCGAGGCACTGCAGGAGCAGCGTACTCGGGGGCATAGTAAGGCTGTGCTATTTGATAGGATTCCTGGGGTGGTGGTGGATGGCTACTTTCTTGACCATATGATGGTTGAGCGTATGACGATTCAGAATATGTTGGTTGATCATCCGTATAGCCGTCCCACGCAGAACTCCAACGAGTAGACGAATCCGGCCTATAGCTCCCCTCTTTTGAACTTCTCCCACCCATTAACCCAACTCAGAATAAATTCCCAAAATCTAAAAGGAATCCTGTTTCCCTTTTCCCTTCCGAATGCAGCCCACAAAAATCAACCGAACGAGTCGAAATCCGCACCTACAAAGCAGCCAAAACAAAACCCAGAACGCAGAAACTATGAACTCAAATCCGCACCTAAAAAGCAGCCAAAAAACCCAGAAAACGAAAGCTTTGAATTCAAAATACACCCTCCGCAGCCAAAACAAAACCCAGAAAGCGAAAACTATGAATTCAATACTGGTGGGCGCATATATATATATATATATATATATATATGTGAGGACTCGAAAACAGAGTTCGGAACAGGTGAGGATTGGTGGAAGTCTCTAAAGAAAGTTCGTATTCAGTTTCGCAAATTTGAAGGGTGATTTGGAAGGCTCAAGGACACAAAGTTGGACACGACTCGTTCATACCATTACAAAATTGTATTCACCGCCGACTTAAAATAAACCCCCTGTTCTGCTAAGTTTTCTACCTTTGCCGAAAATTACGCGCCAAGTGTCGCTTCCACCGCAAGCCACAAACAGGTAAGATTTTGATGGCGTACCCACCAAAACTAATAAAATTCCCAAATCAAAAATCACATGTAAAATGCAGAGAACAAGAAAAGAAAAAATACTGAAACGACCTCAGGAAAATCAGAGCGACACTGTCGAACGGACTAAGAGATCTCGATCTCGATCGTACGTACCTGAGGAAGGAGGGCTCTGAAACATGGCGAGCAGCCGCCAATGGACGACTTGCAGCGATGAGAGGGAGAGGGAGACTGAGTTAGGTTTAATTAGTAGATTAATGGGTTGGTGGATCTAATTAATCGATTATAAAAATATGATTAGAAAGTGGGGGAAGCTCTTTTTCTTTTAGAAGAAAGTGGGGAAGCTTTTTCTGAGTTCTCTTTTGAAAAACTGAATATTTGAGAAATCGGAATCAGAGGAAAATTGGGGCTGGAAGTTTCGCCGAAGTGGGCACCGCAATAATGGCTGTTACTGTTTTTGGATTCGGTGTTTTTGAAAACGGAGATGGAAAGTTTTTTTTTTTTTTTTTTTTTCTCAGAAAAAACTGTGGCCTCACGTTCTTCAAACTCCATAATCTCATCTTGTATTCTGGAAAAAGGATAATACTTGTTGTGTTATATGATAATGACTTGTTTTTAGATACTTATAATTTTTTAAGAAAATGTTTTTAAGTTTCAAAATATTTGAAGTGTTTTTTTATAATTCACTTGTATCTCTATTAACCTCTACTAATTAATAAAACACTCATTATCAACCAAAATTTTATGAAATTATCAGTTTAACCTTCTAATTAAAACAAAAAATGAATGAAAAATATGGAACAGAAATGTAATTTCACATAATCAAATTTTGCTTTTTTTTAAGCCTCATCTACATATAATCCTAATATATCTCTAATAAAAATAAAAAATAAAAACTTTCCACTTCCACATTCTCTTCAACTCTCTTCATCTCTCATTCTATTTCAAAAAAATAAATAAAAAATTTTCTCTGCACCCATATGCTAGTACTGATTATTGGTTCTAAAAATATTTTTACCATAAATATTTTTAATCATTTTAAAAGCATTTTTAAGTAAGCTTTGATTGTGATTAACGTGTATTATTGTATCTTTAAGAAAATGGGAACGCTTTAGAGCTACTTTTTCTGAGTTCTCTTTTGAAAAACTGAATATTTAAGAAAATTGGAATCCGAAGAAAGTTGGGGCTCTGCACATGGAAGTTTCGCCGAAGTGGGTACCTTAATAATGGCTGTTTTTGTTTTTGGATTCGGTGTTTTGATAACGGAAATTGAAAGTTTTTGAGTTCTGGTTTATTTTTTGTTTAGAAAAAAACTCTGGTTTGAATTTGGAGAAAGTCCACCTAGGATATGGATGAATGATTGGGTGGTTGATTGGCTGCGACTGTAGCCTCACGTTCTCCAAACTCCCTAATCTTGTATTCTGGAAAAAGGATAATATTGCGTTTCGGTGTGTTTTGTAATATACGATAGTGACTCGTTTATAAATACTTTTAAATTTATTAAAAGTGTTTTTTTTATAAATATTTTTAGGTTTCAAAAATATTTGAAGTATTTTTTTTTTAATTCATTGTATTTTTACTAAATATTAATTTTAAAAATAATTTTATTAAAATAATTTTTAATTATTTTAAAAACACTTCTAAATGAAATTTTGATTGTGACTAACGTGTATTATTGTATCTTGACATGGTCAAAATCTTTTCATAATATTTGGCAATTGTTTAGTTTACGTGTGTTTGAAGAGATATGATGATTTTGATAACAATTAATATATTTATAATGAATTGACTCGACTGTGACAAGTTGATGTAGATGGGACTATACTTCTGTTTATCCATAGGTGCACCACCGTGTTCATACTCTTTACGTTAACGTTTTTCAATCTATAAATTTCATAATTATAATTGTTTATATTTTCTTAATGATTCTTTAAAGATTTCATGTAAAAAATAAAAATCAATTAAATAAAAGATAATCTAGTTATCTATGTGCACAAAATAAAAAGAAGCTTATCACGCTTCATTATGCCAATGTCAAATCGTTAATTTGTTACACAAGTAACTTAATTGAATTTTTATAGAAATAAATTTTAAATGATGATTAAAAAATACATCAGTCAAACGATTGCGATTACAAAGTTTGTATTAAAAAATACGTTAACCTAAAGTTGATGTACAAGGAGGTTAATTCACAAGAAAGATTAAGAAGAAGGGAGCTCACCGCCATCATAATGTTCCAATTCACAAGGACAAAATCATGTCTAAAACCCTCTTTACATGTAAGCAGCCCCGAATGGTGCTACGACGGCAACCTATACTCTAAGGGCTCGTTTGAAATAATTAAAAACGTTTTTAGATAAAATATTTTTGGATTCCAAAAGCACTTAAAGTGATTTTTGCAAGAAGCACTAATTATGTGCTTCTTCTAGGAAGCATCTTAAGTGTTTTCCATCATTTACTTGTATCTTTACTAAAGATTGATTCTAAAAATATTTTCATCAAAATACTTTCAATAATTTTAAAGCACGTCCAAACAAACTTTAAAGTCTGTCTCGCATGTGATTAAATACATAAATTTTTTCAAATGAACGCACTCATAAAGTGGACTCGAGTATTGTCTAAAGATTCGCATCCTTCTGTCAAGGCCACCCATTTCCAGTCAAGAACCCAAAGGGAATAATCTTCCACCATATTTCTGTGCACCAATGATAGAAACTGTCACTGCAAAAATGAGAAGGACCTTTAATATTTTTAATTAATATGGCTTGTGTATTTGTATACGCAACAATGTGGATGGACATAACTTGTGCAATAAGATATGGTGCAAACCACTCCTGTGACGTCACGACCATTTTGTCACGGCTTTCGACTCATTTTATTTACACAACATTATTCGGGAGTGCAAAAGGCGGACCACCAGTCAATGGCAAGAGGTAAGGGCACAAAACATAGAGTGGTCCTGCAAGAATAAAGGTCACTTGAGTTTTGAGTTCCCATAAAAGAAGGGAAAGGGGAAAAGTCATAGTTGCTGTTTCTTTGAGATTGGTTTGATGTCATTTGATTAGACCATCTCCAACCGACTTTGTTAAAGAGTCATAAGCTAAAATATAACTTATTTTGAAACCCATCTTCAACCGAAGGCTAGACTGGCTTGTGGGTCCCATCCGGCCAAATCAGCCACCAGGTTAGCGAGCTGGCCATAATCAGACGTCAAGTTCCTATTGCATTTGATTTTTTTTTTTTTTTTTTTAGACAAATTTTTTTTAATTCTAATTTTTTCCTATAAATATCTAAGTCATTTCTACAACATTTCTCACATCATTTTCATCATTTCATACTATCTTACCTTATTTTATTTCAATTATTCACCAATTTTTCACATCATTTTCATTATATGAAAATAAAAAAAATCCGAAGGCTTATTCATTCAGCGACAAGTAGCACTCAAAATATGTTTGAAAATCTTATTTTAATACGATATTTTAATTCAATTAAAATAATAAATTATTGAGGGGCTAAAAAATAACCCCCTTTGGTTAAAGATGGGTTTTTTTTTTGTCAAAGGGCTATATTTTGGCCTATGATATTTTGGTCCCCTCGGTTAGAGATGATATAAAATATGGTTTGACACTGTTTATTAAAAAAAAAAAAAAATTCTTGTAGGCCTATAGGACTAAATATGACACTTTAACTCTTTTTCGGTTGAAGATAACCTTAATAGATTAGAATCCGCTCGAACCGAGCTAACCCCAATTGGAACCGGTTGTGACTTTAAACGGTCACAACAAGCTGTGTTTGACATTGTCGTTTAAAAGCTTCGTGTGTCGTAGACATGGCACCTCCTGTGGACTATGACCGTGGGCCATGGGATGGCCCTCGCACAACACAACATTCCAATGTGGTAAAAGAATCCCAATGGATTTCTGAAGCTGGCCCCACCTACTTCCACACTCTCCATTCTCATTTGATCCCACAAGGCTACAAACTAGAGTTTGGCGACGACCATCACCATCACTGTTGTCTCCTCCCAATCCTTCTAATTGCCATCAACAAATTGCACAACGTCTTTGGGCATGCATGTGAGAATAGTCAAGGGATGCTTCAAACTAGTGTTTGGCAAACAAACCTTGGACCCGCGAGTCAGGATGAGTTCAAACGGATTGGAAAAGGTATGGGATGGGTTTAAATATTTTAAGAATAAACGGAATGAGTCCAAAAATTAAAAAAAACAAGGGCCTGGCCGGGATTATTTCTCCCTCTCTCTGACGTCTAGCGACGACCATCACCATCATCTCCTCCCAAAACCTTCTAATCGCCAACAACAAATTGTGCAACGTCTTTGGGCACGCATGTGAGAATAGCCAAAGGATGCTTCAACAGTTGACTCAGAATTCAATGCTTTATGAGATCATAACCAAATTAAAAGTTTAAAAAGCACGGTGAAGGAAGGTTCAAAGTCACTGCCAAGTTTTCCTTAAAAAATACACAAATTGAAGGGTAATTTAGGTATATCAAGTCATCTGCTTGATACCCACGGCGGAACAAGGTCTCAAAGTCGCTGCCAAATTTTCCTTGAAAATAAACAAATAGGAAGGTACTTCAGGTATACAAGTCATTTGCTTGGTACTCACGTAGTGTCGACCGCACTCTAGCACCGCCATCCCTTTCTCTCTCCCGCGAAAAGAGGTAGCCAAAGCTGCTCTCACTCTCTCACCCATGGCCATGCTCCAGAAAAACTCGGTCGGATCCATCGGGCTTGACGGCTAGCCCGAACCCGAAGAGCGTACGGAAACGAAGCACAATGGCGAGCTCAGTTCTTCCCCCGCTGCTAACAAGCTGCTGAAGTTCGCTATAATCGGTCTCATTGCCTGCCTGGGCTTGCTCTGTTTGTACTACGGGAGTTATTTCGGGCCGCGCTTTCTCCATCGCGATTTGGATGATTTGCCTGTATGTAACACAGTAATTAATGGTTTACTTGTTTTGTTGATTAGTGTAATTGTCGCTAGTTAATCAAAGATTAATGCATACTTCAATCGCATCATTTGGGGTTTTCATTTGGGAAGAAGAAGTTGCACCCTTTTGTATAACGGATTGTTGTATCTGGATTTTGTTGAATGCTGTTCTTTATAATCCATAAATGTTAAACCTTTTGTTCCAGAATTAGTACAATCTGCTCATTTTTGCTCAAGTTTATGGCGTTTTACTGTTTTTGCAGATTTGTGATTTACAGTTTTCAGAGTTGATACCATGTCTTGATAGAAACCTTATCTACCAACTGCGGTTGAAGCCGAATTTGACGTTTAGGGAGCATTAAGCCTTGCCCGGCTCCAGAGCGGCGTTATAATTGCTTGATACCGCCCCCGCTTGGTTATAAGGTTGGTTGTCATTGTTTCTGTATGAGTTTTACTTTGCTTGACTTCGCTTAGTGATGATTCCGACGAAACCATTTCTAGAGTTTCAGATACCTATATGATGGCCGGAAAGTAGAGATGAAGTGTGGAAGGCCAACATTCCACACACCCATCTTGCACAAGTGAAATCTGATCAGAATTGGATGGTTGTGAATGGGGACAAGATCAGTTTCCCGGGAGGTGGAACGCATTTCCATGACGGAGCTGGTAAGTACATTGTTGCTCTTTCTAGGGTACTTAAACACCGACTCAGTTCTGGATTCTTTTCTATCTTTATTTTGTAGTATAAAAGGAACAGCAAGTAGAAAAGAAAAACGAAAAATTCCAATTCGCCAATGGTCTATGCTTATTATTTGTGTAGATGCCAAGTAAAATATTTGTTAAGACATATTTAGAGAGCTGTTATTAGTACTTCAAAAATCTCATTGTACACTTCGTACAAGTGTATTTTTCTTTCTAATTATAGAAAGTTTGGAGTGCCAAATGAGATTTTTGAAGTGCTAATAACAATTTTCTGTATTTATATACATTTTATTTTAGTTTGGAAGTCGACTTTTTTTGTTTTCTTCTTTCTTTATCCAGTTGAGAGTATCATTGATTGTGATCCTGTGCAACTAGTTGTTGATTCGTTTTGAATAATCAAATTACAAAATTTGTATTAAAAAAATACGTTAATCTAACGTTAGCGTACAAGATGGTCAATTCATGAGAATGACTAACAAAAAAAAGTCACCGCCATCATAATGTTCCAATTCACTATGACATGATCATGTGTAAAACCCTCTTTACATAGTAGCGGCCCCGAATGCTGCTACCACGGCAACCTGTTCTCTAAAAAGTCTCTCTCGCGTCTGATTAAATACATATATTTTTTTTTTCAAATAAACGCACTCATAAAAGTGGACGCGAGCATTGTCTAAAGATTCGCATCGTTCTGTCAAGACCATCCATTTACAGGCAAGAACCCAAAGGGAATACTTTTCCACCATATTACTGTGCATCAATGATGGAATTGTCACGGCAAAATTCAAAAGGACTTTTAATACTTTTCATTAAATTTGACTTGTGTATTTGTACACGCATCAATGTAGACCGGGCATAACTTGTGCAATAAGGTATGGTGCAAATCACACTTATGACGTCACGACTATTTTATCACGGCATTCGACTCATTTGTTTATACAAAATTACAGCACAGCCCAAACCAGCTCCAATTAGAGAAAATTAATGGATTGGAATTAGCCCGAACCGAACCAGCTCCAATTTGAACCAGTGATGACTTTAAACGGTCAGTGTAAGGTGTGTTTGACATTGTCGTTTAAATCGAGCTTCATGTCGGAGACTTGACACCTCCTGTGTGGGCTATGACCTTGGGCCATGGGACGGGCCTTGCACCACGCAACATTCCAATGGGGTAAAAGAATCCCAATGGATTTCTGGAGCAAGCCTTACCTACTTCTACGTGGCTACAAACTAGAGTTTGACAAACGAACTTTGGACCCGCGAGTCGGGATGAGTCCAAAAGGATTAGAAAAGGTACGGGGTGGTTTAATTTTTTTAAGAATAAATGGGGTGAGTCCAAAAATAAATAAATAAACGAAATCCCAACCCCGATTTTTTTCGCGCTTTGGCATTTGGCGATGACCGTCACCATCACCTCCTCCCAAACCTTCCAATCGTCAACAACAAATAACGCAACGTCTTTAGACACGCATGTGAGAATAAACAAAAATGCATCAACAGTTGAGTCGAATTCAATGTTTCCTAAGCTCATAACCAAATGAAAAGTTTGAAAAGCACGGCGAAAGAAGGTTCAAAGTCACTGCCAAATTTTCCTTAAAAAATACACAAATCGAAGGGTACTTTAGGTATATCAAGTCATCTGCTTGATACCCACGGCGGAACACGGTCTCAAAGTCGCTGCCAAATTTTCCTGAAAAATAAACAGATAGGAGGGTACTTTAGGTATATAGGGTTGTTTGAAATCCTTTTAAAATGAATAAAAGTGTTTTTGATAAAAATATTTTTAAAATTAACTTTTAGTAAAAATTCAAGTAGATTTAAAAATATTTTTACAGTACTTCCTATAAGAAGTATATATGTAATGCTTCTTTTCAAACACACTTAAAATACTTTTAAAACTTAAATCAATTTCACAAAAAGCTTTCAATCGTTTTAAAAACACGAGGTCAGTCAATTGCTTGGTACTCACGTAGTGTAGTCTCGACCGCACTTTAGCATTGCCATACCTTTCTCTATCCCGCGAAAAGCGGGTAGCTAAATCTGCTCTCACTTTCTCACCCATCCTCCAGAAAGGTCGGATCCATCGGGCTTGACGGCTAGCCCGAACCCAAAGAACGTACGGAAATGAAGCACAATGGCGAGCTCAGTTCTTTCCCCGCTGCGAACAAGCTGCTGAAGTTCGCTATAATCGCTCTCATTGCCTGCCTGGGCTTGCTCTGTTTGCACTACGGGTGTTCTTTCGGGCCGGGCTCGCGGAGATCCGACGAGGAAGCTTCCGGGTCCGATGGACTCCACCCGCTTTTCGGTGGGTTCGTTCACCATCGCGATTTGGATGATTTGCATGACAATCAGGAGCACAACTCTGAGATCCTTAAAAGCTTGCCTGTATGTAACACAGTAATTAATGGTTTACTTGTTTTGTTGATTAGTGTAATTGTCGCTAGTTAATCAAAGATTCATGCATACTTCAATCGCATCATTTGGGGTATTCATTTGGGAAGAAGAAGTTGCACCCTTTTGTATAACGGATTGTTGTATCTGGATTTTATTGAATGCTGTTCTTTATAATCCATAAATGTTAAACTTTTTGTTCCAGAATTAGTACAATGTGCTCATTTGTGCTCAAGTTTATGGCGTTTTCGTGTTTTCGCAGATTTGTGACTTACAGTTTTCAGAGTTGATACCATGTCTTGATAGAAACCTTATCTACCAACTGCGATTGAAGCTGAATTTGACGTTTAGGGAGCACTATGAGCGGCATTGCCCGGCTCCAGAGCGGCGTTATAATTGCCTGATACCGCCCCCACTTGGTTATAAGGTTGGTTGTCATTGCTTCCGTATGAGTTTTACTTTGCTTGACTTCTCTTAGTGATGATCTGACGAAACCATTTCTAGAATTTCAGATACCTATAAGATGGCCGGAAAGTAGAGATGAAGTGTGGAAGGCCAACATTCCACACACCCATCTTGCACAAGTGAAATCTGATCAGAATTGGATGGTTGTGAATGGGGACAAGATCAGTTTTCCGGGTGGTGGGACGCATTTCCATGATGGAGCTGATAAGTACATTGTTGCTCTTTCCAGGGTACTTAAACACTGACTCAGTTCTGGATTCTTTTCTATCTTTATTTTGTAGTATAAAGGGAATAGTAAGTAGAAAAGAAAAACGAAAAATTCCAATTCGCGAATGGTATGCTTATTATTTGTGTAGATGCTAAAGTTTCCTGGTGATAAATTCAACAATGGAGGCAATATCCGGAATGTTCTCGATGTGGGTTGTGGAGTTGCGAGTTTTGGGGCATATCTTCTTTCTCACAACGTCATAGCGCTGTCTCTTGCTCCGAATGATGCACATGAGAATCAAATACAATTTGCTCTAGAGAGGGGGATTCCATCCACTCTTGGTATCTTGGGTATAAAAAGACTTACTTATCCAAGCAGATCATTTGAGCTGGCTCATTGCTCACGCTGTCGAATAGATTGGCTTCAAAGAGATGGGATCCTGCTATTAGAGCTTGATAGATTACTGAGACCTGGTGGGTATTTTGTGTATACTTCTCCTGAAGCATATGCACTTGATCCAGAAAATAGGAGGATCTGGAATGCTATGTATGATCTTCTGAAAAGAATGTGCTGGAGAGTTGTAGCGAAGAAAGAGCCTAGTGTTGTATGGGCCAAGCCCCTGACTAATAGTTGTTACTTGAAGAGAGATTCTAGGACCCAGCCCCCTCTGTGTGATTCCAAGGATGACCCAGATACAAGTTGGAACGTAAGCATGAAGGCGTGCATTTCTCGATACTCTGGAAGTAAGTAGCATTGCTATACTTCCATTGTCAATTTTTTAGGCTTTCCACCTCCTAATCTTATCATTACTAAAAATTGCAAACCAGAGATGCACAAGGAAAGAGGAAGTGGACTAGCTCCTTGGCCACAGAGGCTTACTGCAGCACCGCCTCGCCTGGAAGAAATTGGCGTCAGTCCTGAAGAATTCCAAGAGGACACTGTAAGTTTCCTGATTACAAGCTAACTGTTCACGTTGATGTTACAAGCTAACTGTTCACGTAGATGTTTGCCTACTAAACTTTACTATTCTATTTAATGAGAGACTGAAAAATCCACGTGCTGCAGAACATATGGCGCTTTAGAGTGATCGAGTACTGGAAGCAGATGAAGTCTGTCATACAGGAAAATTCAATTAGAAATATCATGGACATGAACTCATACCTTGGTGGATTTGCTGCTGCCCTGAATGAAAAAGACGTCTGGGTAATGAATGTGGCTCCTGTCAATGTTTCGGCCAGACTAAAGATCATCTACGATCGAGGATTAATTGGGACTGTTCATGACTGGTATGCATTTTGATTTGATTATTCTCAGTAATTACAATTCATAATTTCTTGTCACATATTATTGGTCTGTTCAGAGAGTTGAATATTTTCGCTCACTGTGTTGTATAGGTGTGAAGCATTTTCAACATATCCACGTACATATGATCTTCTACATGCGTGGGAAGTATTCTCAGAGATTGCTGAACGGGGTTGCAATGCAGAAGATCTATTGATTGAAATGGATAGGATACTCAGACCAGATGGCTTTGTCATTATACGAGACAAACCTGCTGTTATAAACTATATTCGAAAGTTTCTGACTGCCTTGAAGTGGGATGGCTGGTTATCAGAAGTAGAACCGCAGGTCGATGCTCTTTCCTCAAGTGACGAAAGAGTTTTGATTGCGAGAAAGAAGTTGTGGGACGAGGGGATTTCAGTAATGTGATTCTGCTTGATTTTTAGGTACATGACCTAATTCATTTCACATTGATATGGATCTTCTACACATTTTGTACTGAGAATTCCATACGTTTTGTTATTTCCTTGTTAATTTGTGCAGACTCTCACTCTGCGGAAATTTGACATTTGTTTTTTTCTTCTCCTCTTTCAAGATGTGCCAGATGCGTTATTGGTGCACAGCCCTGCCAGTCGAAGAGAATGTATCGAAAGAGTAGAGAGCCAAGGGAATGTCTCAGTTACTGGTCGAGGCCATGATGCGCTTTGTTTCGTGAGATTGAGATGGTAGTGGCGACTCCAAACCAATAAGGCTCCCGCTTTGCGAGGGTCGGAAAGAACGTCTATCGTAAACACCCTTACCTAGCTTTGCACAGGTTAGAAAATGTGCAAAGTTACGGTAGGAGAAAGGCGCAACAAAATTGAAGAAAAACTAGCATAATTAGGAGACTGTTTTGCATTGGGATATTATCTTATTTTTTACAATTAGCCCTTTAGCCAAAATGGTGAGATTTGCATAACTTCTCACCTTGGTCCCTGATATTTGAAATCAATAGAATTGGTCATTGATCCTTATTTAACATAATTTTTTTATCAAGGGACCAAAATGATTGATAGTAGACAATCTCATAGACCACTCCTATTGATTTTCAAATCTCAGGAACCAAAGTGAGGAGTTAAAACAAATTTTAAGGACTATTTTGTCTAAAAAGCCTGTACAATTAGATAGTAATTGGAAATTGATTATATGGTTTTGGACCTATTGTTTTATGAATTTTGTACGATGCGGAAGAGTTGATAATGGTTGTTTGTCCTCCAATTTTCTACGAACTACGTACGAACACTTCGACGTTCGGGTTACATGTAAGTTCTTTCTCATATGTTTCAAATCTTACTTGTTATTGAGACACCAAGGTAGCGGTATTATACGATTTCATATGGGCAAGTTAAAATACACGACAATGCTCTAATAGGCTCATGATTCCGCCCACCTTTGAATTCCCGGTTGAAAGTAGGTTGTTTTCCACGAGGCTTAAGCAGAAGAAGAAGACGGGAGGCACGTTCTCCACACGAGACCGACCACACACGAGAATGGCGTTCTTGTTCCCGCGAATTTCGTAATTCCCTACTTTCTCGCTCTAATTTTCTAAACCAGGAAGGGACGCTTCCAAGTTCCAACCCCTCCGGATTAGGACTAGGATTAGTATTAAGGGCACTATTAGGGGCATACCTCTCTCTCTCTAATCTCTGTAATTTCTCCCTAATCACCCAACAGAAAATCTCACCGCCTTCACTCTCGTTGCGTTCCCATGCCCTTCACTCATACGCTTCCATTCGCTTCCATGAATTCATCTGCAGGTGTGGATCCATTGACCAATGCCCTCAAAACCAACCTGTCCCTCAATCCATCGTCTAATGGCAACGCCTCCAATGCCAAACCCTCAGCCAAGCAACCGTTTTTCATCGGTACGTAGCCACATTGGTCAGAGCGGATGCCTTCTCTTGCAATTTCAATCTGCATTTCCATGTTTCTTTATGTTTGTTTGTTAATGGTCAGGTGTTGCCGGTGGGACTGCATCCGGAAAAACTACCGTCTGCAACATGATCATCTCCCAGCTGCGCGATCAGCGTGTTGTTCTTGTAAATCAAGTACTCGTTTCTTTCGCTTTTTTTTTTCTTTCCTAATTTGTTCTTCGTAGTGATTTTTGCACACCCCTCATTTATTTCTAGCATTTTGAATTGAATAAATGGACAAAGAGTCGAGGGACGTAAACAAAAAAGGGTGTGCAGAAGATGAAGAGAGGTGTGCGGCAATCATCTTCCTTGTTCTTCATGTTTTGTGTTGTGTTTTATAGGATTCGTTTTATCATTCCTTGGATGCTGAGAAGCTGAAAAGGGTTCATGAGTACAATTTTGATCATCCCGGTAGCCATTTCTTTCGTGAATCATGCTAATGTTTGATTGATTTCAAATCAAATTTGACTAGAGATGTGTTCTTTCACTTCTTTTTTCTTGCGACTTGTGATGTTTCTTCACATTGCAATTGCTTTTCGATTTTAGAGGCATTCAACACAGAGCTTTTGCTTTCTTGCATGGAGCACTTAAAGCGCGGACAGGCAGTCAGCATCCCGAATTATGATTTTAAGACTCATCAAGCTATAGAACCAGCTCGGAAGGTAATCCAGTCGGAGTCTCAGTTAACACGTTTTCCGGCATTGCTGCTTATTTTGATCAAATAATTGCAGGTTAACCCCCCAGATATAATCATTTTAGAGGGAATACTTGTTCTCCATGACCCTCGCGTCCGCGATCTCATGAACATGAAAATATTCGTCGACACAGGTTATCTTTATCTATTTGCCCTCATAGTTAAGCAATTTGAGGTTGGAAGTTGGAACAAACTATCTAGCAATTGAGTAGATTCTGATGTACGCCTTTTCGTATGTGTTTCGCATAGTATGTCCTCTTATCCAATAACCATCATAACAGTTCCACCAGTGCAGATTCTGATGTACGCCTTTCTCGGAGAATTCAACGTGACACTGTTGAAAGAGGCAGAAATATCGAGAATGTGCTTGACCAAGTTGGTTCAACTCTCCCCCTTTTCTTTTCCCTTCCTTGGATGCTAATTGAAGTGCTACTATGTATTCGAAATTTCTTGTGACCACCAGTTGGCTGTAATTTGCAGTATGCCAGATTCGTGAAGCCTAGTTTCGAAGAGTTCATACTTCCCTCGAAAAAATATGCAGACATCATCATTCCTCGAGGAGGAGATAACGATGTTGCAATTGACTTGATTGTACAACATATTCATACAAAGCTTGGCCAGCACGAACTGTGTAAAATATATCCAAACATCGTCGTTATACATTCAACGTTTCAGGTGACATTCACAACTTTGTAACCCTTGAACTTGTTTTGTTTATATTCGAAATCTCTGCATTCGAAAAGGGGAATGATAGGAAGGGGGACAGATTCTAAACTTGCTGTTTCTTTTGTTTCGTTCAGATACGGGGAATGCACACCCTAATTCGCGATGCCAAAACAACGAAGCATGACTTCGTCTTTTATGCAGACCGACTTATTCGCTTGGTACATCTACACCTTTATGTTACGAAGTTTTTTTTTCTGACTGCCGATAAGCATGCTGTAGCGTATAATGGTGTGAACGAACACTTCAGGTTGTGGAGCATGGACTAGGTCAGCTTCCCTTCAAAGAAAAGCAGATCATTACCCCAACAGGTAGCTCTTCTAGAAGTTATTGATACGACATTCAATTAGATGAACTCGTTGGATAATCGTCATCACATTGCAACACCATTGTCGATAGACCATACATAATGTCTTTATACGACTTTCAATTAGATGATGGGTTATTTTCATGGCAGGAACTGTGTACAGTGGAGTTATTTTCTACAAACGCTTGTGCGGCGTTTCAGTCATTAGAAGGTTTGTTCATCAGAACCTTACAAAACTCGATGATCAGCCTGATCTTCGTAAACCAATTTGCATTTTTCTGCTATGGAGGAGTTGGATTCACATCCATATCTTAATTTTTGTGTGTGAAATTCTTGAAATACATCGTCTCATCGTGTTCGAATTTCCTTGTATCAGTGGAGAAAGCATGGAGAACGCACTTAGAGCATGCTGCAAGGGTATTAAAATCGGAAAAATCCTCATCCATGGAAAGGGTAACGATGGCCGAGAGGTTCGTGGAGGAAACCATTGTTTCACCTCTCTCTCTCTCTCTCTCTCTCTCTCTCTCTCTCTCTCTCTCTCTCTCTCATGCTTATATCCTTACAATGTTGCTGCAGTTGATCTATGAGAAGCTACCAAAAGACATCGCAAGCCGGCATGTGTTATTTCTTGATCCTGTTCTGGCTTCAGGTTTGAGAAAACCAACATCTAACGTCTAATTGGGAAGCATATAATGTCTTCTAAAATCTGTAAATTTGTAGGATACTCCGCCATCAAAGCGATATCTCTGCTGCTCAGTAAGGGCGTACCTGAAACGAACATCATCTTCCTTAACCTCATAGCAGTGAGTTACTCTTATGTTTCCTTGTTCCTCAAGACACCGACACATACGCTCCTGTAAATTCCTCAACATGAACTTGTTCCGAATAACCTAGAATTTGTAATGCAGGCGCCAGATGGAATACACGCCATCTGCAAGAAATTTCCGAAGCTAAAACTCGTTACATCGGAGATCGATGAATCTCTGAACGATGACTTACGCGTGATCCCGGGAATGGGAGAGTTCGGAGACCGTTACTTCGGCACAGATAACGAAGGAGAAGGTACCATTTCAAGTTCAAGGACACCCAAATAAAAGTTCCTTTGGCGATGGAGGAGCTGAGGGCATTGCTTGCTCAACTTCGTTCCATTGTCTAATAATTTTGCGACCGCTTAGTTTTTGTTCAACAAATTGTGTAGTCAATGAGCATGGACATATCCACAAGCCTACAACCTTGGCTTTTGTGGCCGAAACGTTTATTTTTCTCCGGCGAGGTGGTCAAAGCGTTCTTTTTTTTTTTTTCCGGCCAGGTTGTCGAAGACAATTACGAGCCTCAACGAAAACAAAAACATCAATCAATTCAATATTCATTGGCAAAATCTTTATTAATTTACACCGAACAAAATGTTTTGATCTAATAAACGACTAGAGTGAAAAATACAACCTTCAAAAGAACTTAGAACTGATACATTCCGAAATCACACCTAAACACATACTTCAAAAATGGATAGAATCAGTTAATCTCGGATCACAGTTACTTCTTCATGTCTTTAATCTTGCAAATTGAAGATAAGTCGACAGCGGATCATGTCGTGCTCTTTTTACTCTTCTTCTTCCTTGAAGCAAAGCTGCTTGGTCCAATTTCTATGGACATCCTTTTCGTCCTGCAAAACAATAATTGGGTACATTCAGAAGAACAGCATGTGGCGTTTGGGGATCTTGTGTCCTGTGGTTTCTTCCACAAATATAAGAGTGGCCAACAAAAATTAAGAAGCATCATACCTCTTGGAGAGCTCTTCTGACTCCTCGTCGCCATCTTCAAATGCACCATCTGAAACTAAACATATAATGCTATTCAAGGCCAGTTCAAAGATCCAACCAACAATATATGCGAAAAACCAAATGCTAAATCAGCATTATACTCTTATTGTTCACAACTAAAGCCGTACCAGCTACATCGATCTCATCATCCTCGTTCTCTGACTCTGAACCGGAACCCCACCTGTCACCTCCCTCGTCAAAGTCCCAACGTTCTCCCACTGGTGGCATCCAAAAGTCAGTTTCTTCTGTATCACCTTCCTCATCAGAAGACTTACTTTTTTCAGACATAATCTCATCAACTCTTTCATCCTTCTTCTTATTCTTCTTCTTCTTATTCTTTTTCTTCTTCTTCTTTCTTTCTCCGTCTCCGTCTCCGTCTCCGTCTTGGTCAGATACTATTTCCGGGTTCTGATCACCCATCTCTTCTACCACTCCCTTGGCCTTTAGCTTCTCTTCTTCCTTCTCTTCTGTTTATAAAACCAACACGAATATCACCATTAAAAACATTTGGGACACCATCAAATTCATACATAAGCAAAATCCACAAGTCCAAAAGCCAATCCATACACAAATTGGAACCAAAAACCAACATAATGGATTAGAAAAAGAACGAAACAATATACAAACCAAGCTTGTTGAGGAACCGTTTCCCATTTATATGCTTCCAAATGTGCTCTTCTGACTTATTGATAGTATCCCCTGTTAGCTTACACAGCAACTTTGAGCTGCACAAGGAAAGCAAACGAACAAGAGTTCAGCATAAACCCAAAATCACTGCTTGGTTTGCAGTAAAATTTACAACTTTTCGTATATCAATTCGCAATATGGGAAATATATACAAACGTAAATTTAACATTGGCCCCTTGGGGATTATTCCTTCTAAAAGGAGTAAACGTGCTTTCCGACCAACAAATGCGATTTTGATTATGTTTAGGAAAACACCAGGAAGGTAAAAGCGCTTTTTGGAGAAGCACCTACTCAGGAAGTACTTCCAAGTATTTTTCCAGAAAGCACGTTAATTTTAATGAAAATTTCGACATGTTTCTAGGAAGCATAAGTGCTTTTGATCAGAAGTGCTTAAGCAATCAAACGCAGCAGAATTCCAATGTAAATTATGCAGAAATTAATCAAAGCTTAAATCTTTATGTAACGGAAACGAAAGATTATGAAATTACCGGGAAAGAGGATCCTGCTTGAACATGTTGAGAGGAGCTTTCTTATGGGCAAGGGCATATTCGATGAGACCCAAACGGCACCGTTTGCTCTGAGAGTAAATTTCTTTGTCTTTGGCCAGCAATTCGTGGCCTGTCTCGACGCACTGGAAGCGGCCGTTCTCGAGCTCCCTGAAGGTCGGCGAGCCCAGTAGGTTGCTCCCTTCCTTTTCCTCCTTCGCCTTCTCAGTCGTCGCCATTGCTGAGTTCCTCGAGCTACGAAGCCGCGCAAGGAGAGAGCGAGCGAGCAAGCGAAGGAAGATAAAATGTTTTGGGCCGCAGACCTAATTATAAGCCAGCCTCATCTGGTCCTGGACTCATAAGGATTTTGGGCCTATTTTTTGGATCCAAGTCTGAGTAAATGTGGGCCAATCTCAATGCGCCCTCCTCTTTCGATGTCTATCCCAGTAAATGGGTGAGAGACTATTATGTGCAATTGAACGTCAAAGTAGCTGTGTCTCAAACTTATTACTTGTCGTTCATGAGATATGGACTTAAGATCTCATTAAACGAAAGGGAGACTTGAGTATCGTTAGACTAAACATTCATGTGCATAAGAGATTTTTCAGTGTGATCGGCACACGAGGTGGTACACCACGTGTTACTGTACAAATGGTGGGATATGTGTGTTAAAAAGTTATTAACTTAAAAAATAAATTTTTTCACCGCTTACATAAAAACACGTGATGTACCACCGTGTTCCTGTCCCAATAAAAAATTTCTCCATGTGCAGGCCTTCTGTCTTTGTTTACCCCAGTGAATGGCTCATTTCCGAGTTCAGCAAATTAGGGAAAATTTTCAAAGGCAAATGTCAATAAAGGGAGTGATTTTGCACACAATATTCACTTTATGTGCATCTTTCTTGGCCTTTTGTGCGCACTTTTTTTTTTTTCATCTTTTGCACGCCTCTTTTAGTTTTTACAATTAATTCTTTTTTGATTTGTTCAAATTAGTAGTTAAAGAAAGAGCAGTGTCCCAATTATCATATTTTTCATACTAAAATTTTCACCGCTCTAATAGAGGTAGGCTCCAACAACACATGCGAGTCTCATCTTTATTAGAGTCTTAGAGATGTGGTATAAAAGTAGTATGAAAATAATGGTAAGAGTAACATTTTTGCTAAGAAAATACACAATATGAAATGGTGTACAGAAATGATTTCCCATGTGATCAATGTCAGAGCTGTTAAATTTGCTCATCAAATTATTTACCAAATGATGTGGTTGCTTATGAATTGAGATCCTTTCTGGATCTCTATGTCGGAGTCAAAGGAACAGGTGATCCAAACCGTTGAACAGAGAGATCCAGATCTTTAATTTAAGGTAAGTGGGTCAGTGAGACAGACTAATGAAGACTGCATGATTTAAAATGAATGGTCCAAACCACCTTATTCTTTTGATCTAGACACAAAATCTAGGGACGTTATCGAGCTGTTGTTTATGTATAAATCATAATACAACTTGTGTGTCGGTGATTTATTTTGCATAAATATAATATGACTTGGAATCTTGATCAATCACGAGTTGAGGTTATGTCCGTTGAATTTGCCAAGACAATTTGGACGTGATGACATTTCTTTACATGCATTTAGCAAGTTTTGTTCTACTTTGGGGCTACCTCGTGGTCAACTATTTTTAGTGTAAATACAATATAAAATGGCCCATGCTTGGCACATGTAGCATGCACATCTTTTTTATTATATGCTTTTACAAGATGCGTTTCACACCCTAGATTCGGTGCACCAAAAAAAAAAAAAAAATTCATAAGAAATAAACAAAATATGGAATTAAAAATAATACTTCTTTCATAAAAATAAACATATATGTAAAAAACTTAATGAAAACCCTTATGTCCCTCCTTTAATAAAAATTCGCTCGGTTAGCCATGTCCTGACAAATAATTCATCTGAAAAATAAAAAGTTGAAAAGTAAGCAACAATCACGTCTAGTGAGTATGTAGAATATGTAATATGTCAGTGGAGTAATGCCGTTTTCCACAAACTAGAAAATAAAGTACTTCTATAGAAATATATCACATAATTTCATATCATATCATCCATTTACTTGTTTATTATACCTATCATCAAATATAACTCTTCACGTGACTCCTAATCGTCTTTTTGCTCTAATGTACCCGTGTGTAGTTTACATTGATACCTTAGAATAATGCAACACCAAAGTTCTCGTGCTCCATGAACAATTCCAAGTAGTTCACTGATCAAATATATAATAACTCCAAAATAATTTTTCAAAATAACCATGCTTACTTAAAGGCGTGTGATATACACACAACCTTTTTACTTCTCATACAACTTTTTCAGTTTTCTTCCGTCGGATCGGATGAATTGAAGAAGATCAAAGGACAAAAATTAACAAGGGGTGTATGAAAAGTAAAAATGGGTGTGTGAGTAGCACACCCCTACTTGAAAACAAAGAGATATTTGTAGTAAAACTCACGATATCATGGTTTTTGTAATACATATTAGTATATACCTACACACGTTGTGTGTTTAGACAATTTTTTTTGTTTGTTTTCAAAATGAGGAGAGAGAGAGATATGGAAACGGGGATGCTTTTTTATTTATTTTTTAATTGAAGATTTGATAAGATCACATGTAGCTGAAGTTTTTCAAAAACACTGTAAAATTAGTTGGTGCAATACTTCGTTGTCATTTATTTTATTTCATGAGAGAAAATAAAAATCTCTTTTCACCATATTTTGGTTGATAAAGAGAATTTCATTAATGTGTAGTTTAGATATAGAATGTCGCATGCATGCAAATATATTTACAATGTCTATATAAGAAAAGTAATATATAATAATCTATGAAAAGAAAATTGATATATAATAATTTATGAAAATATTTCAAAATATAAATACATTAAATATATACTATTCAAAATACGAGTCACAGTTCAATTTTAAAAATCCTTTTTCTGTGTGTGATACTTCTAAAGTTCTGATGAACAATTTCTACAAGTACTTTACAAAATTCAATGGTTTTTCACCTTTTTCATTCCTCTTTAATAATTTTCATAAAAAATTTAAACCCTTTTTCAAAATTTAATACTGGGTTGGTAATAAAGCAGTTTATAGAATTGTATATTTTTGCAATAATGTTGCGACATGCTTTCACACTTGAATTATGACTGTTTTTATTCATAATTGTCAATACTTTAACAAGCAAAATATTAATCATGACTCTTTGTTTATGAAGAAAACGATGGGAATGGTCTCATGACTTCGCCAAAGTTTCCACAAATTCGGGTGGCCTAAAGCCTAAAATCAACATGCAACGTGTTTTATATTATTTTTTTGTTTGTCGCTCTCTTGAGATGTGTTATGTGAAAAGAGAGACAGATACATAAAGATATACAATCTCATTGGTCTAAGTCTCTCATCATTCCAAGGCATGCCATGATCATTAAGAACAAAATTTGACTGAAACTTGACTTCCGATGTATAATTCGTAACTTGTGGCAGGATTAAAGGACCTTGTGTGCAGAAAGAGCACGTGAACGAAGTACAAGAACATGTGGTTAGGCTGCATGACAGTAAAACAAATCAAAAGATGCCTGTTTGTTTTTCTCATCACCTCTTTGTACACAGTACGAAGAAACACTCTTCCTCCATATATATATATAGTAAAGGATTTGGACCTCCCTCAGTCCTTTCTCTCTCGTGTGTGCATATATTTATAAGTTAGGATTCGAAAACACACGTTTTAAACACACATCGTAAAAATCAGATCGATTTTGAGACAAAGTATAAAGTAACACTCTTCCTCTTAGTCCTCTATTTAATATATTATACACACACATATATATAGTGTATCCTGCTCTTGCGTTTTGAGTTGCTGTATGTTTCGTGTGGTGGAAATGCAGATGGCTAGATTCGTCGTTGCCGGTTGTTTCGCTATGTGTTTACTGAGTGTGGGAGGGGAAGGGGTGATAGACACATCGTCGCGTTGTGATTTTCCGGCAATTTACAACTTTGGAGACTCCAACTCAGATACTGGTGGAAACTCGGCTTCATTTTACCCCATGGTATCACCCTGCGGTGAAACTTTCTTCCACAGACCCGCCGGAAGGGGTTGTGACGGCCGTCTCATCATAGATTTTATTGGTAATTCTTATGGACTGCAACTGTGAATTTATTGTAAGATTAGTTGCTTAATTACCTTACCAAATTTTACACCAATATCTGTGACGTGCTAATTATGCAGCAAAGCATTTGGGGTTGCCATACCTGAGTCCATATTTGGACTCACTAGAGAGCAATTTCAGGCACGGTGCCAATTTTGCTAGCGGCGGATCTACCATCCGGCCTTACAAGGAAGCCATGTTTGAAAATGGTGTGAGCCCTTTTTATCTAGAAATCCAGATTGCTCAATACCAGCAGTTCAAGTCACGTACCACCACTCTTTCCAAACAAGGTGACTAATGCCACAAATTACCCAAAAAACAGTCTGTTCACATCGCCTTTCGAAAGTTTTTTTTGTTATTTTCTTGAGTTGCAAGTATGAGAAGCTCATTTCATTGATTGATCTCAGTTGTTATGATCTGCAGCCAAGAAACAATCCGACAGATTCCCAATAGTCGATGACTTCTCAAAGGCGCTCTACACTTTCGATACAGGACAGAATGATCTAGCTGCTGGTTTTCGGACAAAGTTCAGCAGTGAACAATTTGAAGCAGAAATCACAGACATGATTAACCAGCATGCTAACGCCGTACGAGTAAGTATATATATATGAGGGCGGGTCACCGACACCGCTAAATGAAATAAAGTTTTGTTATTGTTGTTTTAAGTTATATAAAGATTTTCCACTTAGAGATATGGGGATTTGTGTTAAGTTGCACCGTATTTAACAAATAAGTGACATTGTTAAAAAACAAAATGGTTATCAAACGGGTCTTAAATAACCGCATCTTCCTGTTGTACAGAATTTGTATGAACAAGGGGCAAGGACATTCTGGATACACAACACGGGTCCGATTGGTTGCTTGGGAGTGACCTTAAGCTACCTCCATAATCCGAACCCCGACTTCGTTGACAGCCAGGGTTGTGACAAGTTTCAGAACGACATGGCTAGGAAGTTCAATAGGCAGCTGGAGCAGAAAGTGATTCAGCTAAGGAAGGAGCTCCCCCTTTCTGCCATAACATATGTCGATATCTTCGCTGCAAAGTATGAACTTCTCAGCAACGCAAAGAAGAACGGTAAATCTCATTGATTATTGGCATGAAAAATAAAGTCCGCTACAATCTTTTAATCAAATATAGAACCGGGGATGCTAAACAGACAATACGCAATACAAAAACCACGTTTCTAGTGCCCCATTATTGTCCTTCAAGTTCTATTTTCTACAAAAAGTATTGGATTTATGCACACTTCCCTTGATTTATGCAGGATTTTTGGATAAGGCAAGCATCTGCTGTGGATATCATGACGAAAACAACCATGTGTGGTGTGGGAATAAGGGCACCATAACTAATGGGACTCAAGTATATGCTGGTTCATGTAAGGATCCTTCCTTGTATATCAGCTGGGATGGAGTACACTACACCGAGGCTGCGAACTGTTGGATTGCAGATCGAATAGTCCTCGGTTCGTTCACAGACCCGCCGGTTTCGATCAAAAGTTCATGTCATATAACTCAACCTGAGTAGCTGGGTCCATATGTGATTCTTCTTCTTTTTTCTTTGACTGTTTCTGTTTATACTTGGATGGCAAAAATTAATATAATGACTCTTTATTTAAGAAGAAAATGATGGATATTATGCCCCTACTCTTTGTTTAGGTGCTATTATTTTAATAAAATCTCTTTTCTTTAGAAAGAAAAGAAAAAGAAAATGATGGATATGGTCTCATGTTTGCTGTTTTTTTTTTTGGGGGGGGGTGAGGGCTGCTAAAACTAACCTGCAACGCGGTGTACATCCTTTATGCGTATGCCTGTCTCTTCAAGTAATACGTTGCGCGAGGAGAGAGACGGATACGGAAAACATAGAACCCATTACACGTAAGTCTCTCATCATTCCAACAACATGCCTTGATCTTTAAGAACAAGATGTGATTGATACTTAGCTTCCAAATGTAAATTTCGTAACTTATGGCACAATTATGGGAAATTCTTGTATGCAGGAAGTAATTTAAGGAAATAGTAACATGTTCAAATAAAAGTACAGTTATCATGAACAAATGAGGGACGTATCCTGGTCCTGCATTTGAGTTGCAGTATATGTTTGGTGTGGTGAAAATGCAGATGGCTAGATTTTTCGCTGTCGGTTTTTTCGCATTGTGTTTACTGAGTGTGGGAGGTGAAAGGGTGACATACACATCGTCGGGTTGTGATTTTCCGGCAATTTACAACTTTGGTGACTCAAATTCAGACACCGGTGCTAACTCGGCTGCATTTTACCCCATGGCATCACCCTGTGGTGAAACTTTCTTCCACAGACCGGCCGGTAGGGGCTGTGACGGCCGTCTCATCATAGATTTTATTGGTAAATTTTTCTTAAGACTAGTTGTATACTTACCATTTACCAAATTTTATAAGAACACGGTGATATAATTACTGACATTAATTACTTCTTGTTAATTATATTATGTACAGCAAAGCATTTGGGGTTGCCATACTTGAGTCCATATTTGGACTCACTAGAGAGCAATTTCAGGCACGGTGCTAATTTTGCCAGCGGCGGAGCGGCCATCCGGCGTTCCAATGAGTCCATGTCTGAAAATGGTGTGAGCCCTTTTTATCTTGACATCCAGATTGCTCAGTATACCCAGTTCAAGTCACGTACCATCAGTCTTTCCAGCCAAGGTGACACATGCCACATATTACCCGAAAAACAAATCATGTTCATCTCGCGGCTTTTCGAAAGTTCTTTTTTTTTTTTTTGGTTGTTGTTGCTACTTTACTCGAGATGCAAGCATGGTAACCTTAGTTGTTATGATCTGTAGCCGAGATACAATCCGACAGATTCCCAATAGTTGATGACTTCGCAAAGGCGCTCTACACTTTCGATATAGGACAAAATGATCTAGCCGCAGGTTTTCGGAAAAAATTCAGCAGTGAACAGTTTGAAGCACAAATCACAGACATGATTAACCAGCAAGCTAACGCCGTACGAGTAAGTATATAATGCTAGTTTATTACCGAACAAATGTCATTGTTCAAAAACAAAATGGTTATCAAACGGGGCTAAATAACTGCATCTTTCTGTTATACAGAATTTGTATGAACAAGGGGCAAGGACATTCTGGATACACAACACGGGTCCGATTGGTTGCTTGGCAGTGACGTTACACAACATCCATAATCCGAGCCCTGGCTTGGTTGACGGCCAGGGTTGCGACAAGTTTCAAAATGACATGGCCAAACAGTTCAATAGGCAGCTGGAGCAGAAAGTGATCCAGCTAAGGAAGGAGCTCCCCCTTTCTGCCATAACGTATGTCGATGTCTTCGCTACAAAGTACGAACTAATTGGCAACGCGACGAAGCACGGTAAAATCCTGATTCAACACTCTCACGAATAACAGTCTGCTACAAACTTTTAATAAAAAATAGAGCCGGGAACACTAAACAGACAATGTGCGTATATAAACCATGGTTCTAACGCCCCTTTCTCGACCAAAAGTGTTCGATTTATGCATATTGCCCTCGATTAATACTATGATAAAGCATCAGCTTCTGTTTTTTGTTATGTTTATGCAGGATTTTTGGATAAGGCAAACATCTGCTGTGGATATCATGAACACGACGACCATGTGTGGTGTGGTAATAAGGGCATCATAAGCAATGGGACTCAAGTATATGCTGGTTCATGTGAAGATCCTTCCTTGTATATTAGCTGGGACGGTGTACACTACACCGAGGCTGCAAACCGTTGGATTGCTGATCAAATCGTCGGCGGTTCCTTCTCAGACGTGCCGGTTCCAATCACAGATTCATGTCATAGGATTCGATCCGAGTAAATTCGTATACATATGTGATGCTTTCTATAGCCTCGTAATTAGTAGTTAACATGAAAAAAGAAAAAAAAAAAAAAAAGCAGTTAAGAAATAGTAAACTCAGAAAAAAAGCAGATAAATATTGTATAATCAAGGAATTAAACATTTTATTATACAAAACTCCTGAATTAAAGAACTTAGGGCTCGTTTGAAAGTATTTTTAAAATGATTAAAAACATTTTTAGTGAAAATATTTTTGGAACAATCCTTAATAAAAATGCAAGTGAATCTAGAAAAAAAAAAAAACACTTGAAGTGCTTCCTGCACATGCTTCTTGTAGGAAGCATTTCAAGTACTTTTGGAACCTGAATTTTTTTCTCTAAAAGCACTTTCAGTCGTTTTAAAAGAACTTCTAAACGAGCCCTTAGTTAGAGAAAAGACTGGATGTTTTTTTCAATGTATTGTACTTGAATAAGAGAGGAAAGAATTGAATTTGAACCTTCTCTCCCTCCTTATGTATCAATAATAATCACCTGCACATTCTACTAGGTGTGAGGTTTTATACAAAATATGCAAACTTTTGTTTGAAAATTTCGTTATTAATGGAGTCCTGATTGCCATTTCTTAAAATATAGATTAATTTCTTTACGCGTGAGGAGAGAGACTGATACAAAGAGATATACATCCCAACCCCGTTACATGTAAGTCTCTCACCATTTTGCCGATTTATTTGCCATACACCCCCTGACAATTGGCATTTCTTAGGAAGCATGAATACCATGATCATTAAGAAATATAGTAGTATGCTCATATAAAAGGCACTCTATAACCTCCGCACAGAGCAAATGATCCAAGTATGATCAGTTAGCTAAAGCTGTAGTTTAGTCAAATGTATGGACCAAATTAGGTCAAAAACCAAACACACAAGCTTATCATTGCTTGCAGTTACCGAGTCCTCGATAAATAAGAGGGTATCCAAGTTTGTATCCTGCATCCAAGTTACCTGTTTGGTGTGGTGAAAATGAAGATGGTAAAATTTTTCGTTGCCGGTTTTTTGGCCTTGTGTGTAGTGAGGGTGGGAGGTAAAGAGGTTATAAACACTTCATCGCCTTGTGATTTTCCAGCAATTTACAACTTTGGAGACTCAGAATTCAGACACCGGCGGCATATCCGCAGCATTCTATCGCTTCGCATCACCCACCGGTGAAACTTTCTGATGGCCGTCTCGTCATAAATTTTATCGGTAATTATACTAGTTGCTTTATTACTAATTACCAAAATTTACAAGAACTTTGACTGCTACTGAACTCATTTGAGATGTGCTAATTAATTGTGCAGCAAGTCACCTGGGGTTGCCATTCTTGAGCCCATATTTGGACTCACTCGAGAGCAATTTCAGCCACGGCGCCAATTTCGCTACTGGCGGATCAACCATCCGGCCTTCTAATGAGTCCATGTCTGAAAATGGTGTGAGCCCTTTTTCTCTCGACGTCCAGATTGCTCAGTTTAACCAGTTCAAGTCACGCACCACTAGTCTTTCCAACCAAGGTAACTCAAACGCAGATCATATTTTCGCCTTTTTCGGAAGTTTTTTTTGTTAGTTTACTTGTGATGCAAGCATGAGAAATTCATTCGTTAATATTAATTAGTTATAATTATCTGCAGCCAAGAAACAACATAACAGATTCCCGAGTGTTGATGACTTTCCAAGGGCTCCTTACATGTTTGATATAGGGCAAAATGATGTATCTGTTGGTTTTCGGAATATGAACAATAATGAGCAATTTCCAGCTGACATCAAAGACATGATTAACCAGTTGGCTACGGCTGTACGAGTAAGTATATGAGGCCGGTTCTTGAACAAGCAAACGTCATTATTTAAGAACGAAATGGTTATCAAACAAGCTCTAATTAATCAGAATGTCTTATATTATACAGAATTTGTATGAACAAGGGGCAAGGACATTCTGGACTCACAACACCGGCCCCATCGGTTGCTTACCAATGACATTAAAGTTCATCCCTAATCCGATCACCAGATTACTTGATGAACACGGTTGCATCAAGTATCAAAACGACGTTGCTAGACAGTTCAACAAGGTTCTCAACCAGCAAGTGATCCAGCTAAGGACGGAGCTCCCCCTTTCTGCAATAACATATGTCGATGTCTTTTCCGCAAAGTATCAACTCTACGGCAGAGCAAAGGAGCACCGTAAAACCTCATCCAAATTAATATTTGAATTCGAATATGATGGAGCATTGCTTCTTTGCGCCACATGATTACAAGGGGCATATTCTCCTATTTGCTCCGTAAAATGTGCTTGTGTGCATTTCACGTGATTAATTTTGATGGAAATTCTCATAGAGTTTTCGTGAAGGACCAATGCTTCCGTCTTATCAAATTCGGATACCAATTTGAGTAATTTTTTTTCATAGACCAAACAATGATTTGGTCATAGTTCACGAGTTATTACTCCAATTTTCTCTAAAAAATTTGTAGCCGGTTCTATTCATGCATATTTCCGCTGATTAAAACTACAACGAATTGTCGACATTTTTTATGTGTGTGCAGGATTTGGGAATACTGCAAACATCTGCTGTGGATATTTTGAAGATAAGAGCCAAGTGTGGTGTGGGCAAAGGGCAAACGTAAATGGGACAGAAGTGTTTGGTGGTTCATGTGAAGATCCTTCCTCGTATGTGAGCTGGGATGGTGTGCACTACACTGATGCTGCAAATCATTTGATTGCTGCTCAAATAATCAACGGTTCATATTGAGACCCACCAGCTCCAGTCACTCATGTCGCACGATTCAAGCATGAGTAATTTGCTTCCACATGTGTGATATTTTCTAATAGCTTCAATGCAGGAATTAGACATATTAATATTAGATTTCACCCAAAAGAACATATGACTCGTTAAATATGAGATGAAATTAATAAGAAATGAGATGAATTTTAGTAAGGTTGTCTGGTTAAGGCATGTTTCACGTTAAATAGGACCAACGCAGAGTCGAGCGAGACTAAAATTTAGTCTTATGTTTTGTAAGAAAACAAGAAAAATATGAAGTACTGGTTTGGTACTGAGGTGTTTTTATAAAAAGTGGGTATAAAAAAAAAACGGAGTTTAAAAGGGTGTTTGGTAAACACTTAAAGACAACTTATTTTTCACATATTTGGATGAAAAAAAGCTGAAAATGTGAAGCAGCAAAAATGAGCTTATTCTCACAACATAGTAGAATCAGTTTTTTTTTAAAACACAACAATACCAAACTAACCCAAAATCGGATGGAACTTAAATATGAAAATTTTATATTTGTGTGAAAAATGTCCTACAAATAATGTAGTTGGACTTGACCAATAGAGGAGATTCTCTACCCTTCTAATCTCTCTACCCTTCCATGCCCTCCTATTTGAACGGTCATGGTTAAACCACATCAACATCTTATATTGATTTTGTTATAGAGATAATAAGACAAAAAGTAATGTGTGAGAGGAGGGGATGAGAATAGAAGGGTAGAGAATCCTCCTCTCTTGACCAATGGCGTAAAAGCAGAAGCAATGCAAATTGCCACACAATGGGCAGCTTAATTTGGTATCGAATTCGCCATTCACGAGATTCGAACATAAGACCTCTCACTCCTAAGCGAAGAGGAATATCATCAGACCGTAATACTGAGTGACGAGTGGTGTGATACTTAATGATAAAAAAATGAATGTTAATAACTGAAATTGTCATATGAAGAGCGATATAAATAGATAAAAGTAGACTACAAGTTTCTTTGTTTTGGTGGAGAAATGCTTTAGATGTCCCTCATGTGTTGTTACTCGCTTTAACACTCATAAGACATGGCGACACGACGAACATTATATATAAAAAGGAAATTTAATGAAAAATTATTGGTATTGTTAACTTTAATGAAAAATTATATTTTGACACTAAAAAATTAATCTTGGTAGTATTCTCTTTACTCTTTATTTTGCCCTTATCGTTAAAACTCAAAGTTTTCAAATCATTTTTATTAGTTTTTCTTATATAAAAAGCAATAAATTAACGTTTAAAATGATTAAAGTATTGTGTACTTCGGAATAATATAATTTTTTAATAAAATATAAGGAGAAGAGGATTATATACGCCGTAAGTTTCTCTGTCTTTTGCACGCTGTTGAATAACAAGATTTTTGGCTGATCACGCGTGCTATAGCAGAATCTATCATGTTGTTCAATGTTGTTCATGAGTTCTGGCATATAGAATAGCCATAAAAAAAAAACTTTTCGGTGCTTCGGAGTAAGCGGTATTCTGAGGGTTTTGAACTTTTTATTTTTTTTTAACAAATAATATTATTTACAATAAGATGATTGAAAAATAATTCAAATCTCACGGTTAGTAATAATGTGGTTAAAATTTGCCTTTGGCAATAATCGAACATAAAATCTCTCACTTCAAATAAAGAGAAATATCATTAAACTGTGGTACTAAATAGTAAGTGTTTTAACAGTTAAATCTTAATTTTTGTATTTTAAAATAAAGATCTAACAAGTAAATATCGAAATACATGATACTCTTGAAGCGTCCAGACAACCGTGGTCCATATTTTACTTACCTTATGTACGTTATACACAGAGAGTCACACACTTCGCAATCACCGACTCCATTCAAACAAAACTCTCTAAAATCTCCATGGAACTTGTTGATAATTCAAGATTTATAACCAGCTGCATGTCTTTGTCCCTTCCCTTGTAAACAATGGCATGTGTTGCTGAAACATATTCTGTTCCCTCTCCTAATCCGTCATAAGGTTCGTGGCCCAAGGAAGAAATTTCGCCTACTAGAAATGTCGTTGTAATTGTATTCAAGTCAGTCACATATTGTTATATAAAAAAAATTACAATGCATAACACAGAGCGATGGTGTCACCCTTAGACTTGGGTTCCTTCTCTACCATATAAAAATTTCCAAGTAGAAGTTAACCCGACAAAAGTTAAACCCTATCGAATTAAATTTCTAATTCCACCATTGACATGACATTGTATGACTAAATACAATGCTGTCGCAATTGCATTCTGCTACGAGTAAATTTCTCTCCCGCACTCAATTCCAAGGCCAAGCAACACGATGGGAAAGTATTTACCTGATCCTAATTGTGCTGAAATTGAAAGATTTTCTAATGTAATGTTCTATAATTTAGTTTTAAATCATTAAATTTTAATAAATACAATAACTAACATCTAACCACTAAAACATCGAAAAAGGACTCTGAAACACCATTGGATCCTCAATAAAGTATCAACAACAACAACAAGAACCATAAAAACAAAAACAAAGTCTTATCCCACTAATTAAAGTCAGTTGTGTGAATCTTAAAACGTTGTTGCACTCTGTTTTCTATTAACTTTAAATGAATCTCTTTTCAAATCTTCTAAGGTCTTCTTTTACCTTTTTTTTTTTTGTCTAAACCTCGAGAAAGCTAAAGGGAAAATAATTTACTGAGCTGGTGGGGACAGTGGACTACACCTCATCACTATACAAGTCGACGGAAAGAGATCATCTTCGGATCTCTTCCACCAAGGCCACCAGATCAAAGTGATCCGAGCATTTCAAATATCATCCAACAGTAAAAAATTATCATAGCTTTTAAGAATCAAAACAACTGGGCCGTTGAATAAAACTTAAAAGGTCCGAACCACTTGATTTGATGGTCTCGGTTTAAGTGATTCGAAGATAATCTCTTCCCCAAGTCTACATCACTAGCGGGGACAAAAAGATTTTCCTATTAATTTTTCTTTTCTCCATTTTTTCGGCCGAGTAGATCAACAGCACATGCCTCTGAATCTCTCTGATGAAAATCTTTGTCCCCACGTATAATTAGGATAACTTTGTCCTCTTCAAACCAGTCCCATCCTATCCAGCTTTCACATTTAAATGCTGCATGATTAGCCTCACTAGTCACTACCATTAGCCAAACAGTGGAAAATGGAGTTTTGGAAACTGCTTCTGGCATCTGGGTTCTTCTTGGCTTTCTGGGTTTTGGCTGTGGGAGGCCAGAACTTACCACCCTGTTCTTTCCCGGCAATTTACAACTTCGGGGACTCGAATTCCGATACCGGCGGCATATCGGCCGCGTTCGAGCCGATCAAAGCTCCTTACGGCGAAGCATTCTTCCACAAGCCGGCCGGGAGGGACGCCGATGGCCGCCTTATCATAGACTTCTTAGGTAACAACTAAATTAAAGGCAAATTGTTCTCGCTAATTCCTAATCACAGTATGATGCGTGTTCATATTTTTTAATTTTTAAATATATTTATTTTACATACGCGTCGAACTGTGATTTGTACAGCTGAGCGCCTGAAGTTGCCATACTTGAGTGCATATTTGAACTCACTCGGAACAAATTACCGGCACGGCGCAAATTTCGCCACCGGAGGATCCACCATAAGGCGGCCGAACGAAACCATTTTCCAGTACGGCATTAGCCCTTTCTCCCTTGATATGCAGACGGCGCAGTTCCTGCAGTTCAAAGCTCGCACTGCCGATCTATATCGCCAAGGTTCAATCTTTTCAGTGCCGAAAACTGCTTCAAGCTTCAATCTTTATTAATTGGCTGTTGTAAAACTGAACTGTTTCTCATGTCCTCCAGCCAAGAACCCTTCTGAGAGAAGCGCTCTGCCAGATCCTCGGGAGTTCGCAGAGGCTCTGTACACCTTTGATATCGGGCAAAACGATCTTTCCATGGGGTTTCGGAAGCTCAGTTTCGACCAGTTTCGTGCAGAACTGCCGGACATTGTCAACCAGTTTGCCATAGCAGTCCATGTAAGTAAGTAGCACCATGACAATCGCTTAAGATTAGGAAACTAATTAGGTCGGTTTGGAATTGCCTGTGTAGGAAGCACTTCTACTAGAAGTGCTCATCGCAACTTCATTAAACAAACATGTCTGTAACATTGGTTGTGATTGACAAACTTCAGCGGATATATGAAGAAGGGGGGAGGACATTTTGGATACACAACACAGGTCCTGTTGGTTGCTTGCCGGTACAGTTATTCTACAACCTGAATCCGCCAGCCGGTTATCTCGACGACCATGGCTGCGTCAAGGCCCAAAACGACGTTGCCGTAGAGTTCAACACGCAGCTCAGAGACAGAGTCATCAAACTAAGAGCTGAGCTGCCACAAGCTGCAATCACATACGTCGATGTCTACGCCGCCAAGTACGGACTCATCGGCGCTGCAAAGACTGAAGGTACCCAATTTGTTCAACTTCCTTACCGCTAATTACGTTATTAGATACTGATTAACGTTACAATCTTTGTTTACAGGGTTTGCTGATCCGATGAAGGTTTGTTGCGGTTATCACGTGGGATACGACCACATCTGGTGCGGGAACAAGGGAAGCGTAAATGGAAGCGATGTCTACGGTGCTTCATGTCAAAACCCGTCGGCTTTTATTAGCTGGGATGGAGTTCACTACACCGAGGGAGCGAACCAGTGGGTTGCTAATCGTATACTCACTGGCTCGCCATCGTCAAACCCGGCAATTCCGATTACTCAAGCTTGTCATAGGCATTGATAGCTAGACAGATATCAAAATAGTAATAAGATGTATTACAAGAGAGGAACACTTAAGACTCGGTCTTTTCCTTTTACTGCTCCCTCCTCCATCGGAGGCTAACAGAGGTCGGAAAGCTAGCCGACCTCTTTTTAGTTCCAGTGGACATGAAGATTAAAATCAGAGATAACTACCCTACGGAAATTTTTTGATTGTGATCATTATAATGCACCCTTCTCTCTATCTCTCATCGCGTGACCAGAGTGAGAGAGAGATACAGAGAGGGATCATCACAGCGTTTACAACTTTACACATGCTGCATGCTTGACACGACGACACTCAATTGGAGGTCCAACCCTAATACATGAGTGCAACGTCTATGGCATGGGGCACCACGCTGACGGTATCCCCATGCCATAGAAGTATTTTTCATAATACATCTAGGACCATTAACTTTTTTATCTTCTAAGTGTGACGACAAAATACAATCGTGGTGGTGGTGCAAACAAACTTAACCAAGGTGGTGGGATGATGCAATTCTGAGAAAACACAACACGCGGCTACAAGCCTCCAAATAAATCATGGACCATTAAACTTCGGTTTGATTGTGACAACCAAATAACATGTAATGTAATATTCAGAATGCAAACAAACAGATGCTAACTTACTTCATTTTCAATCGATCACATTCATATCCATCTCAGTTCCTCTTCCACTTCCCGCTCAACAACGAGCCAAAACTCAGAACACAACACAAACTTCACATGACAGCAGGCATTCCTCTGCTTCCGACACTAACAAAAAGTATAAACCAGAAATGTTCTCGGGAATGCTTGTCACCCACCCTTAGATTTGATATCAAGAGTTGAGAATAGAACATTAAAAGCACATCCGTTTATTTTCCTCCCCTGATATCCAGTCCCGATGTGGGTGACCATACATCCTTAGTCACGTGTGACCAAGAGAACGGGACTCGAGTATAAACTTGTCACAAAAGCTTGTTACAATTACTCAAAACCCATTGAAAAAGAAGAAAGTGAAAACGAAAGAACAAATTTGGTTTAGGTCCATAATCATTTTCATGATTCAGGTTTAGTTAATGGTATCTTGTTTCAACTTAGGTCAATACCGACTAACTCCAAGGCAACAGCAATTCTAACACTCATTGGCCTTTCCAGAACACACAAAATGTTGATCGACTGAACCCTAATTTCAAACATATGTATTGATTTCAAATGAAAAAACCGAAAGCAAAAACCACAATGAATGAGATCGAGCTATCAACAAAACTATGATCACCACAAGAAACTAGTACGTTGTCTATAATTCCAATCATATGTAGACTAATAGTTTTACTATCAACTCACTCGATAATGGACTGGATGACACCAGCCCCAACAGTCTTCCCACCTTCCCTGATCGCAAATCTCATTCCTTGCTCGCAAGCCACTGGCATTATAAGCTCCACCACCATCTTCACCCGGTCTCCTGGCATCACCATCTTCGTCTCCTCATCCTTGTCATTCGTAACTCCAGTCACCTTCCCTGTCACATCCGTCGTCCTCATGTAAAACTGTGGCCTGTATCCAGCAAAGAATGGCGAATGCCTCCCGCCCTCCTCCTTCTTCAACACATACACAATCGCCTCAAACTTCGTGTGAGGCTTAATGTTGCCGGGCTTCGACACCACCATCCCTCTCTGGATATCCATCTTCTGAATTCCCCTCAGCAGAAGCCCCACATTATCACCAGCCATTGCCTCATCGAGCGTTTTCTGAAACATCTCAACCCCTGTCACTGTTGTGGTCCTAGTCTCTCTCAATCCCACTATGTCCACACTGTCCCCAACCTTCACTTTACCCCTCTCCACCCTTCCTGTCGCAACCGTGCCCCGCCCCGTGATCGAAAACACATCCTCAACAGCCAGCAAAAATGGCAGATCAACTTGCCGTTGTGGAATTGGAATGTAACTGTCCACAGCATCCATCAGCGCATAAATCTTGTCCACCCACTCGTTCTCCCCTCTCTTGATTTTTGGGTTCGCCATCAACGCTTCCAGAGCCAGCAATGCCGACCCGGAAACCACCGGCACGTCGTCTCCCGGAAACTCGTACGAGGACAAAAGCTCCCGGACCTCCAATTCCACCAGCTCAAGCAGCTCCTCATCGTCCACCTGATCCTGCTTGTTCAGGAAAACGACCACATTGGGCACGCCGACTTGTTTGGCCAACAGCACGTGTTCTTTGGTCTGGGGCATGGGGCCGTCGGCGCCGGAGACGACGAGGATAGCTCCGTCCATCTGGGCGGCGCCGGTGATCATGTTCTTGACGTAGTCGGCGTGCCCGGGGCAGTCCACGTGGGCGTAGTGGCGGGTTTCGGTCTCGTACTCAACGGTGGCGGTGTTGATGGTGATCCCGCGCGCGCGCTCCTCAGGAGCGGCGTCGATCTCGTCGTACTTCTTGGGGGCGCTGTTGCCCATGGAAGCCAGAGCCATGGTCAGCGCCGCCGTCAGCGTCGTCTTGCCGTGATCCACATGGCCGATTGTGCCGATGTTCACGTGCGGCTTCTTCCGCTCGAACTTCCCACGTGCCATCCGGACTGTGAAGGATCGGTGACGCCGGAGTGACGGCGGAGAGTGGAAGATAGTTGAGACATTTGTGGCGGCGAGGAAGGTGGAGGAGAGGAGGGGTGGGCTGTTTGGTTTGGAGGCTAGGGTTTTAGTGATCGTGGGTTTTGGGCTGGGTTCAGAGAGAGAGAGGTGGGTAGACAGAGAAAGTGTGGGCAAAGCTGGCGGTGAGGGCATGAAAAAGAGCTTCGATGACGACGGAGCTCCGATCGCGGAAGCCATGAATTGCTGGGAGATAAGCGGCGGCGAAGATGATCGAAAGAGAGGGCGGAGGCAACGAAGAAAGGGGGATTTGAGTTCGAGGGGGAGAGTTTTGGGATCAAAGTAGGGCCCTCTTGCTCAACACTTGCTTAACATTAATTAATTAACTAATTATTGGTTGTTACTCAATAACGAAGGTAAAACGTCTTAAGTACATTTCACACCATCGAGATTAGAGGATAATTGCAAAATGAGCCACGAGCACGATATCACATTTTGTTATAAACCATTATACAAATTATGTTAAGATTATTCGTCTAATTAACCGTTAAGTATTGACGTGATAGTATAAACCACCCTCTCGTGCCAGATAGAACACACCAAGGCCATCTTAGTCTTGAGCTCTGCCTTACCACGTCATCAGTTAACCAAATGATCAGCCTAACATAAGACGTAATTGATCAAAAGCGAAAAAATTGAAACCTTTTGGTCCGATTTGAAGGTGAAATGCACCTTGCCCAAAATTAAACGACGTCACTTTACGTATAATATAAAGCCACAAAATAGTAACATTCCCATCCGAGTTTTTGAAATGTGTGGTTTACTGTGGGACAAGTAGAAAATTACACGAGACGATCCTAAACGCCATTTTACTTTAATTTATACACAAACTATAAACAGCACGAAAGATTCACTGGCGATGGCCTTCCGGCAGGGCAACCACCTTATGGAAGGGCACTGTCCTCTGAGGCAAGGATCCGTCTTCCTCATCGTCATCGAATTCCAACAAATAACTGCCCAAATTCAAACATTAAAACATCATATCATGTATGTAACAAGGAAACAACTAAATTAAGATGCCTTGATTATAAAGTGGCGTAAAAGTAAAACCCAATCCGTATTGAGGTAACTTACTCATCCGTCTTCCTCTGATGGTTGAGCATCCGCCAGAAGCATGCAAACATGATCAGGCGTCAGTTTGGTTCCACGGCGTAAGTGCTACAACAATACTAAGGATAGAAATCCACAAAGAAAAAAGCATCAAAGTGGATGGATGGAATCGTTACCTTGCGATGGCCATTCACCACAGTTGCCTTGTATAGTGCAGTTGTTCCTGGATATACTGCTAAAACGGGTCTTCCAGTGGGGAAATCTATAGCACTGGAAGGGTCGTTTCTCTTCGGGAAAGGTATAATAGCGCTCATAGGCAACTTGTACTTTCTGAGAGCAGCAATGACAACAGAGAAAAATGGTGAAAAGAAAGTTAAGCATCCAATAGAATTCAATATAAACCAGAGAGAACGGTATTGTTAAACACACAACAAGGAAACTACCTTTGGACACCGCCCTCTTCATCATCACCCGGCTCCTCATCTAGTACTTCAAATCTGCACAATTTTAACTAGCATCACACCATGTCCAAAATAAACAAACCAAGTTGGCAGATCATGATTGGGCTAAAAAAGTTATCATGATAAACTAAAAAGAGTTGTTGCATAGTAAGTAAAACTAGACTTACTCTCTTGTATCCTTGTCAAAATGCATCACTTTTACAACAAACCACTCATCCTTGTCAGCATCTTCTTGAGTAACCGTGACCCTCGCTGCTACCTAGAAGCGATAGTAAATGTCAATAAAACCGATCCTCAAAGAGTATCATTCAGTGAAGGATGACATTTTAACCAAGAGCAAGAGAGTAGTGGGAAGGAGCAAGCACAATCAAACACGACAGATCACGATAATACTGCATACCTGTTCGCCTTTCAGACTAGCATGAGCCTCGAGTTGACTTCGCATGGCAGGGGAAATCCTTGAAATATCTGAATCAGGCTTCATTCTCTTCCTTTTCTGCTCATTACCTTCTGCAGTACATGAAATATCAGCCGAATGAAGAAATTACAGTGTTTTCAAATAAAAAGGACCGGAATCTCAGTGGAATATTAGCCACTCGATATTTGACATTATATGTATATATTTATCTTTTGGTTAAGCAGAATAATGGCATCTGACAGTTAACAGACAATTAACATAAACTGTGAAATATTTATATAAAACGAAAAGCCAACAGAAATATGTAATTATTTAATAGGAATGCTTATAGCTCCTGGATCCATACCCATCCTTCTTCGCGGCTGCCCTGAAGGTCCAGAAGGCAAAAGAGCATCAAGCTGACTCAACAACAAATTGGAAACACTGCAACAAAACATGGTAAACTAACCTGAAAAGCTTATCAATAAAGAATAAACAAAAGCTTAACTTGTGCAAAAAAGAAGTTGACACAAGAGCATGAGCTTTAAAAACTTTTTTCTTTAATCTTCAGCCACATAACCGAAAAAAATAACATATAAACTTCCTTGGAATTGTTTAACCCTTTTTCAAACAGGTCCAAGGAAGTGTTTAACTCGACGAAAGATAAAAAGAAACGTACCTTACTTCTCTTTCTGAACGATCTTTGGCATGCACATATAAATTCTTCAGCTTCGACAATGAATTATCCCCGGGCTTCTCAACCACTTCAGGAGCTGTATTAACATGCAAGATAGATTAAAAAAGAAACTAACATTATTAAACACATTGGTCATTCCTCGCTTCTAAGCTGAATGTCAACTAACTAATCTATCGAAAAATCAAAATATCCAATTACAAAAGATTCAGAGAATATTTCCAAGGACTAACAAACAAGGGGACTTACTAGTTTGGAGCTTCTTATGCATCTTGTTTATCTCAATGAGCACCTCTTCTTGCTCTTTCCTCAATTGATCGAGCTCTTTCGACTTTTCCAGTATACCTGCAATGTCTGCCGCAGACATTGTTCCGTCTGTAAATTTTACTCCCACCAAATTCTGACAGCTCAACCCTTTCCCCCTAATATTACAGCTCAATCATCAGCAATGCACAAGCATACGAAATCTAAAACGTAGTTCCATTTCACTTGCATAGATATACATACCTAATTCTAAAATTCGAGAACTAATCAAGTTAAAATTCTGGATTAAACATTTCTTCAATGGGTAGAAAAAACGTAAATTTTAGTAATTTAGTGAAAATACAACCACCAAGCTAGGTGGCACCAAGCCCAAACCCGCTAAGTGAGGTCAGCTATATGAATCCTACAACGCCACTGCGTTTAAGCGCTAAGATAACTGGAAATATTTAAGTCAACATGAAACTCATTCCTCATATTTGCAGAAACATTCACTGATCCCTGATTACATAAATTACAAAAAAGCAATCGCAGGAAGTATGAAAGCAAAATTAACCTCCAAAAATTCCAATTAAATAAGATATTCCGAATTCCGAGATAAAACGGACAATGGATAATGGATATTCTCCAAGTTAAAATTCGACATGCGACTGAGAATTGGAAGCCCTAAAAGCTAATCAGAGCAGGAGGAGCACCTGCAAGTAAGAATTCGGGTGAGGAGCGAGAGAATCACCGGCGGGTAAGACTAGAGCGCCGAAGTTGTTCTTGCGTGGGGAAACCGCGGAGGGTTCGAGATTTCTTCGTAGATTCTTTGTTTTCACAATTTAGGGAAGAAAATTGAACTTACGCAAAATGACACCAATAACATTTTCAATTTCTTTTTCTTTAAAAATTCTTTTATTAGTTAAAAAGACCTAATTACCCTAGGACGCGTGTTGTTGACATGTTATTGACACGTTATTCGCTTTTAGCTCCCTCCTTAATACAGTCGTTACGATGTGTTAAAAAGAAAGGTTAATTGGGTATTTTTGTAAGGATGGAGTGTTTAGCTTCATAAAAATTCAAAACATATGCGAGTTCGACAGTCTTTAGATCAGAATGTCTTTTTTTGAAATACACAATAGATTGAAATCTTGTTGGCTTCGTGAGTTCAAACTGAGAAATTTACAAAAACGAAGATGTTTAATTGACTAGAATATTGTGCTTGCCTTACTCTCTAATTTGAAATTTTATAATCAAAAGTTGGAATTTTAGAATACTGTATTGTATTGATACACGATATATTATAAAACTAAATTAAAACTAAACTTTTTCACTTATCTGTAAAGAATAATATAATTAGACTATAATGCTAATACATAATATATTAATATTATATTTATTGTTAGAAACCGTCTTCTGAAACACCTGTTTATCGAGAATGTGCTTTCGGAGCCTTTGGATCCTCCGAAGAAAGAAGGGGCCGGTCTCCGGCTCTGCATTTTTTTTTTATGGGTCTGAAATTTTGCTTTGTGGGTTTAAATAAATGGCCACCAATGCATCTGGGTTCTTCACTGCTCCTACAGTTCCGAGCCTTCAATTCGCGTTTTTGGATCTGGGTTTCCTTCCCCTGAGGGAATCTCGGAGAGGGTATTCTGCTCCAGCACTTTTGAAGGCGCAGAGAAGCATGTTGGAGCTTCCGCTTCTGAATCTCGATCACCCAAGTGAGTTCAATCTCCATTCTTTCATTCTTTTTGGTGATATTGCCCCCTTCTTGTTTTGTATGTTGAATTTTGCATTTGATTTTTTATCTTTGTTGGAAAGCTTCATGATTTGCATTTAGTCATAAAGTTCTTTAGCTTTCTGGTTTTACTTGTATATGCTAGATTTGTTTCGATAAGTAGGATTCGAGTTATGGTTGGCAATAGCATGCCAGTGCATAGCCATTTTCTGTATGAAAGGGATGGGGAATAAATTCCCATGTGTAAACTTGTGCTGCACAAAGTGTTTAAATTTTGGTTTGGATATATTATCACTGAGGATTTGGAATTGGATGATCTTATTCATCTCCATTACAGTAGAATTTACAAGGCTTAAGCAACGAAGCCAGCAACAATCGATCCAAAATCAAGCCGACTTTTTAGTAACTACAATCAATTTAAGGCTAAAATTTGGGGAAGTATACATATACATAGATGATTAAGGCACAGTAAAGTAACTGTCTAACAAATCAATTTTGGGACTAACTAGAGGATGCAACTAAGTTAGAAGCGTTTTCATTGATGTAAGTCGGATTACAGGCATGAGCTTAGGTGAATCAGTATTTGGCAAAAATATTAGATTTCCTTTTGATGATACTTCTAGATGAGGTTTTGTATTGGTTTTTAAAGGTTGCTTGTATCACTGTTCTTCCGATGGCTTCGCCATCTGTCTGCTCTCTCTCCCACTTAAACTAAGAGAATGTTTTGGATGATGGAAGGGAAATAAAGGCAATAATCATGAACAAAACTAAAAGTTTATCTTATCAGTTTACCACTTTTGTAGACCCACTTAAAGTGACTTTTTCTTGCCTATTGTCGTCTGGTTATCTTATGAACCCCAGAAAAAAAATTTGTTTATCAAATTAAGGGTTTTTTTTTCCTTTTCTTGCATTTGGATTGTCTTTGCGCTCTGTAGCTATCTTCTTTAATGGCTAGTGTGCTAAATTTAGAACATGACCAAATTACCAAATTCCTTTGTTGAATGCCTAGTGTGTTATTGAACTTTGTCCTGAATGAATTGGTTGTTTATTTCTGTTTTTGTAAAATCTAAAATTTAATTCCTACCAGTGGCCCATGGCTTTGGACGGATCTTTTAAAATTGTCTCCTGCATCTAATTATAATTGTTCTTGGTTAAAGCTATCCCAGGTTGGACCGTGGCCACTGCTATGTGTTTTATGTAATAAACAGAGTGCCTTTGCCCAGAGCCACTGTCAGTACTGGGATTGCATTTTGGTTAAATGGGGGGTATGAATACAAGCTGGTAAATGATAATCTGTCTGATCTTAAATAATTTCTATTTTATTTCAGGCCTGTCAGTAAAGGCTGCAAGTTAATTGGATGCGGCTCAGCAGTACCCAGTCTTAAGATTTCAAATGACGATCTTGCGAAAGTAGTAGATACTAACGACGAATGGATATCTGTTCGCACTGGGATTCGTAATCGACGAGTTATTTCAGGTCAGGTCATACTTTTCTGTGCATGATAATGTCATATATTTGGTAAACAGTTTGAGATAGCTTAGCCTGTGTCGAGCCTCTTTTTTTAAATCGCATGCTATGAGTTTAACTTAGGAAATTCAGCTTCATAGTCTCATACTTGCGGTGCATATGCACTGCATTACAAGAGGAAACAATCTGTTGGACCTCTCAGGTTGACGATTTGAATCTTGCCTAGGATGAGGTTCGTCAGATAGCGGCTTGTATGACCTTCTTTCTGTCGCTATTGAACAAAATCTGTTACATAGTACTATGGCTTCACCATTCTATTCGGACAACTGAAACTACAAGCATATGGCGAGGTTTGACCTGATTAATGCTGGTAATGTAAGATGTGTAAGAGCCTAAGGGGGACTTTCCCATGTTGTACTGGATATTTGAATGCTTCTACCTTTTATCTGAACACTTATTTTAGTCAAATATGTGTCTCTTTTCTCGTCCTCATTTTTAGGTCTAGTGGATATTTTATGTTACCCATTCTATATAATGACATTCTTCTTGTAAAATTACAGGCAAAGAGAGCCTGTCAACGTTAGCGGTCGAGGCAGCGCATAAAGCTCTTGAGATGGCACAGGTTGGTGTTGATGATGTGGACCTAATCTTGGTGTGCACATCTACGCCTGATGAAATCTTTGGCTGTGCCCCTAAGGTATGTAGAGCATTGGGTGGTATCTGGATTAAGTCGTCAGGATTTAAAAAAAAAGAAAAGGGATTGAGCTTCACAGTGGTGTGCATTATATGATTGTTTTGCCGTTATTGATTCCTATTATATTTTATTCTCCATGTTTTTAGGGGCTTATAAATCTTTAGGTGATGAACAAAATTTCATCTATCTAGGTGTGTATTTATTTGTATTGTAGAAGAAAAATAAAAAGTAACAGATCATTGCAAGTTTCATTAATTTATAAAGGGGTTCTATTTCAGACAGAAGTAGATTCTTTTATCCTTGTGGGCATCTATGTCTAAGAACTTTAGAAGAGTTCCCATTAGCGCGATTCATCTTGACTGGACTGGAGTTTTGTACTAGATGTGACATGCTTTTTTTTGGTTTGTTCAGTATTTGGTCGAACTACCGCTGGCTGACTTTAAAAAACTGTAGCTTTTTAAGGTCTCTTCTTTATATTCCTAGTCGGTTATTTTATTGATTAAGTTTGTTGTGCTTATTTAGTTTTATGCTTTTTCCATGGCACGAACTTTGACCAACTATGTGAACTATACTGGACTATATTGATCATGATTCACACGTGATATAGAACGAACAATTGAGTGTTACTCTATTTTGCATGTTAGAAACCCCTGTGTAGTGCAAGTGGAGCTAAATATTGATGTTGTTGAGCTTCACATTTGAATGAATGCTCAAGCAAAAATTCAAACTCTTAGTGCTTATGTTGTTTAATTAATACAGTAAATGCTTACATTTTTTCAATTTGTATTATATTGTAATTTCAGGTTCAGAAAGCACTCGGCTGCACAAGGAATCCTTTAGCGTATGATATTACAGCTGCTTGTAGTGGTTTATTTTGGATCTAGGATCAGCGTATTGTCACATTAAGGGTAACGACTTGGTTTACTTAGCTCTAAGGACTGGTTTTCTATATAAGGGCATTGAAGTCCCTCTCAGCTTCTAACTTTGGACCGATAGAGGAACGTGAAGGATACAGGTTTGCGTTTTCTCGATTTCTATGTTTGTTTTATGCACCTTTTCAGCAAGTACAGTATTTTTCTGATACTGACCGATCACTCTCTTTGCAGACATCTAAATGCCGCCTTGAAAGAAAATGAAACAGACGATGAGCTGGGTTCTAATGGTTCAGTCCTAGGCTTCCCTCCAAGACAAGCTTCATATTCCTGCCTTCAAATGAATGGTAAAGAGGTCCTTCGCTTTGCTGTGCGTGTTGTGCCGCAGTCAATTGAGTATTCCCTTGCAAAGGCTGGTCTCCCTGCATCTAGCATTGATTGGTTACTGCTCCATCAGGTATGATGAATGATATCTTTGGGAAAGTTTACCCCAGGTTTTGCTGATTAAACGATTTCTCTGCTCTACCGTCAGTTACAGCTACCGATTATCATTTAACTACAATTTCTTTCCCACATTACGTTTAATTTCAGAAAATATTTAGGCGTGGAAAATAGACATATACGGCAAGTAACTTCAGCCTAATAATTTTTTATTTCCAAAACTATACCAGCCTGTCATATATGTCCAGTGAACTAAACTGGTACACTATTGAGAAATAATGCTTACATTTTCATTTTCTTCGTAATGGGAAGTTTGAACGAATATAGCACTTCAAGGGAGCTTCTTAATGACCTAAGGTTTTCCTAGCAAACAAGCGACGTAGCACATTTTGTTCTGATAAGACAAATCGATAATGCAGGCAAACCAGAGAGCATCCTTGATGCGGTTTCTACTCGCATGCAAATCCCATCAGAGCAGGTGATTTCAAACTTGGCAAACTATGGCAACACGAGCGCTGGTTCCATACCGTTGGCATTGGACGAAGCTGTGAGGATCGGGAAGGTGAAACCAGGCCATACTATTGCAGCTGCCGGTTTTGGAGCAGGGCTGACTTGGGCTTCTACCATTTTCAGATGGGTTGAAACTCGAAACCTCGCCTCCTGCCAATACAGAACAAGAACGTCGTCCTAGCCGTATGAAGCGCGGTTTTGCAATTCTTGCATCACGTTCCGAATGTATTAGGTATTGTTGCATCAAATCTCCATCAGCGCCCTTTCATTTGTTTTTCTTTAGTTTTTGGCACCCTCAATAAGATTGTATTGTTTTTCGTCGGTCCAATAATTTATTTGTTTTCTGTTTCTTGATTCACAAGCCAAGGCTAAAATAACAATTCTAACGCTGCAACGAAGACAGATACTCTATATCTCATGTTTGAATTGAGCATTTTTCAAAACTTTTGTTTTTGACAAACAATATGATAATGGCGTAATTTGAAGTTCAATCATCCAAGGGTCGGGATTTGAACTTGGCGCAGACGGTGAAGCACACTACTCTAGTTGATTTGGCCAAATCTAAATCTAATCTACGAACATTTTTCTTAAGATTTTGTTTGGATGAATAAATTTAAGATTATTAAGAAAGTTTGAAATTACATAATTCTATTTTTTAGAATTTGTGAATTTTCTTGTTTGGTTAACTTAAAAAAACAATAGAATTTGAATATGGAATCTTTTATTTTTAAACTCTTACCCATCGAAATTTAAAAATGACATCTATTTCTATGGAATTTAAACTTAGGAATTTGAGGTCCCAAAATCTGATTTTGTTTTATTCTAAGGAGGGTGTATTCAATTGAGATATTGAGGGATTTTAATTCTTTTAATGAATCTAGGGGTATTCAATCAGGATTTTAAGTGATTCTCCAAAATTTAAGGTGTATTCAATTAGAATTTTAAGATAATTTATTAAAATCCTTAGAAATCCGGGTGTATTTAATTAGAAATTGATTTTAAAGAATTTGATAAAGTTGAGGAATTAGAAGGAATTGAAGAGATTTCGTAGTATATTTTAAGCATCTACAAATCTCACATCTTCTCATGAGATTTCGAGAGAATTGAATCAAAATTTTATGTGGAATCTTTGCAAATCAATTAAACTTTATAAAAATCCAAATAAATTTCTATGTTTATGAATCCAAATAAAATCAAAATTTTATGTGGAATCTTTGCAAATCTCAGATTCTCAATTGAATACACCTCCCTAAATTTCTATGTTTATGGATCCAAATAAAGGAATTGATGCATATCAATTTATAAATTCTAACTTTTGTCAAAATTCTAAGTTTATTTCCTTCATTCAAACGTAGTGTTTTAACTTTAATCAAGTAGCACTACACTTGCATAAAACTAAATATATGTACAACATAATCAATAATTACAATAACTTCAATGCCAAGAAAGGAAAGAAAAAAAATTAAAAAACAAAAGTAAAATTCAAGTGGGTCACTAAGGGAAAACCCTAGGTTGAACTGGAACCCTAGATTTAATCTTGTTCAAAACACCATCAATCGCAAGATCAAAAGCATCCTTCTTAGCTCTCAATCCCATTGAGCTCCCATGCCTTCTATACATAACTCTTGGTATCATCTCCAACACATTCTCCCTCATCCTCCTCACTTTAGCCCTAGGAATGCTCCTAAGCACATCCAAAACCCTAGTTTCCTTGAACACCACATCCTCCTTTGGTATAAACACCGAGAACTCCCCGTACCGATCCTCCGGCAAGTGCCACCCGTACTGCGTTTTGGCGGACGAGTCCTCAAATAATACGGGGATGCAGCCAGCCACAATGCTATCGAATGTGGACCGCCTCGTCGGGGTGTCACCCGGAGGCTGTAGGCAGAAACTAGCCTGCAGCATTGGCCTCATGAACCTAATTGGGTCATACTCACATATCCCATGGGAGCAATCCACAATGTCGCACAGCTTTGTGTACCTGACACCCCCACTTCCAAACCTCCCCAAATTGTTGTTTGAAGTCGCATTATTTGCTTTGGTGTTGTTTTCACACTCATTCCTGATACTCTTCCTAATGTTCGGATTATTTCCGACACCGCCGCCGCCTGCAAACATCATAAGCGTGGTGCGACGGGACCGCCTCGCTCGTTGCAACCACGTCTCCAATAACGACAAATTGGGCGGATGGAACGATGTCGGATAAGGCACAGCGTGCTCCTGCCATGGCCAGGCACGCGCCTCCACTGTCAGAGCGGTGACATTAAAAAACTGCGGCAATTCAAGCAGCGAAGTCCCCCACAGCGGCGGATCGTTCCGCAACGGTTGGGAGAAATCCATAGCGGGCCGGGCCAAAACCAAGAAATGGTCTTGACCCATGTGCCTATACCAAGAAACCGGGTCGTTATTGGTCAAAAAATCGAACAAATTGAGGCCCTGCTCGGAGCTGGAATTGTAATCAGGGCCGTAGAGATAACGAAGGGCGTCGATGCCGGCGTAGTAAGGGAGGTAGACGGCGTTGGCAGATTGGGGATCTGAGGCGAGGCATGGGTATTCGAGCATCCGACGGTGGAAAATAACCTCTAGCATTAACGGGTCGGTTCGGTACCAACTGTGAGAAATATTATGAGTTTTCTGGCCAAGGCCATTGTTGGCCAAGTGAGGGCAAAAGTCGTTGAACAGAGGGTAGCCAGAGCAATTGGAGAGGAGATCCAGGTTAAAGGACGGGGGGAGCTGTCGGATGTGGATCCAACGGCCGGTGCAGTCGGAGTTGGATTGAGGACGGTCGAGATTGTTTCCGGGGATTTGGGCGAAGCATAGTTGGATGGTGGTGGTGGTGGTGGAGAAGAAGAAGAGGAGGAAAGAGGTGGAGATTAGTAAAGTGGACTTGGAGGCCATTGATAGGGAGAGAGAAAGATGGAGAGAAATGGGGTTATTTATGAGGATGGATTTTGCAATTAGATTTTTGGGGTGAGAGAAAGATGGAGAGAAATGGGGTTTGAAATGGTGCTGAAGTTTTGGGTAATTTTCTGATTTGTTTTGTTTTGACGCTAGTTTTATCCTTCCATTAGTTTTGTTTTTCGTTTTTTGTTTTGTTTGTTAAAACTGCATTTTCTTTTTTTGGGTTGGAAAATGGAAATCCAACAAAAAAATAGAAAAAATTGTTTTTTTTTTTTTAAAGAGGTGACAAATTGGTGGCAGTTCATTTTTTTAAAAGCCAGAAAAATTTACAAAATTTCAAACCCACAAAAAAAATATGCAGAGCTGGAAAGAGATTGAATTCAGCTAATATATGAGAACCAAAAGCATGCGATGAATGGAGTAAACACAACCCATAGAAGAAAATAATCGTTAAATCGTGATTTTTTGTTTATAACCGTCGAAAAGTTTTGTCCCATTACTTGATCTCTAAATGTTTGTTTTTTGCGATTTTTGGCGTATGCGATTTCGAAGTATATACAAACAAATTTGACGGTGGGATCGTTGAAATTAGTTTCATAGGATGCGTATCTCATAAAAACGATAGATTCACTAACACTTAGAGTTTATTTATACTTTCATTAAGTATAACATAAGATTTTATGGTATCCACTAGTGTAAATATTTTAAATTGAATATCGAATTTATTCATTGTATTTATATAGGGTCAATGAGTGTAGCTGTAAAAAAAATCATCAAAATCGAAGTTAAAATACCCGTTAAATCGTGATTTTTCATTAAGTATAACATAAAATTTTATGGTATCCACTAGTGTGAATATTTTAAATTGAAGATCGAATTCATTCATTGTATTCATATGGGCTCAATGAGTGTAGCTGTAAAAAATCATCAAAATCGGAGTTTTAAATTGAAGATCGAATTCATTCATTGTATTCATATGGACTCAAGGAGTGTAGCTGTAAAAAATCATCAAAATCGGAGTTAAAATAATCGTTAAATCGTGATTTTTCGTCTATAAGCGTCGAAAAATTTTGTCCTATTACTTGATTTCTGAAAGTTTGTTTTTTGCGATTTTTGGCGCATGCGATCTCGAAGCATATACAAACAAGTTTAACGGTTGAATCGTTGAAATTAGTTTCGTAGGATGCATACCTTCAAAATGATAGATTCACTAATACTTAGAGTTTATTTATACTTTCATTAAGTATAACATAAGATTTAGTGGTATCCATTAGTGTAAATATTTTAAATTGAAGATCGAATTCATTCATTGTATTCATATAGGCTCAATAAGTGTAACTAAAAAAAAAAAAAAAAAAAATCAAAATCGGAGTTAAAATAGCCGTTAAATCGTGATTTTTCGTTTTATAACCGTCGAAAAGTTTTGTCCTGTTACTTGATCTTTGAATGTTTGTTTTTTACTGATGCGATCTTGAAGCATATACAAACAAGTTTGACGGTTGGATCGTTGAAATTAGTTTCTTAGAATTCGTATCTCATCAAGTTCAATGGTGTGTGTGTGTGTGTGTGTATTTTTATTAAGTAGATTTAAATTTATTTATTTTGTACGTATAACACTTAAGAAATTGCATGGTATGTATATTTAAGCCGATCCACTGGTCACCAATTTTTAAAATTTAATTGAATGTATATATAATTATTATAGTTTTTAGGGGTATAAAATTGTTAAATTAATATATATAATTATTATAGTACTTTTTAGGATTATAAAATTATAAAATTAATATTTTGCTTATCGTGTATCGTGTTACCCACGTGTATACCCGAACCAATCCGTTATCTTAACAGATGCTTATCGAGTTACCCGATAACTACTCGATACGTTATTGTGTCGATCCAAACACCTGTTAATTTCATATCGAATTATCGAGTCGTGTCAGGAATTGTCGGGCCTACTCTCACCCATTCAATCACTTGCTTGTGATTGCAGCAATTCCCCGACAGCGCTGTCCGGAAAATAAGTGCAAAAAATTTGGCACTTATCAGATTGAATCCAATCCGATAGTGTTCGATCAATTGATTTCAGTCCATTTATGTATGCACTTGACTTATTTCATATTGGACCAGTTTATTTCTTAGATCAACGTAAAAGAAAACATCCTCATAAAAATCTACCTAAATTTCATACCTAAATACAATGTTGAACTGAGATAAGGCAATACTCTCTCTCTGCATGGTGAGAGCTCCTCTCCTAAGTGAGAACCTTCTCACTGGTTCTGTGAGGCTTTCAGATCTTAGTGGGGGTGATAACGATTTGGTTTGAGGACGAATATGTTATATCTATCCTCATAATAACGAAAATTAACCATATTCATAATCGCTAATTAATTATTGGGTATTATCCATAATCATACCCATCGGGTAATAGATTCTCATTGATTATTGGTTATATATATCTTCGTCAATACAAAAAATATATTTGTTCAATTAAAGTATAATAATTTAGTAAATATTAATTTCATCACTAAATATTTGATGTATAAAATGAATTAATGAATGGATCTTGTGGAGCATAAGAATTAAAACTAAACATTGATAATGTTGGTTGATCTTTGATATCTCTCATAAGTACTATTGGTCTGGATTCTCATAAATTTTGATTCATATTAAAACTTTTTAACTTGCCCACAAAATGCAACTCACACATTGCAATTTTTGTATTCTTAAGGTAATGGATTCAGTGAATAATAAATAAATTAATTAATTAATTATAATACAATTATATTATATATGATTATATATAAATTGTCACGTCCCAATCCCGACATACGTCCAAGATCGATGCGTGACTTCACTAAATACCCGCACATCCATCATACCTTGCCTCTGGGATACAGGCCAAACACAACTCACGATCCAAAAGCGTACTAATTTTTTGTATACTTTATGATTGCATCTAACCTTCTCGTTAGACTGTCTACGTACCCTAAACGGGGATCCAGCCATTCGTAGTTCGTCATTCACTACACTCGATAATTCATTACATAGACCACTATGTTTCAACATAATACCACAATTCAAGCATGTAGCACCTCAAGGAACATTCAACAAAGCACTATAATATTCTCTAGTCATCTTGCCATTCACCGACACATATGCATTCCAATACCATCCAATAATCACACCAATCAATAACACATACAATACACCGAAATGTAGGGTTAAAGTGTTTAGCTTCATAAAGATTCGAAACCTATGTGAGTTCGACAATCTCGAGATCAAGATGTGTCGTTTCTTGAAATACATGATAGATCTTGTTGGCTTCATGAGTTCAAACTGAGAAGTTTCTAAAAGTGAAGATGTTTAGTTGATTAGAACATTGTGCTCGCCCCTACTCTCTAATTAGAAATTTTATATTCATAAATTAAAATTTTAGAATACTGTATTGTTTTGATACACGATATTTTTATTAAAACTAATATAATCAAATCTAAAATTTTTCGCTTAAAAACCATATCCTGAAACACTTGCTTATTTTGCACCTGCTTTCGGAGCCCCTGACCCATTCAATTACTTGCTTGTGATCGCAGCCATTCCTCGGCAGCAATGTCTGGAAAATAAGTGCCAAAAAATTGCCACTTATCAAATTGAACCCAATCTGATAGGTGTTCGATCGATTGATTTCGGTCCATTTATGAATGCACTAGACTTATTTCAGTCCTTTTATGTTTGCACTTACTTATTTCATATTGGACCAGTTTATTTCTTAGGTCAACATAAAAAAAAAACATCGTCATAAAAATTCACCTAAATCTCATACCTAAGTGCAATATTAATATTACAAATTAATAGAACTCTCTACCATCTTATGTTTTTGATACAATATTTTAAAATGTTGACACGACAATTGATTTTAAAATTTTAAATTATGAGATAACAGAAAATCTAGAAAGAATCCCACTTTAAAATAGTTGCCATAACATTTCTCTTAGACTAATAATGATTAACTGGCTAAGTATTTTTATCTTTAACTTAAAAAAATGTTGAAACAAACTATTATAATATTTTAAAATAATTAAAGATTAGTGGGCCAAGTCCGCTGTTCCTCGGTTCATTGAGTGGGCCAGCTCAAATCACAAAAGTTGATTTAAATAAGTTTGGCTGGGATGGACCTCCTCGTTTGGCACTGCTACACTCTAATAGTCAAAATATTCACGTTTCCACCGTGAACAAACCAAAAGTGAAATGATAAATACATATTATTAAATCACGATAAGTGGTCCAGTAAAAAGTGCGAGCATCAACTCCCTAAAGAAAAAATATGAAGTCCTGGATTCGATACTTTTGTAACTTGTGAATCGTGACTACGTGTACGGTCCAATTCCCAACTAACCTCCTATGATCTGAGAAGGGATGGATAATTGTGGTTCACCACCAAATTGTCCCCCTAAAAGAAGAAAAAAAAAAGAAGCCCCTACTTAATCTTGACTATTGTGAATCTTTTTGATCTAATCACGGGTAAGCTATAATTATCAATTAGCGTCTTTTATGGGCTTGAAAGGGTAGATAATTGTGGTTACCAGTTGCCCTTTTTTTAAAAGAAGAAAAAAATGCATTCTTATTTGATTCTTAATATTATTTTGCCTTAACCTGGATTCGACCCAAGTTCATTTCAGATTTTAGAGGGAATATGATTCCGTTAACTTTTCAGTTAACTTTAATAGAATATTCTGTTAAAGTTAGCTATTGACCGTTAGTTGATTTTTCAAAATTTTCTCAGAAACCCTTCTCGGCTAATTTCGATTTCTCAAATCTATTTTTGACATCCATTTAGGAAAATTCTGAAGTTTTAACATATTTGACCTCTAGAGCGTCTCTATTGACTTGTAGGGTTAATCATTGACTTTTTCGATGACTTTCTATAAAAAATTTCGAGGACCTTCATTAACATATTTCGACGTCCTAATTCCAAATCCGTATTTTGTTTTTCCAAATTTAATCATTTTAGTTGAGTTTTACTAATGTGTCATAATATTAATTTATTCAAATAAAAAATAAAGAAGAGTACGTATTGGATAAAACAAAACATAAAAATCATCACTGAAATTAATTTTTAAAGGGAGATGGCCGGCCCCAAAATTGTTAAACACTACCCCCCAAAAATCCAATTTCATCAAAATAATCAAATCACAGCCATCATTTCCTCTCCATTCGTAAATCACGAAAAGGGAATATTTTTGTTTCTTCTGCGCTCCCGCGCGCAAAGAATTCCTCGCTTCCAGTCAACGGCCAGATCTCCACTCCCTTCACGCAGGTCCCACAAACTTTATTCATCCAATGGCTCGATCCTTTGGTTCAAAACTTCCCGGCACGGGCGACGCACGTGATTAAAAAGTCCAAACGGAACGAACGAAGGCGTTAATAAAAGGCGTCACAGAAATGGAAATTCCTGGGGGAGTTCAAATCTCTGCAGTTCCTCGTTGGTGCCATTTTCAAAAACCCAATCGGAGAATCAGGGAAACGGAACTGGAAGGCCCTGCCGGACGACGGAGCTGGGGCCGTGTTCGGTTTTGCTCCGCCGCGTTGAACTTTTTTTCACGGCAAAATCACCTCCGTACGTTTTTACCTGCTCGTTAATTATTAATTACTTTCCTTAATCTGCTTTGTGTTAATATTTCCGGATTTGATGCGTTTAACTGAGTTTAACTTCATGATTAATAAATTAATTAAATTTAGAAACTCCCGCTAAAATTTCCGCATAATATTTACTGCCATTTTTAACATGAATTTAAAAGATATGGATTACTGGAGTTAACGGAAGATTTGGCACAAAACCGAATGCAGTGATGTTCTAGGATTCATACAGCTAACCCGCTTAGTGGAATAAGGCTTTGTTGTTGTTGTTGTTGTTGTACTAGGTTGCTTAGCTATGAATTTTGCTGTAATTAGAATTTGGCTCAGCTGATGAGTGGTGCAAACAAAGCCAGTGAGCTACTGTTTGAAAACTGAAATTAATTTGACTCGCAAAGCATGTTTTAAGTTAATTAATTTATCGTTGCAGCCTTGCAGGGTTGTTTGATGGTTGCTTCACTACTGAAGCTGTAGAATCTGCCGATTTTCGTGCGTGTGGAACACCCTCTGCTTGCTAGAATTCAACCTGTATCTTTGTGACTCTGGGATCACAGTAACTTGAGCAATATGGGGTCTCCGATACGCATGTACGAATCTTATAAATCTTATTTTTGTTTTTGTTTTGTTCATTCTGTAATCTTTACGTTCGTTGATGTTACAACGGAACTCAGAGTTTGCATCATTTGTGTAATGTGAACTTCTTTTGAGATGCAGCGGAAATTTAAGAAACCCCAATGAGACAATGAGGCTTGCAGTGACAATCTTTGTTGGAGCTGTAGTCGGGTTCTTTTTAGGAGTATCGTTTCCAACAATTTCGTTGACTAAGGTACACGAATTATTATTTTATTGTTTTTTCTGTATGGTTGTGTTTCAGATGAATTTGGTTCTGAATCATATGATCGTATGAAGAGTAACATGGACTTCTTTATTGTGTTTGAATATGGTAGATGAATCTTCCGTCGACCCTTTTTCCTTCAATTGATCTTTCGTGCATAGAGGAAAAGTACTCCGGGTTTTCACCCCAAGTGTTGTTGAGTGCCTGGTCTTCTTTGAAGGGAAACGAGCAGCGCACTGAAAAATATGTGTCTCAGGAGACAAAGGTATGTTTAAATTATACTTGTGCAGCATGGAAGGATTTAGGCCTTACCCTAGGCTAATTATCGTAACAATAATGAGGAGAAATTGCTTGCTTGCTAGTAAAGGAAATTAAGATACTACGCTGAATTCACACGCTCGTATAGTGGTTCTAGAGACAAAGTTATAGGGTTCAGTGAAAGGTTATACTTTTCTTTAGGCTGTTTTGATGTTGTAATTGTTCCTGGAAATTTGGTGCGATCTATTGTTCTGATGTTTATGATATGGCACTGACTTCTATCCATTTGACTACAATGCAGATTTGGGTTCCAACTAATCCTCGAGGGGCTGAAAGCCTAGCGCCTGGTATCATTGCATCTGAGTCGGATTTCTATCTTCACCGACTATGGGGTCTGCCCAGTGAGGTGTGCATCTGCACTCTAACTTTAGTATGAATGACACGTCCTGTTTTGATTGAGAATTGGATTATGTTTTCAGACCTGTTCTCTAATCTTTGCCTTTTCTTTTGGAGGTGGAACTTATAGGACTTACTTGTCAAGCCAAAGTATCTTGTAACCTTTACCGTAGGTTGTGCTCAGAAAAAAAACGTTGATGCAGCTGTGAAAAAGGTCTGTTCTCTCAACAAATTCATTTGTGCAGTTATTTATCTCTGTTTCTCTTCCTAAACGTAAATTTACAGTTTTCAGAGAATTTCACCATACTTTTGTTTCACTACGATGGTTTGACAAGTGAATGGGATGAGTTTGAATGGTCGAAGCGAGCTATCCACATGAGCATTCAGAAGCAAACTAAATGGTTAGAAAGAAATGAGCTGCTTTGAATATTTAAAGTTGTCCCAATAATTGTGCAAGAGATTTATGTTAAACCCCACCTAAGCGTCCTGGAAATTGCTTCCAGGTGGTATGCCAAGCGGTTTTTGCATCCTGACATTGTGGCACCGTACGAATACGTATTTATTTGGGATGAGGATCTTGGTCTGGAACACTTTGATGCTGAGAAGTGAGCGTTGAGAATTCATTGTGCTGTGTTATTTGAATTTTGAAAATTGCTGCTAGGATAAACTAAATGTTAAGGCTTTAATCTTCTGTGTACCAGATACATAAAATTGGTAAAGAAACATGGTTTGGAAATATCACAGCCAGGTTTAGATCCAAAGAGTGGGCTAACATGGCAGATGACAAGGCGGAGAGAAAACAGCGAAGTTCACATGTAAGATTGGCAGATTTTCTAATCAGTCTTTATATTCCGCTCATTGATAATACTTCAACCAATGATTGAAATTGTTGCTTGGCTTACGTTTTCTTGAACCCCTTCCTACAGGCAGACAGAGGAGAGACCTGGTTGGTGCAGTGATCCGCATTTGCCACCATGTGCATCGTATGTAAAGATAATCTTATCCATCACCGTTGTGGAAGCTTTTGGAGTGTGTTCTAATGCATTCTAACATGAATACCAAAATGTGCAGGTTTGTTGAAATTATGGCACCTGTGTTTTCTCGGGATGCATGGCGTTGTGTCTGGCATATGATTCAGGTATATATCATCGTCTTTCTCAGCTCAATCCGTTGCAAGGCCTTTAGTGATTGCTCTAATGCTACTTCTATAATCTTTTCCCTTTTGCAGAATGACCTGGTCCATGGCTGGGGTCTGGATTTTGCTCTTAGAAATTGCGTTGAGGTTCGAAACAACAACTCTCTCTGTGCCTTAAATATTACTCCTTCCTGCTTGTGATCGTAAATTTGTAATTTAGGGCCTTCCATCTTTTATCTTTGCTTGGGAACAGCCTGCACATAAGAAAATTGGAGTCGTGGACGCGCAATGGATTGTCCATCAAGGCGTTCCTTCACTCGGGAACCAAGTAAGTTCAAGCTTCTAACATCAGCTGATATAACGATTTTATCTGGAACAATGTAGTCACCGATTTTTTTCGCCCGACAGGGGCAAGCGGAGGGTGGAAGAGCACCATGGGAAGGGGTAAGGGAGAGGTGTCATAGCGAATGGGCAATGTTTCAAGCACGAATGACCGGCGCCGAGAAAGCATATTTTGAGGAAATGGGAGTTGATCCTCCAAATTCAACAGCTCATTAGAGGGTTGAAAGTAATGAACCGGGATCCTCTCCGGATCCCAAAAATCTGAGTCGAAGGATCCAACGATCCAGGCCGTTGAAATTTGATTCAACGTTTACAATTATGATAACTTTTAGAGGGGCTCCCTGTTTGTAGTTGTTAGATCAAATTTCAACGGTCCGGATCATTGAATCTATAGACTCAGATTTGTTGGGATCCGGAGAGGATTCGGGTTCGAAAATAATGGTGACAGGAACTTGTACAAATACAGCTCGACTGTACTTAACACAAAGTTACATTCGGTCTGGCTATGTATTGTTGCTACGTCAATACTAGTGCCTTTTAAGGTTGCATTTTTTGTGCTATTCCCGTAGAGGTAGAATTCTTCTCTCGTCTTACGTATCATACGGTTAGTGGAATTCGTAAAAGATGATGGATTAGCTGGGCTTACCAGTAATACGATGCGACGAACTTGAAGTCCAAATAGTTAAGAGCATTCATAAATTATTAGAATAATATATAGATTATAAATTATTAGAACGCAAAATAAAAGTTATTTATTTTTTTTCTAAGTAAGAGTCGCAAATTAGGTAGGTCTGGACGACCTAGGCGAGTGTCTAAGTGATCTAGGCATGTGCCTAAGCAAGTTTAAATGTCATTTCTTAATTTTCAAACGTTTAGAGATTAATCTAGACGGTAACCAAACGTTAGGTGGGGCCTAGGCGGAAAATTTTTAAATAATGGATAGGTTGCATTAGAATTCTGATTTTGATGCGTAGTTTATCTTGGATAATTACTTATGACATGAGGCAAGCTTTCTCCATCTCAATTATAATTCACCATTTTCTCTTAAAAGATATGTCGTTCTACGATGACAGTGAACTCGTTATACAAATTGCTCTCATTCTGTTCACATTAAATTAAAAGTAATGTTAGAGAGACTAAATTTGTGAACAAAGTTTTAAAAACTAAAGGACATGAAAGTTGATGATTAGTTTATTACTTACACGTTGATAAATGTGTTTATTCTTATTGGTGATACATCATTTAGTTTACAAATTTAATCTTTAAATTTAAGTTCCTAACATTGCTCTTGAATTGAATAAACAGCAGCTGTAAATTGCAAAATAATAATTATTAATTCAACGACTCAGTGACTCACGCAGCCACGCTTCACTTTTATCCGTATTAGGTGGCAAATTCTAAATGGATAAAAGAGGTGGCAAATTCTAAATATTTCCCTAATTGCTGAAAAACGAAAACGACAACGTTTTAGGTTTATTTGGCACTGATACTCCACCGTGACGAATCCGGAGGTAGCAAAAGTCATTTCTCACTTGAAATTTTCATTTTTCCCGCTCGCGGCTTCCTGCGGTAATGGAGTCTGCAGCAGCTTGGGTGGACGCCCAAGAGTGGGAGGTCTGCAACGACGACGGCTTCGTCTTCAAGCGGAGGAAGCGGCGCCGGGTGGACGCAGATGCCGACGAGTCGGTCCCAGCTCCACCGTCCTCGGCCTCCGCGGATCTACAGGAGGATCCCCAGAAACTTCGGAGAGAGCGGAGGAGGAAGTTTCTTCTCAAACTCAGAGCTAAGTACCAGGCGGAGATCGACCAGTGGGAACTTTTGTCGAGCACTTTGCGCGCAATGGAGGAGAGGGCGCAGCAACGAGAGGAGGAGGAGCAGCATAGAATGGAAGAGCGAGAACGGGAGGATACGGCGTCGTTGGATGGGTCTGGGGTGTTAGAGATTCAGGGGACGGAGTCCTGTTGTGGGTCGTTGGTGGATGAGCTTCTCTTGCAGGTGAATTGGGGGTTTCTTTCCTTTCGTTTTGGGATTGTTTGGTTTGTGGCATTTTTTTTTTGAAAATTGAAAGATTTTCGGGATTAGGGTTTTTGCAAAGTTTGAAACTTTAGCTCGTGACGCCAATTTGGGGCTCAGTTGAGCTGATTTTCCATGACATTTCTCTGATTTCTCAGTAACCAAACATCAATTGAACTTTTAGGGTTTCTGTTTTCGTTTTCTTAGACTACCTTAATTGACCCCTAAACTGGTCAGCAATCATTCACAGTATAATTACATTTTTTCATCCTCCTTTGTGAATGCAGGTAGACGCACACGCAGCGATCATTGGTAATGTTTCGAGTCTCTGTGACACAAGCGGACGCACTATGTAAGGTAGAAGAGGAACGGATTACTCCGCTTTTCTTCGGTATTCCAATCAGCAGTTCACCGAGGGAGCTCATGAGATCGCTGCAATGGTAGCCTGTATTCATGAAATTCCCCAAGGGGTAGGAGGAAAGTAGTAGAGGGTGATGTGGAGTAGGTCCGGCCGTTGGGCTTCACATAAGAAATAATATGCTCTGATACCATAAAGAAAGTTAAGGTTCCACCATAATATTAATTTTTTCCACCTTGGTCATGTGATTTGGTATGAGTGATGTAGCCAAAACCACAATAGATGAATGAGGCCTAGAAACTGGAAAGTGTGTATATGTTGTATTGATTATATTTCAATTTCGATTCATGCTTTTGTGTATTCGTAGCTACCACTTTGCGTTTTAGATTGTCCTAGATTTCAATTTCGATTCAAAGCATTTCTGTCAATATAGATAGAGAGATATTGAATGTCGAAATTGATCTTTAACTCCATTCGGTCTCTGGAAAGACTTGCATTGATATCAAACACTCGAACAAACAAATAGCAGTTTATAATTCGTTTCAAACAAAAGGCGTAAAAATTGTGTTCCTAAAGAGAACTAAATCAGAAGACACCAACTAATTGCCTATTTTGATAAGGTTTGTAGATCAACCTCGTTTAGAAGAGAGGGAATGACTTCTATCGGTTCGAGTTTAAAGCCAGCCTTTTGACACTCGTCCTCCAAGAGTTTCACTTGTGAAGGACCATCGGGACAAAAGACGACGACTGCCCCTCCGCTACCTGTGAACTTGGATGCTGCACCCACCCTTCGGGCTACCTCCACCATTTCTATGTTTAAAGCACCCAAAGCATCGTCTCCAAACATGCTTCTGCACAACATCCACATACCAACATTGAGCATCCATAAAATGCACAAACATAACAAATGCGAAAATGGTTCAAAATATAAGATGTTACTCCAGCCCAGCTGCCATGGCGTAACCCATTATGACAATGTAACACATAAGAAGGGACGTAATGAGTTTATGGTGCTCAGGGTCTCAATTAAAGAAAATTCTTAGATTTGACATCACACCCAAATGGACGCAAATAGTGACGTTTTTTTTCTTCTTATTATCGGACCTTCTAGCATGTTGAAGCGGCTACTGAAAAAGGTTTAGCAAACAAATGTACAGTTTGTGCAAAATCGACACTGAGTGGCAATAGTCTCGAACAACATCATATTCCTCGCATGAATGACACACATAATCGAATAACGAGTCAAGCAGGTAATCTCAAACCTTCTAAGGTCAAAATTTCTGTTCATCAGAGAAGCTAATTTAGTGTAGTCCCTTTCAAGTAAGGCCGTCCTTCCTTCTAGTGCAATATTTGCGACTTCTGTCATTGATGATATTATAAACTCATCACCGTTGAGCCACCTTTGACGAACGGTACTATGTACCTGCCATCAAAAGTCAATGAATGTGTCAATTCTTGTACAGATTGCTCAACAAGTGGAAAACGATACGGAAGACTAACAATAAGGAAACGCTAACCTTCCCAGAATCACTTGGATTCTCGGCATAGATGAGGTGAAGAGGCGGGAGAAGACTAACATCCGTGGGTGTGTAAATTCCATGCCCCAAAGTATCCATGTTTTCCTTGGCAAATTCCTAACAAGTCGAAAAGTTACTACATGCCATGGTTGAAATTTGAAAGGATGTTAACATGGAATGGTTGAAACTAAAGTACCATGTAAACGAGGCCGCCATAAACCTGTGCCACGCGATCTTGAAGACCGGCAACAATGCCAAGTTGCTTCTCGGCATTAAGGACGAGGCCGGGGCGGACCTCCACTTTGATTAAATGCCTAACCTTGTGGAAGTCAAGAAGGCAGCTCAGGGCTGCACACACAATCGCACTAGATCCCGAAAGTCCTGTCTGAAATCGAAATCGGAATCTCAATCTCAAAAAACACAAAAATCAAAATCCCTACTTACTTAAATCACTGAAATTCATTCATTAGTGTGATTAAAATTTAGTTAATTAAGATTTACCTGGCGAGGGATATTGGTATCATACGAGAGAGTGAAATTTCGAGCTTCCAATTCGATCGCATTTTCCTTGCAATAATCGAAGAACACTTCGCAAATCGCCATCAACAATCGAACACCTCCATAATATCCCTCACTACCTAACCGATTCACCTGTTCGATTTCGATTTTCCAATTCAATCACATTTCAAATTTTCAATTCAATCACAGCAAATGGAAATTTCAGTTTAAATTTAATTGCAGGATTCAATTCAACATTAGGACTATATGCAATTGCGAAATTGAAGTGGTGCAGCCACGAACCAGGTGATCGAGGGATCGGAAGACGACGAGGTCGTGGGTGGGGTGGGGCTGGATGACGAGATCATCGGACGGCTGCAACCTTACGGTGGCCCAGAAGTTTCCGACGCTGAAGGAGATCGTGCGGCCGTAGTAGACGTCGCTCGGGTTACCAAGCAGCCCCACCCTGGCGTACGCCCTGTGTTGGATCACCGCCGCTTCCGACGACGACGTCTGGTGGTCGTCCATATCCATTTCTGTTGCTGCTTGCAGGGTGAATAAAGCACTAGGTTCAAACTATGAGAAAAGTTAACGTTATAGACTTTTTCGGCTGATATTTTGGCACAATATTTTATAATGTTGACACGAAAATTAACGTTAAACTGTGAGACAGCAAAGTGTCTAGAGTGTCGTATTTTTCAAAGAGCCTTGTTAGCATTTCTTTTAAACTCTTAGATTTGATTTTCACAACTTTTTAAATCTTCTATTTTCAGTTAGATGTCATTTATTCTCGTATTTTTCAACCGTATGTAGTATTGATGAATGAAGAATTTAGAAAATCTATTGGAAAAGCAACCCCAAAGATTTGAGACCAAAAATGGTTAGTGACAACTGTATGGACTGACGGTCTTACCAATCTTGATTGTTACAAAGTTAATGCTACCACTTCAAGCCTATTGCTGGAGCAGAAAATCAATTTATTGACGAAAAGAAAAAGAAAAAAAAGAATCGACCATTCAAGTTTTAAGAAATTTTCATTTATCAATTGCAATTTTGTCATGTGTATTTACGTGCTTAAACTCACCTCGTTATATCTAATCAAAATTTCAATTCTTTTTACGTGGTCTTTTCCATCTCCGGTATGGTTTTGGTGTCGTCTTTTTATGAAATTCATCCAATTTTTTGCATTGATACTACCATTGTCTGGTCTCGATTAGCAATGCATCTGTTTAGATATGGTGCAGTGTAGCAGCATTCTTGTTCTGTTAGCCGAGTCACGATAGGCAACACAATTAGACGGAATCTACATCAACATACGAACATGGTTCACTCACAAGGATTCGACGTCAAAATGGAGTGCTGACTGTCGACTACTCATATGAATTATCGAATGTAAATAAATTCTTCGTGAAGAATGGAACAATCGACATAAGTACGGTTGCAGTAGTTGGTCGCGATGATTGCCTTGGTCATGAAGATTGTAACTTCTGCCGCAACTGATGAATATTGTTCAAGACTCTGTCCCAATCTAGCTGCATGACCCTTCGGCCTTCATTTCCAGGGGCCGCTGATGTTAACTTTCTTTGCAACTAGAGTCTCATCACGGAAGCTCACTCCTTGGTCTCCACCATATCCTTCGGTGGACCTGTTGCCGGAGGACAGTCCCATTATTTGATCTTTATTTATTTGATGCAATGGTGACCTTGGTTAATCCTTGTTTCCGGTTGCTTTCACCGGCAGGGACAGTTTACGGAGATCCACTTTCTTTGTTTTCTATCCTCCCATTGTTCTACCCTAGGGTATTTTTCCTTTAAGTTGTAGGAGGACAAGCGGCCGGCTTACTCCCTTTGAGAGTTCAGGACCCGGGGAAAGGGTATGTTGCTAGTCAACCGTTGTCCAAACCTTAAGTGTAGTACGACTCGCCTAATTCTTTATGTAGTTCGAAGGAAAAATTTCTCAATTAGTTGTATTGCGTACCCTCTCAAGAAATGTATCAATCTAGTTTATCCATATATATATATATATGTATGTATGTTTATGTATATATGAACTGTGAAAAGTGAACTCTAAACTAGGTTTATTCTCTTTGTACGTTGTTTATTAAACATGAAAGCTTTCACTTTAACCGTACTCTTGCAAAATGAGATCTTGAGTTTGATTTTTCTCTCATCTTTTGCATAAAAAAAAAAAAAAAAAAAAAAGAGAAACCACGTACATGGACATGCACGTAGTCTCGTTTCCCAGGCTTACATTGGGCTGAATTCAATTTTCATCAATCTTTATTTCTGACTATTTTTACAAGTTTTGGAACAAGAGAATAAATGGAAATCTTCAAATATATTTGAACTTTGTTTCCTTATCTTACGGTGTTCCCTTTTTTTTTTGTGCATTGTCATCCCAAATACATTGAATGGTCATCAAGCACATTGTATTGGTTCACCCAAAAATGGAAAACAAAAACAAAAGGAAAAATGGAAAACAAAAATCTCACCCAAAGAAGGAAAACAAAAACCAAAACAAAAACAAAAACGATGGGCAAAGAATTCGAAAACCTAAACCTAACCCTATCCCCCTCTCCTTCACCAAGCCTCCACCCTCCCTATAAATGGACCCCAAGATTGAGTGTTTGTGCACGAACGAAAAGTGAGTATAGTCTTCTAGTGTGTAATATCGGGGTTAATTTAAGCACAGTTCGAATGTGGAGGGTAGCTTCAGAAACTCTAGATGATGGTGAAGACGAGGCTGATGAAGAACACCTTATGATTCTCTAATATCGAATCGATGATTTACCAGAGGTATTATATAAAGGTTTTTTCAACTTTTAATATGTATCTTGGTGTCCTTACTTATTCTTGATGGTGTCTTGATTTTATATTCATCCGCATGACAAAATCAACTCTTCTGGTGCAGAACTGCATAAGAGCGAGCCGGTCGGAAAAGCTGTTCAGGTTGCACTGGTGATGCAAGAGTTGCACTTGTTGTCTCTCGGCTGCCTCAACTGTCGAGCTACAGGGACTGCAGCTGCCGCACTTGTGTCGACTTCATGCACAATGCCAAACCCTAAAAGCTCCCTACCGCAGAACTCAGCATCTCCTTGCATGTTTTGGCTCAGCTAGCTGGTCCTCCTGCTTGTAAAGATAGATGATCACACAGAATTTTATTCGCGTGTGTGTGGATATATCCACGCATATACATAGTGCATGCAGTACTCGTAAAGATAGCGTAAACAAAAGAGTAATGCTATTTATACTATGTTTTTGTACCACATTTTCATATCACTTTAGATGATATCATTTGAATTAATCAGATTTTTAAATTTAATTCATTATTTAATAAATTAATAATTAATAAAAATTAGTTAATTAAATGATGATTGTGATATACGAGAAGTCTTTCCCCTTCATTTTCTTAGGTTTTGCAAAATTTTCAAATGATGTGGTTGTCCACATCAGATGTCACTTAAATGGTATAAAAATGTGGTATAAAAACATGGTATAAACAATGTTACTCGTAAACAAAATGGCCAAGTCATTGAATGACTTAGTTAACGAATAATGAAATAAATCGAAAAGTTTTTAACGTTCCCAATGCTTGATTTTCTTCACTACTGTTACCAACGTTACGTTCGAAGGGCATTAAACAAACTTTTCTCGTACCTAATTGATTGCGTTAAGCTTAATTTTCATTTAATAATTTTCTTACCTATAACTTCCAAAGTACTAAATGGAACACGAGGGTCACTAAAACATCAATAGATACGCACCGGCTCAATTTCTATGTACTTTTTCAATTGTGTGGATGATGGTGAGCTTTCTTTTTCGACATTAAGCACATGTTCACTTATAAAGAATAGAAATTGACATCATTTCGATTCGTTTACCAAATATAGGCAAGAAAATCATTTTACTTTTTAACTTTTTCCTGCATTTGCGTTTAAATACACGTAAAAAATGAAAAATGTGTTAAAGTTCTTTCTTGAAATCTGTAATCAAATATCTAAAAATCAAGAATTCCATTACAATCCAATTCCCTTTTCTTCTTTCTCCTATTATTTTTGATTCTCCGATTCATTTGTTTTTCCTTTCTGTCAAGTAAACAAACCCTAAATGGAATAGCTAAATCTTATAACAATTATCAATCAAACGAGTGTAAATTTGAGAAGGAAGAACGTTTAAACAAAAACAAAAAACCATAACTTACCTTCAACTTGAAAACAACAGTTTGATCCACAATCCTCCCTGAGTATCATTAAACAATAAACATATACTGTACAATTTCAACCAGAAATGTACACAAGCAGGAGAGCCAAAGATAAACCTCCCTCCCGTCCACGATTCATACCACACTGATGGATGATGAGGTCACGTGCGATGAAATAAACATAAAAAGGGAATAACATCACCATCACCACCATCGGCATCAGTCTTCATCCTCCTCACCGTCTCCAGGCAACCCCACGTCATCTCCAATATCTTCAAGCAGCTTGTCGACGTCCTCTCCTAACTCCAACAACCTCGTACTTAGTTTGTCCACCTTGCTTTGTTCTTGCCCGAGGCACACAAGAAGATCATTCAGTTCAGCCTCGCTCTCCTTCTGAGCTTCTTCCCTTGCCTCGGCTCTAATTGCATCCACATCGGGAATGGACGAAGACCCTCCTCCACCATTCTTAGCTCTGACCTCCTTCTCTAGATGGAAATTCGCCTGCTCAAGACTGTTGTATGCATCGGATAAGCTCTTCAGATCAGATTCCATCTTTCCGGCTAAGTTTTTATACATGGATGCCTCAGATTCAAGCTTGGCTTTCTCTGCCTTGTGCAATTCCAACCGTTTAGATGCTTCTTGAAAATCTCGTCTAAGTGTCTCTACCTGGACTCTATCAGAGCCTGCACCCTGCTCGGACCGGGAGCGGTCCCCACCAATTGTTGCCACATCCTCAGCCAAACTTGCATTGCGGCCAAGGAGATCCTAAAAGAAAACATATTTAATATATAATTAACATGCATACCACGGCAACGATTTATTTGGGGGTGAATAAAACAAAGAACAATATAAACACCAATTGGTGTACACTAAAGTTTTATACCTGTATCTCAGAGCATTGCTTCTCCACAAATGCTTTCAGCCGCTTTATATACTCTCCATCACTTTCCCCGCTTTTCTGTTCCAGTTCTGCTGGCACCACTGCCACCTTGCTCTTCGGTTGACTGTATACCTCAACGAATTTTTCTCTGATATTCACCTCCAAACTCTTAACTACATTTAGAAATGGAGCATCAAAGATTGAGGAGAGAACCGGATGATCCTCATTTTTCTGATCAGAGAGATCGCTCTCATCAACATCTACCATACTAGCAGAAGCGGATCTGGTTAATTGTTTGTGCGGCTGAGCTGATGTTGAAGAGGTGAAAGGGAAGCTTTTCTGCATCTCCTCGAACTTCAGAAAATATGACGTGAGCCCAACCTTCTGGCTTATGGAATCAACTATTGCAAAGGCGTCCTTCCCACTTTCAACTGATTTGTTGTAGATCACACACTCTCCAAGAAGAACAGCTGCCAACCCCTTTATGTACACTGTAGCAATTGAATTGGATACCAACTCAAGCAGATAAGTGATGTGGGGACGTGAATCTAGGAAGCAATTCACTGCACTAGGGCAATCAGCTAGCCAAGTGACCAGCAATTTCAGGATAACTGGTTGAACATATGAGTTTCCACTTGACTTTCCATCTTTGTTTTGCATGGAAAAGGCAACGGCCAAGTATTTTACCACACGGTGCATTAGAGGCTCTGGAGCACCTAGAGATGGAGTAGGTGCCTCAAGTTCAATACGCAATACCTGAAAATTGTATCAGACAATTAGAATACTGTAAGAGTGGTCACCTTTCAACACAAACAAAAATGGGTAAATCAAAATACATTACATCAGAAGGCAGATATTAGAAGAAGAATATAACTGCTTACCCTTTCCTTGCACTGCAGATTGTCCTTCATTACATGAGAAAGAACACTAGCAGCTCTGCAGCATGTCTGCACCTCAAAATATTAGCTAATGGAACCAAGATATTCTGGTCTTTCCAAAACTCAGATGTTACTGAAGTGTTACATTACCTCAAGATCGCCATCTTTCTCACTGAAGTTAAGACCTTGTAATAGCATGCTGCAAAAGAATCAAATCTTATAAGATCACTTAACGTAAGTAGCTTTTGCAACCTTGAGAAATGAAAAGAATAAGACGATCAAGCTTTCACTGATGCAACAAAGGTTTGATAATTCAAATAGGCTGAATAAATAACAAACAGATAATTTAGAAACATGCAGTGAAAACTGCACATACGATGAACAAACCTTCCAAAGGACATGTTCACATCCTCTTCAACGGGTGCATGAATCATGGAATGCGGTTGCGGAATCAATGTAGACGCTAACATAGTTTGGCCAACAGCATTATTCTGGTTTAAATGAGGTGAAGAAAATTTACAACAAAAGATTAGAAGTGAAAACTACACAATCAAGATGTAATTTACATTTCTTACATACTGGATGATGAGAAGAATATACACAATACCAACCTCACAAAAGCTCTTAAAAACATAATCTGCTGCAACAAATTCTTGTATACTGGATGTCCGCAAAATGATTCGAAGAATTGAGTTCAAAGCAGGTTCCTGTGGCCCCTCTCCAAGAAATTTGCTTGCAAGCGCATCAAGATTCTTGGGATGTCCAGCAATCAGATTACCAATGCATCGCAGCGCCTGACAAAGTGAATAAACTTAATAATTACTAATGGACTCAATGTCTACAAGGCACTACGTAAATTTCATTACAAAGTCAAATATACTAATGGACTCAATGTCTACAAGGCACTGTAAATTTCATTACAAAGTCAAACAAAACCAAATATGTGTCTTCCATTTGAAATCAGTATTCATTTTCTCATATAGCAAGCCACATAAGTTTCAGGACAAATGGCCCGGAGTTCATGTAATTAGTTCACAAGTTATCTATGGATAAGCTTGATCATATAATAGTAAGAAGGTAAGGTACTCTTTATGTCTAGCAAACGTTGATTGGTCATAAACAATATAGTAATATTGTTAGTGTTAAGAGTGAGAGAGAGAGAGAGAGAGAGAGAGAGAGAGAAGGTGAAGAACTATCTTACTGAACAACGAACAGCAACAGGTGCCCACTGGCTTTCCACACCCAGCATTAGAAGATGGTCCAATACTTTTTTCTACATCCAGGAAATAAAAAGATTAGAATGATCAGATATCACAAAATTTATATTCTAGTGAGATGCTATTATAAAAGTTGAAAATACCTGAGCGAGGGTGGTTCTATTTGTTAGCTTATTTGCATCTTTTCCAGGATCAGCCTCCGAGCCTCCCATTATTAGCAAATTAAGAGTTTCCAACGCACTGAGTAGATTAATTGTCTACTGGCATGGCATTTATTTTGAGGTCAACAACAAATTACCAGTAAGGGTTGTGCCATATCAAATCAGTTAACCATACAAAACAATGAATTTCGAGTATCTAACCTTTTGTTGAGTGAAACTGTAAGTACTCCCTCGTAGCTTCAAAATTGACATTAAGGGGTCAAATCCGATTGTCTCCCTCAGCAGTATCTAAAGAACACATCTTTTAATTAGAAGAAAGAAGAAACAAAATATATAAATGACAACATCACTTACAAGAATAAAAGCAACAATTAAAACAAAAACCTGATTCGATGCAGTGTTCCGAATAAGATTGTTCAACAATTCAATACAGTCCTGCAGAAGTGTATTGCATTAGAAACATTTTCAAAAGTAACTGATTTCTCAAATGGCTTTAGAGGTATTCGAAATGGGAACTTGATTTACAAAATAAAGGTTTTTTATTTTCCAGCACAAAGTGTGCCAAACAGCATTCTCCCCCATAATCAAGACAAAATAAAGTACTTTTACAACTTTTGTACAAGAACAATTGTTTGCACACTTGAAAGTGAAATAACAGTAAAACATTTCTTTTCCTATAACCATTGGTGCAAATATTGGTATAATCAGTATAATTGTAAAGCTGAATTTACCAATGAAAAAAGGCTTTCAGATTATGTTTTTTTTTTTTTTTTTTTTTAATTTGATCCAAAAATGATGCTTGACAAGTGGTTTATCAGCAAAGAAGTTAAACAAGATGTATGAAACTATCAATTATCAAACAAACTAAGTAAAAAAGAATTACCTGCACAACAACACCACCATCCGAACCACCTTCCTCTTTAATGATGCTGAATATCTTTTCAAAAGCACCTTCAAAGACCACAATTTTTTGAATTTCCTGAAATCATAACAATATATAAGTTAATACAAAAGTCAAAACTTACTTTCCAGTTGTGATGGTTTAGTGATTAATAGCTTTTATGTATAACTGTTCTGTTGTACTTTTGGAGTGGATATCTTGTCCAGTGGTTTGTAATTTAGTTGTTTACTGCAACAAAAGTTTGTCTATTTTTTTTTACCAAAAAAAACGTGTCTTTTTTTCTCGAAAAAGTAAAAAAGCACACTTCTCATTGTAGGTTCACCAAATATAAATTAAATAAAAAAATAAGACAAAGGATCGAAAGCCTCACCTCAGCTTCGCGAGTCAAATAAGTAAGAAGTAATAAGGCCTCATTTCGTATAACCTAGAAGGCAAACACAAAAGTTTCGTATGATTGAACATAGAGAAAAGATGGATACACATATGCAATTATATTTGAATAACTAATATTTTGACAAAGCTTTCAATAGCAGTCCCCTGATATAGAGGTGGCAGAGCATTAAACGTGAATTTTAGAAAGATCACATTTAAAAACTAAACTGTAGCATAACATGTTGATAATAGAGTTAAATGCAAAAAATGATAAAACATCATTCAACAAATTGTACCTCACGATCCATAAGCATATCCATTAAGCGAGTTATACCACGAGGTATGGTCAGAATGGCTTCCTGTAACCTGAAAGAAAGACCTCAGAAGAAAATCTTTCTAAACCAACTAAAATAATCCAAATTTTTTAGACAAAGAGATAGAAAATAGCTTAAATTAATACCTATTTCGAGAATTTGTCAGAAGAGCTGTCAAAAGTTGAAGAGTGTAATATCGTACATAGAAATCCTCCTCTGACTGCGAAAACAACAAAATTAAAAATTAGATATATACAATTGTGAAAATACATGCATGAATCTAGCAGCTTGAAATCAAATGACTATCAGTATTTTCTGAATATAACTAGAGAATTCTCACCAACAAACTTAGAAGAAGTGAAATGCTGTCTGCTTCTCTGGAAAGCAAATCAGTGTTCATTATAGCTGGTTGAATCTCATTCTTTGGTCCTTTTGCTTGGTCAATAGGAGTCAAGGCACTTACAAGAGTTTCTAGGGCACCTCGGACCTGCATTTGTGGAATAAATAAGTTAGTGTCTTTATCCATGAATATGTATTGAAAGAAAGCATCACATTTGATTTAAGATTCACAAAAATCACAAAGAGACATAATAATCACAATTGAATTTTTGAAAACCAAAGAATGCATTATATTGGAAACAACAAAGCTCACATCCCAAGTTCACTTATTTTCACCATGATAAGTTGATAACCCATAAAATAAACAATAAGATTATAGGAAACATAAAAAAGAAGAAGAAATGTTAGCAACCATTTCAACATCATCCCGTTCTTCCTTTAATATGCCCATCATAACAGGGAATCCTGCAGGAAAAAATGAACAAAATAATGTCACGTACATGCCAAGCATAAAACGAGCGAACAAAACCAAAGTTGTACACAAGAGAGAAGCAATCACCCATTGCTCCAAATGCTAGTTGGGCAGCAGAGCTTTCTGCCACAACGGACTGAAGCTCGAGCATAGCAGTCCTCCTGTCCTCTGCCAGTTTACCATTGCTTATACAGTCGAGCAAACGCTCGATATAGCTAAATACATATCGAAAACAATGGCAGAGTAGATTGGTCACATACCATGAAACAATCATAAGCATAAATTGAAAGTAGGCAATTGGGTACGGAACGTGATGAATGTAGAAGGAGAAAAGTACCTATCTTCATTAGAAGAACCCGATTTCTCGTTGCCGAAAACGAGCCCTACAACTCCCTGCACGAGAAGCCAAAAGATACCAATTGAGTTTGCCAGAGAAGAGAGAGAGAGAGAGAGAGAGAGAGAGAGAGAGTCACCTTGTAACCAGAGACCAAATCCATTTTTTTTCTGATTTCCCAGGACGCAACTCGACTCAAGAGAAATCCTGAAACCAAAAAATCAAAGAAAATTCAGTCAAAATTCAGGACGAAATTTCAATTGGAAAAGCCCCAAATTGGAAGCAACAAAGATTGAAACTTGCCTGCTTCAGAGACCTTGAGAGGCTGAGTCTGCGATGGAGTATTCGATCAAATCTCAAGAGGACCTTCGACTTCTCTCTCTAAAACGCAGCAGTGCACACAGCTAAGTTTGCTAACACTTTTCTCTCTCTAAAACGAAGAAGACGAAGATTTATTACAGCTGGCAATTTACGTTTTCAGAAGGGTTTCGGGTTGCTGGGCCTTCGAGCCCCGTTGCTAATACCAATCTCTGTGGTTTGGCAGAGACTTTTGGATTTATAAAAATCAGGCCCACTAAGAAGTAGATTTGGCCCAGCCCAATATTGGGTTTGGGCTACACAGCGCTTCACTTTCCTCAGCAGAAGATTTTAGTAGTGGGTTTTGCATTGTGAAATTCTAATTTTAATTTTAAGGTTCGCATGTCGGAGCACGTTGTTTGAATGAAGCATTTTCAAAAAAAATTGCAACCCCGCTAATCGAGCTTAAGAGATACCACATGTGGTCCGAATGTTCTTTTCTTTTTATACCTCTTATTGGTATATAATGTTCGTAATTCTCGTGATATATACTTGAAGATTTATAGCGAACTTCAAAAGAATCTCCATTGATTATAGTCTTCGCAGCGTAATTGCTTACTTGAGGAAATAATGTTTTGGAACAACGTAAAGTTTCAAGGTATGACATTCGCAAGGTTACTTCAGTTACTAAGTGTAGGTAACATGCAAAGAGATAAAGATAGAGAAGCAAACATAAGATATACGTAGTTCACCTTAAGTTGTGTTACGTCTACGAGGGTAAAGGAGTTCTCGTTGATAATGTAGAGAGTACATAATACAAAAGTTCAAGCATAATTATAATTAGTGAGTTCTAATTATGGATTTAGTAGAATAATAGTTGGCAATTAATTGTAGGAAAATGGTCTCCTTTTGTAGTCGATGTGAGACTCTATGAGTTTTATTCTGATGTTGACACGTGTCACGTTGTGATGGTCCCCTACTTGGAGAGAAATTCTTATGCTTTGGCAGGGTACCTCAATACGAATCCTTCAATAGGTCTTTAAAGGTATGAAGTTGACTGGTGCTCCGTCAATAATTTTGGGATTGGTGAAGTATGATATAAACAGATAGGAAAGTTTCTCTCCAAATTTTGATTCACTATGAATCTCTATGTTCAGAGCTCTCGGACCGATAGATCCAAGTTGTTCAAGAGAGAGGGAAAAAAAATCCAATAATTTTTTGGATTTTTGTGAAGTGGGTAAGTCGATAGGCTAATAGGAGTCATATAATTAAAATTGCATGATCTGAATCTCTTGGTCCGCAAGCACCGTAAGTTCAACTTATTATTTAATTAGGCCATATCTTTTACGTTGTGAATTTAAATATATAAAAAAAGGCAATAAAGGTCAAAAGATTGGGAAATGAATCCCCGCGCCGTGGACGATGTGCTCTATGCATCTGCTGTGTTGCGCCATGGAGGTGGATCCAAACAAGCCCTTCCAAATATGGCAGGTGGTGAAAGGTTATCTCCTAGTGAAGGTCTAAATTTGAAAGTCATTCGGTGGGATGCCTAAACAATCTCATCACCCTTTTTGGGTGTGCGGGTTTTGAAACTTCCACTTGGCATTCACACTCCAAAAGTATTAAGAATTTCGTCAACCTTGCAAAGTGCAAAACCTAAAATTCCTACATGTGGGTAGTCAATATACCAATACAAACCTGTCGAAGAGTCGTGTGTAAGTATCAATTGTTCAAGTTAACTAACGGTCGTTTGGTGATCATTGTGTTTTATTTTTTAACTGAAATCTTGTTTGCTGACTACTTTCAATTTTCATTTTTTTTAAAGTGAAAACTAAAAACTGAAAGCAAAATTGTTATTAAACAACCTTTTAAGTTTAAAAGAATGTTACAGTAAGTCGCACACACATACTTATTGAATCTGACATTAATATACAACTATAGTTGTTTCACATGAACATGTTACTGTCAGTTCGTATGTGAATGACTAAAGTTAACACTGGTTGAAATTAAGTTAAGGAGAAATGCTAAGGGAACTCTCTCAAAAATACGACTCTTTGTCACCTCATGTTTTTCACACAATATTTTACAATATTAACACAAAAATTATCATTAACCTTTCATTTGTTAAGATAAAAGAAAATATCTAAATAGCACCTTCGCCATTTATCAGATGCAGCGATGCTCTTGCATCAGATGATTAAGAATATGGCGTGGAAAAAGCAACAAATTTCGATATTTCCAAATACATCTGCATAGAACTTTCTAGGAATCTTCGTACTACAAAATAAAAACCTAGTGTCACAATTCCCAGTCCCATTCGAATTTGTGCTGTCAATTTCACCAAGACACGTCTTTCTATTTGTCCACGTATTTCCCCTTCTTATTTGTTTCCTCCTTTTTTTGCCCAAAAATATAAATATTTACATAAATTCACTGTTTTTTCCATTTTGCCTGCAAATCCAAATTCAATGTTATAAAGCTGGTGGATACATTTATCCCATAAAAAAAAAATTATAAAGTTGATTTCTCTTTCCATCTATTATTCTTTTGGATCGTGAATCCCTTTTTTATTTTTTTTTATTTTTTATAACGATTGAGTCTCTAAATTTGATTATAAGAATAATTGAGATGTAGAGAAATGCAGGTTAATGCACGAAGCCAAAATGTAAAGACTCGTAATCCTATTCTCTTTCGCATCTATTAGTTGCAACTCAATATGTTGATATGTATTTGTTTATCTTTAGGACAAAGTGATACTTTAATCCAGCCTCTTTTACGAATGATTACTAAACCCGAAGTTAGATACAAGTGGAATAGATACACTTTTATGACCAACTGATTTAACTAGCTTACGTCTTGTATTTCATTAAAACTTGAAACATGTTCAAATTGTCATTTTGCTACTAACATTAGAAACCCTTGTACACGTAGTTATCTCCGATTAGTTCAACATGATAAATAATTGTTGCAAGTTGTGGTAATTCACCATGGTGGTATAACTCTTTTGTAAGTATACATAACTCTAACGCAATTTATGACAATGTTCAACTTTTTTATATAGAAATTTTAATTAACTGTCTATCATTACAAATGATTATGATCTCAATAAATTTCAACTTGAGTATGAAATTGTTGAATATATTGCTGTAACGAACTAACTTTATCACAATTGTGCATAAAATCTCCTCTCTTAAGTTATAGAATCCACGTCATCGTCACTTTCAAGAGATTTGCACGACGTGAGAAAGGAATATAATGCATGGATCTATCCAAACGTACGTGTTCTTTACTTCTTAGCAAAAATAATTCAAAAGTAAGGCATGAATTCTTATTCTTCAACACCCAATCAAGACAACACACACATAACATAATGTTTATAACAGCAACAACAATAACAAAAAAAAATCAACCAATTTAATTTTTTTTTGATGCACTCAAAATACCGTAACATGACATTATTATTCTATTTATATTATAACATGTGAATTTTTTTTATTAATATATCATAGAAATATGACATATCAATCATAGTCTCCACCTTTATAGCATATTTTTAGAAAACAAACAATAGGGATAAGCTCGTGGCTTTGTCACAATAGCCCATCCTTAAAATACAAATATAAATCACTACCATGTGATTCACCAGTGCCAATAATCAAATCTAAAATGTACCGTTTAAAATACGAACCTGAAATTAATCTTTAACACTATGTCACTCCGTGGTGGTTCACCTTTATAACAAATTGAATAATACACAACGTAACTTGTATTCTCGATCCTACTAAAATTTTCTCGAATTTGATAGGAGCGGGATTCCCATCACATGTGAAGTGAACTTAGCTATCAAAAATATTGTTCCAAAACTTCACAAATTACGTGTATCAGGTGGCAGATAATGTCTACTTACAACACGTAGCATATTTACATGAAGAAAATAATGAGAATATTTATATTTATATTTTGTGATCCTCATAACATGCATGTATTCCCACGAAGCTTTTTCTTTGTTAATTTGTTCTTCTCTTTCTGTGGTGAGCATTAAGTTATAATTATCTTCAATCGACATCAAACATTTACATGTTTACTAACCGTTACGTTCAACTTCGTTGGTTCAAGTTCTATAGTTAATCTCTATCATTGAATCTTAAACTATTGATTGGTGACTATTCATGATCCATGGTCACCAATACATCAATATATTTTTAAGTCGATTTATACTAGTTTTGTTATTGTAGTAGAATGGTAAATAACTTAAACAACTGTTTTCTTTACACAAAAAATATTATGATAAAAGTAGGGTTAAGTCCAGATAATTACTTTATTTTTAAGAGTGATTCCAAATTGGTTCTAACCTTTTAAAACATTTCAAATAACTACATAAAGTTTTGAAAAATCAACATTTATTAGGTTCACTAGTTTTCAGTGATGTCATAGACAAATATTAAGCATGTTTTAACTCTCAAGTCATCTATGAAAATTTGAATCTCTAAATTGAAGTCATGTAGCTAAGCAAATTTATGGCTTAACTTGACTAAAATGGGTCAATTTGGAGGATTAAAATTCAAAAAGGTCTATTAGTGAAAACCAACTTTAGTATTTGTCCATGTCATCATTTAACGCTAGTAACGTTTTCAGTTAATGTTAATAAAGTCTCCGATAACCTAAGTAACATCTAATTTTCAAAACATTACAGAGCTATTTATAATATTTTAAAAAGTTGAGGCTAATTTGAAATTATCATAAAAGTTTAGAGCGCGGGACTACTAACAGGTGCATTGACTAAGTCAAAACGGCGTGGGGGATAACCTCCGCCGAAAAATCACATACGATAATAGAGTGTTAATTTACCATTCTATCCCCCACCGCGTGGAAACCCATGAAAACCAACAGGCAACAGCGATTGAGGTCTCTGAGATGTCAACGCCAAACTTGGAAACACCGCGTATTAACATTAACAATAAGAAATCAATCAACGGCTCCTGTATTATGTTCGCAACTGCCATGATTACAAATTGCATTGGATAATACTCATGTTCCTCCATCATCCGCCGTTCAAACGCAAGGGATAATACTATGAGCATATCTTCACCAAATAATTACAGCACTTGACTTTAAGACGTAAACGTAATTTTATTGGTTACATCAAATGTACTCTT